AAAAAAAAAAAAAAAAAAAAAAAAAAACCTTGAATCTTACTGCCTTTAATGAGCTAACTGAGGAATTGTTATACAGAGCGGCGATAAGAAGCGATGTTACTTTAAGATGCTGGCTGATATCGGCTACAAGGAGATTGAGGTTTCCTTCACTTCCACTTTGCAGGCTGATTTTGATTTTATACGCCGCCTGATTGAGACACCTGGAGCTATTCCCGACGATGTCTGGCTGCAGGTTCTGTTGCCCTGTTGCGGGGGAACTGATTAAGCGGACCGTCGGGTCTCTAAAGGGGGGCCAAGAAGGGAATTACTATTCACATTTACCTCGCCACCAGCGAGTGCTTCTGGAAAGTTGTTTTCAACTTCTTCCAGGAACAGGCTCTGGAACTGACTACACGGTGTATGAAGCTGGTCCGGCCCCTCACCAAGGACGACCCTTCCACGTCCGGCACTGAATGGGCCTTTGAGTGCAGCCCTGAGACCTTCTCTGATACTGAGCCCAGCTTCGTCCTCCAGGTCTGTGATGCTGTCAAGGCTGCTTGGGGGCCTTCAGTGGAAAATCTCATCATCTTCAACCTGCCCACCACAGGGTATCCACCCGAACAATGACTTTTTAGATCTTAGTAGTATTATTGACACGGTTAAGACCTGCAACAAGATTCCCGCATCAGGAAGCTTCGGGAGCGCGAGGGCAAGACGTTCGATGACAAGTGGCAGATGCCATACCTGCCCCTGGATCCTCAAGATATCAGGCGTATATACGAGGCTGTCATTTGTGTCAACTCATAGAAAGGCAAGGGAGGCGCTGTCAGGCTCATTCTGTATGGCCTGTTGCTGGATCTGCATCGCGGCCTGAAAGTTGCCTTTTCCAAGGTTGCCCAGAAGAGAGCTGATGAGCTTGGCGGAGAGATGCTGCCTTCTGAGATTACAGAGCTCTTTGAGCAGACTTAACTCCTCAGCAACAATCCGCGCTTCGGCATCTTGACTATGATATTACCACCGACAGATCTAAATTTCCGGCACCCGTGACACCCAGCAAGACACCCGTCACAAAGGATCTCATGCGTGTGCTTAATGGTGTGGTTTTGGTCGACAGAAGGGAGTTTAAAGCTTGAGAGCCGCGGCAACGGTCCTATTTCCAGTTTGGGCAACCCCCTGAGAGGCGTCGATGTCAATTTGGATGTCCATTACTATAAGGAACACGCTATTGTAGGGGTCTGTGTGTCAAGGCTGCTACGTATATATAGTGTATGGCGGCTGGAAGCAGTATGAAAGTATGGGGTGTGGGTATTCACGAAGATGCGAGTGTGTATGGTCACCTTGCTGAGGTGAATCTGAATGGCAATGTCAGCAATGTGAATGGATCTACCTAAATTAACAAAACAACATATTTACATGTTTCGGATATACCTGAGGAGATACAAGAAGAGGAAGAAGAAATAACAAAGCAAGAAGTTGCTTGCATGCTGGATGGAAGTGTGACAAGAACGATGTGAGGAAGAAAAGTCACCTGTTGCAAAAATCTATACCTTGAGGAAGAGAAGAGTGTTGGGTTGCATGAAAGGGAAAAAAGGAGAGCCCACAAATGGCATAAAAAATGCATCAGAAGATGTTACCTAGTAGATATGAAGTGTATGCTCGCTTTTACTGTTTGGGATAAATCGCTGAAGTGTCAATAGGAACGAACCATTTACATAGACAAGCGTGTTACGATTGATTCAGTATCACAAATTCGTGCGAGGGCTTAGCTCTGATGGACTGCTCTTGAAATAAACAATCCTATAATCTCTTCTCTTAATTACTTTTTTTTTTCTTTTTGCGCTTTGTTCTCGTTTGAATGCATGGGTTTTGACACCGTATCCGCATTTACAAGCAAGAATGAGGCAAAAACTGCCATATGGAGTCGTTGCTGTGGAAGCTGTGGAGAAGTATTTTGATTCTACGGAGTACAAAGAGACACTGTCGGGCGGGGAATAATAGAAGCCTTTCGAAGGGTGGCTGTAACCGGATACTGTGCGAGCTTTTGCACGTCGGCGCGGCACATGCTTTGTTTGTGTGAACATGGCTGTATGGGCCTCTCGTATACGAGGGGGGAGGAGAAAGACCCCCAACACCATATGCGGCGTGCTGTATGACGGAGCTTGGGGTGCAGAAAAGCGCTGTGCAATGATGCGCATAATTCACGGTCTGCATGAACACACTTGGACGAAGGCCTGGCTCTCTTGACCCCGCTTGCCTGGGCGAGCTTCTTTTCGATTCTTAGGCCCATAACAAGAGTGAGGCTCAAAGCCCGTATAGCAGGTACCGCAGGTAGGCAGATGCTAATAGCGGGGTTCCGGGCATCTGCATGTCGTTGACTCAGAGGAGGGTTGCTGGACTTGCAAGGTACCAGGCCCTCACATGACGGCGTTGGAAGCAGAGCTGCAACACTAGCAGCTTCCATGTCCGGGCCAGATGGGCGGCAGCGAGGATGACGCATATTTGCCACTCCCTGCTGATCCCCTGGGAGCCCTATCGGTTGCCCAGGGCCCTGCATCCGCAGCAGAAGCGACGATTCGGTCTTATCAACGGCCCTTCTGCTTCTGCTAATGCATAAACCGAGAGCGTGCAAGTATATTGCATGTACCTTTTGTCTTCACAGTCCATCCAGCAAAGAATGAAGGCGAGCGAAATGCAGCTGCTGCAGTTGCACGTGCTCGCCGCCGCCGGGAAGGCAACTTGGCGGGAACCCTTGGATCGGCCGCCCCGCTATCCCAGAAAGCTTTTCGCGCCGCCTCAGCTGCGTTAAACGAGGTTTCGCCGGCGTCGCCCTTGCAGGTCTACCCCTCGCAAAGAAAGAGAAGTTGCGGCCTAAAATCCAGCCACGGCTGTCGCTGATTCGACAGGCAGCGCTGGGTGGGCCCCGGGAAAAACCATCCTCCCGCGCCGCGCCCGGCTGCTGCTCGCTCTGCAGCTGTCACTTCTGCTGTTTTTGCTCGCATTCCCAACGCCTGAGACCCTCCCCGGAAGCACCGCTAAAAGGCCGCCGCCACTTGGTGCTCGCTGCCCACAGCCCGCCCAGCTCAGCTGTCGGCTCTCCTGCTCCAGCGGCACTCCAGCGTGCTGTGCGTAGGTTGTTTGTCCGATCTAGATTTCCAGGCATAAACTCTATTCGTTATCGCATTCTCAACAGAGCTCGTAGTTTCACTTCCTTCTCTCTCACTTTCTTCTCCCAAAAACAACAAACAAGGCCTGAAGCCGTCACCTCCACCTGATCTTGGCCTTTACCTGCAGCCATTCATTTCTCGACTGGCTTTTTTCTTTCGGCCCTCGCTGCTCTGGGTGTGCTTCTTTTTGTTTCTCTCAGCCCGGAACGCTCTTTAGCAGGTCCCTCTCCTCTCCCCTCTGGGCCCTTCTCAAGTAGCGCCCAAACAGGCATCCGGCAGCTGCTGCAAGCAAGTGGCGGTAGCAACCTTAGCCCCGTCATCCCACAGAAACTGCCCCCTGCACCGGGACTGCTATTTGGAGCGCCAGACCCTCTGTGCGGTCCGTCGACCCTATTCGCTCTCTTCCCTCACCACCTACGTCTGCTTCTGACCGTAATACAGCCAGGCAGCTGTTGGGATCCTCACGATTCGGCCTTGATTAGGGACCAAGATAAAGGGAAAAAAAAATTATACATCAACAAAAACAATAGACCGCCCTTTCGCTTTTCTTCCTGCCTTGTCGAACCAAACCGACTACGTGCATCCCACAAGGCTACCTCTTTTTTTTTCTTCTTTATTTCATTTTACTTTTCTCTCTTTAAACTCGCCGACTCCGCCTTGGGAACCTCCCCCGCGCCTACGCCCTTATTTTTTTTCCCTTTCCCCCCCTTGGTGCAAACACGTGTAGCTGCACCTAACATCGACACGGCGTTTCCCACCAGCATCAGCAGCGCCCTTTTGGTTGACGCATGAGAGGACGCTTTCAAGACCGCAATCATGTCGGGCTCAGAAATTAATACGGTGCTCGCGAACTCGCTGTCTCCAGGTTAGTGGTGGTGGAACAGAGAAGAAAAATCTCGTCCGCAGGATACCCTCGCTGCGCACCCCTCTTGAGGGGCACTTCGTTCGGCTAGAGATGATATCATTTCTTTGCTGATGGAGGGCCTCACTCGATCGGAATCAGCAGAAAAACGTCGGAAATCAAGTACCGAGTATCGTTAGCTGACTCAAAGAAAAATTTATAGATGCGAACCTGCGAAACGCCGCCGAACAACAACTCACTCAGGCAGCGGAGAGTAACTTCGTACGTTATCCCACCTCCCTTGAGTCAACGAAAGAATCGATCGCAGACAACTGACATTTTTTTTTTCTCTATTTGTTTTCGTCATATAGCCGCTGTATCTCGCTACACTCGTCCAAGAACTTGCCAACGACCAAGCAGAGGGCTCCATCCGAGCCGCTGCCGGTATTGCCCTCAAAAACGCCTTCACAGCCAGGGATTTCGCTCGGCAACAGGAGCTACAGTCAAAATGGCTGCAGCAGACAGACGAAGAGACCAAGAGCCGCGTAAAGCAGCTGACACTGCAGACCCTGTCCTCGAGCAACACTCAGGCTGGTACTGCCGCCGCCCAGGTTATCTCTTCAATTGCTGCAATTGAGCTTCCCCGCGGCCAGTGGACGGACTTACTGTCCTTCCTCGTGAAAAACGTCAGCGAAGGCGCCGATCACCAGAAGCAGTCTTCTCTTACCACCATTGGCTACATCTGCGAAAGCCAAGATCCGGAGCTGCGACTAGCTCTTGTTGCCCACTCCAACGCCATTTTGACAGCCGTCGTACAGGGCGCCCGAAAGGAGGAGACCAACGTCGAAGTCCGACTCGCTGCCATCACAGCCCTCGGCGATTCCCTCGAGTTTGTTGCCAATAACTTCAAGCATGAGGGCGAGCGGAACTACATCATGCAGGTCGTTTGCGAGGCCACCCAGGCCGACGATTCGAGAATCCAGCAGGGAGCTTTCGGCTGCCTGAACCGCATCATGGGTCTCTACTACGAGAACATGCGCTTCTACATGGAGAAGGCCCTCTTTGGACTGACCATTCTCGGGATGAAATCTGAGGATGAGGATGTTGCCAAGCTGGCCGTTGAGTTCTGGAGCACCGTCTGCGAGGAGGAAGTTTCCATTGAGGATGACAATTCGCAAGTCGAGAACGCCGACCAGATGCGCCCCTTCTACAACTTTGCACGAGTTGCCGCCAATGAGGTCGTTCCCGTGCTATTGACGCTTTTGACCAAGCAGGATGAGGATGCTACAGACGACGAGTACAACTTGTCCCGGGCTGCCTACCAGTGCCTGCAACTCTATTCTCAAGCTGTCAATTCCACCATCATCGGACCCGTTTTGGCCTTTGTTGAGGCAAACCTCAGGTCTGATGACTGGCACAACCGAGACGCTGCCGTCTCTGCTTTTGGCGCCATCATGGAGGGCCCCGATGAGAAGGTCTTGGAGCCCATCGTCAAGCAGGCCCTTCCTGTTCTGATCACCATGATGGACGACCAGTCCCTTCAGGTCAAGGACTCTACCGCCTATGCTCTTGGCCGTGTCACTGAGGCATGCTCGGAGGCCATTGATGCTCAGCAGCATCTTCCCACCCTCATTGCCTCCCTCTTCAAGGGCCTCATCAGCAACGCCAAGATGGCTCCGTCATGCTGCTGGGCCTTGATGAACCTCGCTGAGCGCTTTGCCGGCGACTTTGGCGCCGCCTCTAACCCAATCACCCCTCACTTCAACCAGGCCGTCAGCTCACTCCTCGATGTCACGGCCCGCCAAGATACTGAGACATCTGTTCGAACCGCTGCCTACGAGGTCCTGAACGTCTTTGTTCAAAACGCTGCCTCTGAGAGCTTGTCTGCCATTGCATCACTCTCCGATGTCATCATCAAGCGCCTGGAGGAGACCATTCCTCTGCAGTCTCAGGTTGTCAGCGTTGAGGACAAGCTGACATTGGAAGAGATGCAGAACAGCCTGTGCACTGTTCTTCAGGCCATCATCTCTCGTCTCGACAAGGAAATTGCTCCTCAGGGCGACCGCATCATGCAAGTCCTGCTTCAGATCCTCAGCACCATTGGAGGAAAGTCAAGCGTCCCAGAGGCCATCTTCGCTACCATCAGCGCTCTATCAACCACAATGGAGGAAGACTTCATCAAGTACATGGAGGCTTTCGTCCCATTCTTGTACAACGCACTTGGAAACCAAGACGAGCCTAGTCTCTGCTCGATGGCTATTGGCCTCGTTAGCGACATTACGCGATCCATGGGCGAGCGCAGCCAGCCTTTCTGCGACAACTTTATGAACTACCTTCTCAACAACCTTAGAGTGAGTTTTCTTTCTTTGCTTTCTTCATCTGACCATTCACATGAAGCTTTCATTGCTAACTTGACGTCACAGAGTACCACGCTTGCCAATCAGTTCAAGCCCGCTATTCTGCAGTGCTTTGGAGATATTGCTGGCGCCATTGGAGGCCACTTTGAGACCTATCTCTCTGTTGTTGCCCAAGTCTTGGAGCAAGCATCCACCGTCACCGCAACGCCCGAGGGCCCTGATGAGATGTTTTACTACGTCGTTTCATTGCGAGAAGGTATCATGGATGCATGGGGTGGCATTATCGGTGCCATGAAATCTAGTGGAAAGAGTAAGTTTGCCTTGAATGCACACGTATACTCTTCGCATACAACATTTACTGACAATTCTTTGCAGCCCAAATTCTTCAACAATACGTCGAATCCATCTTCCATCTTCTCAATCTTATCGGTAGCGATACCAGCCGTAGCGAATCGCTTATGAGGGCAGCTATGGGTGTCATCGGGTAAGGACTTATTTCAATTTCCGAGTTGAAAGATACAATATACTAACAGCATCCTCTAGTGACCTGGCTGACGCGTACCCCAACGGGGAGCTTATTGACGCTTTCCGACAGGGCTGGTTGACCGCCATGATCAAGGAGACCAAGACCAACCGCGATTTCCAGCCCCGCACAATAGAAACAGCTCGGTGGGCTCGTGAACAGGTCAAGCGCCAGCTGGGCGGCTCACAAGGTGTCATTGCTCAGTCTTGAGCGAGCTTTCTACCTTGGGCAATGAGCCTCTAATAATAACAAAGCCACAGCTGTTCCGTGCGTCACAATAACCGATGATCCAGACCAAGAGCACCTCGTTACAGCCTCCTACCGCACTCATAGCCTACACCTATCACCCCACACTTCCCCAGTTCAGCACAGCACATCAGATCAGCAACACGATCCCATGACCACTTCATATGTATATAGACCCTATGACACTACAGTAATCCAATACCCACTTTCACGAAAATCTTCTCTACACACATTACACAATATTCCTTTTTTTTTGTTGTTGAGTGGTTACAGTTCCCATATTTACAATTTTCCACATGTTCCCCTTTCAATCAATTTTAATTGTTGTCTTTTTACCCCCCTAGTCGTAACGATGGAATAGAGAAGTCATGTATGCCCCGTGCGCATCGAAAAGAGCGGCGGTGGCTAAACCAAAAGTCATGTAGAAAGGGAAAGGGAGTACAAAGGAGGCCGGCTATTCATCGTTTTGCTTTTCTTGGTTTCTTTACCCCCAGCAACAATCGCAGAAGTCAAAGCCCTCTTCGGTTCAGTTTCTGTGTTGGTGTTAAAGTCGTCGCATATTTCATCTATTGGATGCCCGTTCGAGTGAACGAGGCTTTGCATTTAGGAATGGCTCTTGTGATAGGTTTTTCGCAGGAGCGGCAACCGGCACGGTAGTGTTGGATGAAATATCAGGACACTAGGAGCGTGTGGGGGACTGTTTGTTTTGTAGCTCGACTCTCACCCTCGACTGGTGAGACGCAGCAAAGACGGAGAAAGGAAAGAGATTAAAACCCATATCAGACAAGTTCAGGGGAATGACTTTAGAACTAGAGAATCAAGTGATCTCGTTCCATGTACGATGGGCTTGAGCTATTCAGCCATCGTTAGATAGTGGCATCAGAAACTGCAAATGGAATTTTTGGTTGACCCCCCCTTAATACTGAATGAAAACTAGAGCTCTGTGTTTGAGTAGGCTAATGCTTTCGGTGTATGAATCATCTTTTCTGTTGCCTAAAGGGGCCTAACCGAGAGCTGCCCGGCGTGATTGCATTTGCCAGCCTATCTATCTAGGTAATATATTCGCACCGCTAATAATAATGGACACATTGGATACTGTTATGGATAGATAGATACCCAGTAGACAATAGCAACGTTATTCCATCTCATGGTTTATGCCAAAACACAAAAAAAAGGGGGTGGTGGGGAGGCTAGACGGCACAAAAAAAAAACCATTGCGGTCTGTGTGGCTTGAACACACGACCTTCAGATAATTTGATGATTGAAGTTGAGACTTCAGTCTGACGCTCTCCCAGCTGAGCTAAGACCGCTGAATGGCAGATTCTTAGACTAATGGGCAGTCATAGATGTAGAGATTGGGGGGAGATGGCAGTTGGTCTGAGTATACTCCGTACATGGATGCTGGATGCTTTATCTCTAGACTAACACTTGATCAACTGCATATAATACTGATTATCCAATGCAGCTAGCTATTCAATAGTCAATCGCACAAGCTTCGAATATGGTCATCCTCAAGACGAAAAATTGGGCAATTTCATGGGTTACCTGCCGACAATTTAGTAGGGACAAGAAAAAGAGGTGGGATCCAGGCGACTCTCCGTCTACAGGCTTAATCCTGCGTCAACTGTTAGCAATGCAATAAGTCAATCCCACGCTTAATATTCCAAGTAGAAATAGCTATATCTCATGTTAGATTACTTACGAGTCAACTGGTGGACTAGTACATGATGTTGACGGCGCATTCTGGTGATCAATATTTCATGCTCTCTTTTTTTACATCTCTTCAACGAAAAGATGGGTTGTAAGCACAAAACAGCGAGAATGCCGCTTGCTTTTGAATATGGAGAGTGTTAGAAAAGATTCTATGCTGACTACGAACTTGCCGGCTGGCAAACGGCTGTCGTCTGGAAGAAAAAGGACGGCAATGGAACAACTCCTCGGTGCGTGGTTTCGGGGGAATGGACTTAATCCTTCTCCGGGATCGCAGCTTAATCAATCGCGTCACGTTTCGACGTGTGAAGCATCGTCCGCGTCCTTTTTCCTTTCAACATCTACACGCTCTTTATCTAGTTTGTTTCAACAGTTCCCTCATACAACATACTGGCAAATAAGATCAGCGGGAGACATAAGGGGCTCAAATGTAGAGTTCCGATGATACATTCCAGAATCTGCCTGATAATTTTAACCCATCTCATCTATTAAAATTTCATAATTCATTTTCGAGCAAGTCCAGTTTTCTAAATTCATTTACGTTATTCCCCCTTTTCGTATCGCGGTTTCAGCGAACCCCTATTTACAATGTTTTATTCCCATGAGAGTATGTTATCCAGAGCATGTCTCTACTTCTAAATTCCAGAAACGCTAATAACTACTCATAGTTTTAAGCAGTACCCAGTATGGGGTTGCTACTATTTGGTACGGATATATATCTACATTAAGCTCCCTCGCGAGATGGCCGTTTCCACTAACTGCTATTTCACTCTTTTAGGCTGGTGGCCACGGTAGGCAAAGGAAACCAGAAGAGACTGACTAAGAAGGCGATCCAAGAAGTCAACGTTCCAAAGGCTTGCGAGAAAATACTGGATCCAGGAGCTCCTCTTGCTCTCCGTCTCCAAGGCAATCTACTCTATGGTGTTTCACGTGTTTTCGAGCAGCAGTGTGCCTATGTTCTCACGGACGCTGAAAAGACCCAGTCTGACATGGTGACATTTTTTCGCATCATTCAAACAAGTGAAACTGATCCGCGAGCCGGAAAGTCCAAGTAAGTTGGCAGAATGCTGCATGCCGACAAGTTGATAAATAATAGCTAATCTCTGTTCATAGGCGTCAGAACATTGTTTTACAAGATGACCCTGCTTTTGATCCTTTCACCTCACTTCCAAACTTGAACCTGCTGCAATGGGACAAAGATTTTGTGCTATTTCCAAGCCAGGGTTCCTCAAGCAAGTTCTCCCAAATGACACCGCTCGCAACAGCTGGTAGCCAAGGTAGTTTCTCGCCACGCCACCGCTCTGCATTGATCAATCTTGAGCTTCCACCTTCTTCACAATCAGCTGCAAGCTGCCGCCTTCCCTCAGATTTTGGTAGACTCAGTCCTTTGTTTGGCAAATCAATTCACCATCCTGACAGCATGACTGAGTTCCAACCGCTTGCTGACGATGAATTTCCATCCATCTCGGGAATCGGCTTTGAATTCGACGCAGAGGGAAATCTCGTTAGCATTCTTGATCAAGAGCCTGAGCCTGAGCCTGAACTGCCTCCTCTTCCTGCCGCGACAAATGCTACAAGCAGTCTTGGATTACAGCAAGTGATGAAAGACGATCAAGTTCTCATTTTGGGCGAGGAAGAAAATTTACTCGACTTTGGGGACCAACTATTGCAGGTTACAAATGATGTTCCACCAAATGCTTCGATTCAACAGCCTTCGGTGGCCCAGCTACAGGCCGCAGAACAAACAGAGGCAGGCACTAATCGAGTATCTGCCAAGATGGCTAGATCGAGGCGGATCAACCCACATGCTATGTTGGATGAAAGAATCCAAATTTCCAGCCGAGAACTCAGAGATTGGACTGAAAACTACGTTTCGAATGCCGAATCCCTCCGCCAACAACAGCGAAAGACCATCACTACTCTTGGGCAAGCGAGGAGGAATGCAATGGCACTCCTCTATGACTACGGTGTCGCTCGTGTCGGAGCATATCATCAAGCGGAAGGTCTAATGCATCCACTGGCAGCTGATTTTTCCGGCATCTCGTTAAAGGCACGCCTCCAAGGAAAAGAGCCAGATGAAATCGAGCAACTCGAACCTATAAAGAGAGGCCGTCGACGGAAGTCAGATGAAGCTTTTGAAGACGAACATGGCGCAGACCAACGAAATGCAAAGCAACGAGTTATTGAAGAAGTCGAGCTTGGTCGAGGCGGTAATTACGATGAAGCACATATCATGTTTGATGATAACTCGGTTCCTGAGATAGGAATGGATGCGCCGCCGCCAATGGAAGATCATCATTCTTCCTCAATGATGCCATGGAGTCGACCTGGCTCGGCTGTCCCAGGATCTTCCGTCCGAGGCAGTGCCCAGAAGCCAAAGACTGCCCCCAGCCCTCTACTCGGCCGTGGAAGTGCTCTGAATACCATCGATCGCCATAGTGATCCTGCCGAGCCGCTCTTTGGAATGGACGACTTTGGTTCTCACGACTCGTCTTTCCAACTGAGTGGCCCTATTGGTCCTCTGGACTATGATCGAGACAATGCCACTCAATTTTCGACTCAAGGCCTTGATGTTACTAGTCAAGATTTCCTGGGTTATGTAGCAGAGCAAGCTGCAAAAAAAGGGGTCGTCTACGGCCGAGACAAAAAACATCGTCGGTGGATTGAGTTTGAGGAGCTAGCCGAACCAACTACTCATCCTAGAGCCGTTGCCGCTCAAGCGTTTCTACATGTGCTATCGCTGGCGTCGAAGAACGTAATCTCAGTCCACCAAGAAGGCGTGGCAACCATGCAGCCTTTCGGGGCTCTTCACATTGGAATAAACGCCTCTGTCAACGAAATGTTTGACACGCAGATGGAGTCGGAAGATGAGCTTGCTTAAAATTTTCAGAGCGGGTGTAATTACATGTCATGGTGGTTTTTTTTTTTTTTTTTTTTTTTTTTCGATCCTCGATTTACGGACGCATCAAATATTCTAATTTGCATGGCGTATCTATGATTTTCGAGATTTACTGGGAAAGATTCTTTCCTCTTCTTCTTTTTCTTCATCATCATCTGGAACGGGGCGTTAGGAAACAAGGGTATCTAATTTTCACACTGGGACATCTGGAGGCAAGTCAGTTGAGCGACTGGACGCAACTAATATTTCGAGTTTCATCTTTTCTTCTGCCATGAATTTCGGAGCATTTGGGACAAATACGGGAATACGGACGTCTTAGTGTAGATTGATTTAGTTAAGATGCGAACGTTAATGATGGCAATTGGACTGGGTTAACAAAGGATGATTTAATCAAAGGCACTGCAAAATGGCAGTTTCCACCGCGTCACGATAGCTACTAGGATGGTTCATGGACACAAAATAGTATATTAACGCCAGTTATTCTATTTAATCATCAAATTCATCTTCAGCATCTGCTCCCTCCCGATCTGTGAATACCAGATACTCTGCACGTTCCTCATCAGTAGCATTTAGGTTAATCATCTCCCAAGCGCTCTTAACAGAATCCAGTACAGAATCATTGAACGCAAGATCCAAGGGCAGCAGAGAGAATTCGGCTGTTTGCCCATCAATTTCCACAGATGGAGCATCAACCCCAGTTTGTTCATAATACAACTGGTATAGTACCTTGGGGGACTCTTCGCTACTCTGCGAAAGAGAGGTGAGAAGAGATGAGAGGGCTTTCTCAAGATGCGTTTGGGCATTTGGGCTTGTGAGAGAGCTTAGATACAGTACACCTGATGAGATAGAATGTTAGCAAAACTATCGCATTTTCATATTCCAAAAGTAGAAAATAAGATGCCAAATATGGAAGTGTTTATCAGGTTGTCAGAGGAAATTATCGTCAATGTAATTCCGCAGTTATAAAGTATTCGTTTTTCGTTTTTTTCATCATAACACGGAGGGGTGGAAAGAAAAGAAATTTGGGGTAAATGAAAGAAAACTTACATTGTCCAGTAGGGCATTCGCCCGCATCACTCGAATGAACTAGGGCGTAGATGGGATACTCAGAAGAGGCTCCATCTTCGCCAAGGGTGGTGCCAGCAGGGATTGCAACCACAGCAACCGCTGGCACCGGAGCACCTTCGGTCACCGTCTCAAAGATTGACGGTAGGCCTGAGTTGACAATCGCTGTCAGCCTGCTAAGACGGCGGCTTTCACCTGCCGGCTTGCCCAGGGCCCTAACTATAGCCTTTGACTTGACAGTCATATCGTTGGTCAGAACGACATTGAACTCCTCGGGCGTTTCAGCGGCGGCGGAGATTTTCTGAACGTCTTTGATGCCAACGCCAAGCATATAAACGGCGCCACCAACAGCACCAGCTCGGCAGCCCACTTGGGCAACTTCAGAAAGGCCTCCCCATTTGGGGTAAACAGCTGCAAAGCCAGGGCCAAACACTCCCATGGATGTGAGATGGCGATGGATAGCAACGAGGCCAGCTTCTGTTGAAATCTTGCCATCAAGACCCAAGGTCAGAGTAATGATGTATGCCTGCAGATCGGCGTCGAGCTTGAACTCCGTCGCCAGGAAACTCGCCAGCGAGTCACTTGCATGAGGCTTCCACACATCAGCCTGCGGCTCAGAGTCGTAGTCCAGCACAAACTTGAGGAACTTCATAAGCCCACGCTTCGCCTTTGCCGAAATAGTCGTATTGGTAAATACATCTTCTCGGGTCGAGGGTATGCGACTCAGGCTATGGGTAGACGACGACTCTGAAGTCTTGGGCTGGAGTATGTAAAAAGACCCCACGGCAAGGAACTCAAGCTGGCGGAACGCTTTCGACGACACCAGCTTCGAAAGAAGCTCCGAGCGCGTATGGATCAGCTGCGGTGCCAGCGCGAGGCTGTAGGCCCTAGACGACGATAGGCTTTCGGCACCACCGGGTCGAGTGGCCTGCGCGGCTGCAAACACGCCATCGCCTTGAGCAGACTGGTGGTTCGCGGCCCATTCATCCACCTCCTGCAGGCTCAGGACGGCTTCCGCCTCGCCGTAGTACTCGTTGGGGTCAACGTGGAGGATGTTCTTGCCAGATCGCGACAGCGCACTTTCATGGGAGAGAGAGAAGGCTGGTCAGTCAGTCTTTTGAAGGGGCAGCAGCCAAGCCGATGGAATCCGAAGCTTACAGGGCGAAGAGGGATTGCTGGAGCCCCGTGCCGCTGATCACTACATCCCACTGTGTGTCTGAGAGGGATTCCATGGTTCGGTTCAAAAATGGACGGAGGGAGGGAAAAAAGACGAGAGCAGGAAAAGAAAAAAAGAAAAAAGTGTTTAAAAGCGTTTAGCTAGAGGGTTCAAGCTCAAGCGAAGTGGAGATGAATCTTGCTAGTGAGGTTTGGCATATGAAGCTGTAGCAGCAATAAGTGCTAGCACCAGTGGTCTGTATTAGCTAAGGCAGATGGCCCGTGCTTTTTCATCGTCTAACTTCCAAGCAGCTCCAATTTCTGAGCTTTTTTTCTTCTTCTTTTTCTCTCCATAGTTTCACCGCCCGTCGAATTTTTACCGTTATGTCTTTGATACTTTATGTATGTGGCATCGCGATCTCATTTGACTTAAGCGGTAGAGAGAGTCGTCGGCCGGTATCTACTGCCCTAGAATAAAGTCTGAAAGGGTGGTTCGAATGGTTGATACATGCTCACTTGAAAAATTGTGTTTGATGTAATGTGACTTGTTTCCGGAGTTATCTGGCCTCATATGCAGAGCTTGCACACGGCGCTATTAATATGATCTGGCTATGTAAAACTCGGAGAGCAAAATAGCTCCCAGTATCTGGACAAAGTTGGTATTATGCTATTCTAGATTTTACTGGCTGCCAGTTATTGCTGATGCAAAGTCCTCCCATCGCTTACTTGCCCAATCCAAGAATTCCTTCGATGTAAGCAGTTTTGCCGTCATGACTGTGCCTCCATGCTTCGAGATGGACAAGATCTTTCTTGAACCTCCTGTGCAGTCAATGACAATTGTGACTGTCTCGTCGCATAATGATTCCTCCAAAGTATCTGGATCGGCCAGCAGCCAGAACTTGCCATCCGCAGGCTGGTCTTTCGTCTCCTTGCCGGTGAAAATGACGGCTGTGCAAGAAATAGGCATGCTTTCCACAGCGAGAGGCTTGGGATTTTTCCTAGAGCATAGAATCATCTCTCTGTCTGGGTCATAGCGAGCCTGTGGCAGCTTTGTATCGCGTAAAGCAGCTACTGTTGCTGCCCATGCCGCGTCAAACGGGTTGCCATCGAAAGAGATGAAGAAAAGGTCGATGTATAGCACCCAGTATGCTACCACGTATTTTTCTCCTTCTTTTTCCTCACTTTCTTGAGCTCCTTCTTCCTCATCTGCGAATGACGCTTCAGCCGGTCGATTGTGCCATATCCGCAAGTCTTCTGCTCGTAGGAGCTTGGAGCTGTGTAGAAGAGTGTAAATTTTGGTGCTCAAGGTTTGGGCGAGAGTTGTGGGTGGGCCACCAGGCAAGAATTGCGGCGCAGAACCTGTGGCAAGTTCAATATTGGGGACCAATAAGTCGTAATCGGCCAATTCTGTCTGTGTATTGGATGCGCGGTAGTTGGGGATATGGTCTGTCAGGATAGTTTCGGCCCGGATTCCGCAAATGACTGTGGTGTCTCCTGTCCGGACCAAAGCACTTCCGTGGGCATGTGACAAGCTAGACAAATTCACTGTAGGTTTTCGGACCTCGAAAGGAGCACGGCCATTGCTTCGCGCAGGAGGAATGGAGTCGTCGGATGGTTCGAGGTTTGCGAGGAGATACGGATGAGGTGAGAGCTTGGCAAAGGTAGAGCGTGATAGGCCCACCTCTGGTGCCATGATGATTCGAGAATTTTCCGCGTGCTAGAAGGGTATACGAAAGACGTTTTCACAGGTAATGCCGTCAGAGAAACGAATGTTCGGAATTTGTTTGGAGTTGTGTTCTGCGCTCCAATATCCAAAAAGGCGTCTGGAAAAGAAAACTTGGCTATCAGCCTTGCGGAGTGTGGAGAACTGGATTATCTGCAGCCAATGAAATCGCCGTGGGGTCACAAGGCTGAGCATGGGCTACCATGACAGGATGTTGATCCTCATCGCCAGGACAGGAGATGGCTTGGGAATTCGGAGTTTGAAAGAATAAGATCCTGATCGATCGATGCCGTTGCTGCCGGATTGCCTCGTATATATGCAGCGTGTGGTTCGATCAATCATGAATTGCTACTCATCCCAAGACGAATCGGCCGTGTTGTCTGCATAAAAGCTGCTCAGGAACAAAGTTTTGGATTCCGACTTTCGCTACACGTGATCTGGCTGCAACGCTGCAACCCAGTTCTCAAGAATCTTCTACAGAGTACCTACGGAGTATGCATATGTGCATATGCCTAGCACTAAGGTACTTACGTATAGTACTACAGTACCTTGAATGTGGTATTCTTGAAGTGCTACGATAGCAGCATCTGCAAGGAGCAGCTGCAGCTACTCCGTACACGAACCCACCGCCAGAAATTGGGAACCATCCTCCCTATTGCAGCAAGCCGGCGCTTGATAATAAATGCCACGATGGGATGATTCTCGCGGAACAGCAAGGCAATCAGGGGAAAAAAAGTTCCCGAACGATGCACGATATCGATGTCCAGCAACGGGCGGCAGCGGCAGCGGCAACAGCAATTAGGCAACCCTGCGAGAGACGCCATGCCATGCAAACAGCCAGCCAGCCAGATACTACGCCAAGAAAGCATGCTCTCTGCACATAGCATGTACTGCTGGCTGTTTGTTCCTGACAAAGAGCTCATTATGAGGAAGATTGGCGGCCATCTTCCCTGTCCCCGCACCCCCGTTTGCTGAGTCCGCTGCCGTCCCTCTAAGCTGAGCAGCGAATCATACGCCCCAGTTTGCCGCCCGTGTCCAAGACAGGCCCCCTCCAACCGAGTGCCGCCCGTCGAATCACAGTGCAGAGCGCATGTAGCTCGCTGAGGTCGTCACCAACAGCCCTCGGCCGCCGTTTTTTACTTGTTCAAACGGTCCTCGATTTGCAGCTGTCCGAGCTCGTGAGTGGCTCAATCGCCAACTCGGAGCTCCCCCCTCATTTCAATCATTTGAGGGCTAATTCCCTAATCGGGAGCGAAGGGACTTTGATGTTGGTGACTACAAGTTCGTGGCTGTTTTTGCTCCACTGCCTTTGCTTGGCAGTTGGCAGGCAAGGAGGATGCGGTATCCTGGCGGCAGAGGATGATCTGAGCTTCTAGCCAGCACTGTGTTCTCTGAAATGTCTCGGGGCCTAGTCATTTCTTCGTCAAATCGGGGTCGTCAATGATATCCATGGGCTGTCGTCAGCAAAATCGGAGACCAAATGCAGCTCGACTTTGGACGACTTTGGACGAAGAATCTGCCATGAATCGATCCCCGGTTAGCTTCCGCCCGTGCTTGTGCAGTGTGCAGCCGAATCCTTGCTCAAGCATCAATCGTCTGCCGAGAAGAGGCCAACCGCCCCCACCAGTCGTTCGCCAGTCCCGCTGATTGCTACTGCGTCGCAGCAGCAGTACCTGTCTTTGCCTGACTTGGGGCACCCCATGTCTGTATTCCGGAGCTATGCCCGTGGACTGACCTGCATGCCGCCGCGTTCATCACCTTGCCTGTCACACTGGGCCGCGCCAATTTGCCCACCTCGGCGTGGTCACCCCCGGATGCACAAAGTCAGCCACCAAGCGACCAATCTCGCGACCTGCCCAGCCGCTGGGGTCGATGTGCTTCCCGTTAATCTCTGCAGCTTTTCCATCTCCTCCTTGGCCGGACTGTCCGATTGATTGATTCGAGCTGTCACAGTCGTTGCATCGTTCCATTCCCCGCTCACATGGCAATATCGTACATCACCAACGCCTGATGCCCGTTCGTATCTGATCCGCCGCTTGTCGCCCGCCTTTTCCATGGTCATTACTGCTTGTGGTAATCCATCGTTAATGAGATCCACCGACTTAAAAACCCTTGTATCACTTGCTCCATGCCGAGTGCAGGGAGCTAGGAAGCTGTAGGAGTGATGTCTGTGCTTTATATCCTCACGAGCCGCCACATTTTAGCCCCCCACTGCTCATCAGTTGTTGATCAATCTTCACAATCCCGCTGCTGAAGCTCTTTCGCTTACTGCTGGCGTTGCTCATTTCGAGAAGTCTGGAACTCGTCGGTATGACTGCAGAGCGCGCTGCTGCTTGATTGCCACTCGTTTACGGCTGCAAGTCCGTCCTGATCGCTGATCGGTGGCTGTAAGCGCCCAGGCGGCTGTAATGCAATAAAAGCATTCGTTGTCCTTGGCCCAGCTTGAAACCGCAAGCATTCCCATTACTTGCGTCCCACCCAGGCGCGGAGTAATACTACCACCGCGTCCTACTCCAACTCCCTGCGCCGCATCACCACCTTTGCTACGGCGCAGCTGAAGCGACCCAGCTGGCCATAATGGCACCCCAGGTGCAGGAACTCACCACCCAAGCCACGCGAAGCGTTTCCGATGTTGTCAAGCGGATACTGATTCCCTTGACTCCTACCAGCCCGCCGGGTCTCGTCCAAGCGAATACCGTCGATCCTTGGGCCAAGGCCGGCAAATATGCTCTCGGATGGACCTATTTCGCGGCCGCGCTCTCGGGCTGTGTATTCTTGGTTCGCGTGTGGCACTATTGGCAGGACAAGATTCGGCAAGCCATTTACAAACAACAAGTAGAAGCTCACTATCGAGACACTTACAATGTTGACGCCGAGTTTGTCATGTCTGCGATTCGCTCTGGCACAGCCGAAGAGTTCTTCACCGAGGGTAACCATATAGGCGAGAAGAAGTTTCGTCCGAAGGCGCATTTCTCTTCCATTGGGTTTGTAAACGATACTCTGGCCTTGTTTCGATGGATCTTTTATCGATCTATTCCGGATATTGTCATCGGAAAGTTCCGCTTTACCTTCTCGTCGCTTGCGGTTCTGACGGCAACATTCATCGCCTTTGCTTTCGTCACCCTTTATACCTTTTTGCAGCAGCCACTCTACTGGGAGAGCATTCGATTTGGCGCGCCGCCTGTGGCGATCAGAGCTGGCATGCTCTCCGTGGCGTTGACTCCATGGATTGTCGCAACGAGCATGAAGTCCAACTTATTGACCCTGTTCCTTGGCATTGGGCCAGAGCGGTTGAATGTATTTCACCGATGGCTTAGCTACATTGCTTTATTTCTGGCCCTGGTTCACATGATCCCTTTCTACATTCAACCTGTGTGGGACGATAACGGTATGTCCGTTTGGGCTTCGACTTTCCCACCTGGTAGCGGCATTATATACGGCACCGGTATTGCCTGCATAGTGCCATTGATTTGGCTATGTGTGACCTCGTTCCCTTGGATCCGGAGAGTCGCCTACGAATTGTTTGTCATGTGCCACGTTCCAGTCGGCATTCTCTACGTTGGCGTGTTGTTCTGGCACACCAAAAATCGCCTGATGACCTGGGACTATCTCTATGTGACTGTGGCCATCTGGGGAGCTTGTAATATCGCGCGACTCTTCAAAATGAACTGGACCAAGCCAGGACGATTGTCTTTCATGGTCGGTGATGAGGCTGCCATTACCCTAATGGCTGAGAACGCTATTAAAGTCACTATACCTACTCAGATGCGATGGAAGCCCGGCCAGTACGTTTATCTTCGTATGCCTGGTATTTCGTTCTTCGATAACCATCCTTTCACAATTTCATCTCTCTGCAGTGAGGATTTCCCTTCCGAGTATGGAGAGAACTACCGAGATTGTATTCTCCTTTTCAAAGCCTATGGCGGCTTTACTCGGAAGGTCTTGGAAACTGCAATCGAAAAGGGCCCGTTCCATACATACCGGGCGTTTTTAGATGGTCCATATGGCGGCATGACGCGTGATCTGGCTGCTTTTGATACCTGTATTCTGATTGCTGGCGGAAGTGGCATTACTTCACTGATATCACAGCTTCTCTACCTGGTGAAGCGAATGCGTGATGGCAAGGCCATCAGCAGAAAAGTTGTAGTCGTTTGGGCTATGAAAAAATTGGAAGACATGGACTGGTTTCGAGAGGAGCTGCGCATCTGCCGTGAATCTGCGCCTCCCGAGAGCGTAAGCTGCAAGTTCTTTGTCACTGGAGCAGTTCGGAATCGACCAGGGCAGCAAATGACTGCCCCCATCAACGGAGGAGCTAGCCGAGCTTTGACTCACAAGCTCCACGATAAACTTGATGGCTTTGTCGCAGGCATTGCTTCAAAGCGAAATTCGGCTTTTATTCAGGCTGAGGCGCAGGGTGATCCGGAACGGGAGCGCGAACTTCGCGCTGAGAATGAGGATCGCATCACTGCGCTTCCACAACAACAGTTCTTGCAGCCTCATCAGTATCCACCTCCACCTAACCTCCCTTCTGAAACGTCGACGATAAATCAAACCGTTGCATCTGAAGATGGTTTCGATCATAAGCTCAATGAAAATGGTTATCCTGAGGACAAAAAGCCACAGGACCCGGCGCAGGAAATCCAACCTATCCCAGCTCATCCTATCCCAGTCCCGGAGCTCGCGCATTTATACAATTCTAATATTCCCGTCGGAGCCAGCGAGCGTCCCGTATCTACCTTTGGCCCACCGGCTGGGTTTGACTTTGGATTCCCGCAAACTCCCACCGAGTTCCAAAAGAACCTTATGAGATCTGCGTTTCCTATGCCACACCAAACCGAGGACGGTTGGACCATTGAGTACGGTCGGCCTGAACTGGGGTACATGCTCAAACAATGGGCCACAGGTGGACCAGAGGGCAGAGGCATCCTTGGCCGAAGGACCGCCGTCTTCGTCTGTGGCCCTCCGGGAATGAGAGTCGGTGTGGCTAATTCGGTGGCGAAACTTCAAGCGGAAATTTGGGGCGACGATGAGCTAGAAGAAATATTTTTGCATACAGAGAATTACGCTCTATAGAGTCAGCTTCCTCTTATGTGTATTTGTAGATACAAGGATGATTGGGGTGGAGGATTATGACTGATGTATATTTTTCTTTGAAGTTATGATAGGCTACAGAGCCACTGAGATACCACTTGTACATAGCAGCAAACACATATTTTCATTTTTGTTCCTAATTGAGTATATTAATCCTCTCATATCTATCTTCTCTCTCCTTCTTGTATATGTCAATGGTCATAGAAGCTGATGTCATTGGAGGTAGCGTAATATGGACATATAATAAAGGACAGCGGCTGGTCGGTAATAGTAGCACAATTATAGTGAGACGCCGCGATCGCTAAATATGTTTCCTTTGGCTCCTATATGCTCAGATAGCTTCTACATCTTACATTTGAATGAAATGTTAGGTCTCTTTTGAAGCAGAAGTCTCTTTACAAAACATTTTCTCACTCGTGTCCATCCGCACGCCTACCTACCCTATTCTAATAGCTAAAGCGGATATCTTAAAAAATGCAGTTCTTGAATATCTTTGCCGCCCTCGCTGCTCTGATGGCTCCTGTCTTGACTGGGCCAAGTCCGGGTGCCCAACAGACTGGAGTTGATATTATTAACGCCGAGACTGTCGAAATTCCTGCCGTCCTCGTCTGAGTAAGAGCCATTAAACTACACCTGTTAATCCATGACACCTTTAAAAAAAAGGAACCTTCTAATTAAGCTTTTCTCTCATAGCGTCTTGCAAGGCTGACAAAGAGTGCTGCTCACTCTCTTGTATCAAGCGGCACAAGATCAAGGTCTGCAAGTAACTGATTTTTACGAGCCTGCTGAGGAGAAATGTGCTGCTGAATCACGGTGCCCATGCGACTGCAGACTTGTTGCGCCTCATATCATATTTGGCATCCATGCTTCAGCCTCATAAGCTTTTAGTTTTTCCCTGTGAATTTCTCTTGATATTGTCTAGTCATTATATTGCAGATAAGATTTAATGACGCCGGTATAGGAAAAAAAAATACAGAAGCTTGTTTAAATTTCGGGAACAAAGGCGATACTTCCGTTTATGGCAATTCTTTTTTAATGAAGATCTTGAGCCTTTTATTTTCTTTCGAATTAGTCAAACTTACTACCTTGATGGCATGAGTCGTGAACAAACGGGCAGCCAGAAGGCGAGTGTTGAACTTTCCGTGTACTCCATTGAACCTGCCGGGCACCTTGATGGCTAGCGGCATTGTCGTCATATATAGGCCGACCGTGGTTCACTGCAAATCTTCCTGCTGCATATAATCTGCATTCTTAACAGAGACACCATAAAGCAGAAATATTTTGCATTTAAATCTCTTGCTTAGCCTCAATAGTTACCTGTTTTTGACTCAAAGGGGCGTTTGCTCGGCTTTGGATATCATCAGTTTATCGTCTCGCGCGACACCATGTTCGACTACGACGACGGCGTGCTAAAGAAGATGGAGAAGGGATGGGCTATTGCAATGCGGTGCTCAGAACAAAGACTGCAGAGAATATACGAATGGACAGATGCGGAGCTCAATACTGCTGTCAAAGAAGGAATGGTGATGCTGGAGACAGTGTGCGTGTTTGTGCACGGATGTATCAAATCAGGACAATACAAGTGAGCTAAGCTACCATTCCGCCGATCGTATGGATGTTGGTGCTGATTGCTGACTTTGGAATGCTATTCGTTTAGACTGCCCGCTGATTTTTGGAAGATTCTACATGCTGAGTATGGAATCATCGTTTATCCGTCGGCCTTGACAGAGAATGTTGCTGCCGTGGGCGTGGGAGCGTCCCAGACCTTCTCGGAGGTGTACAGCAGCCATATTGGTAGGGAATGCCATCGGAATCTACACATCTGGATTGATGCACTAACGTGTGACTCTTTTTTTATAATATAGTCATGCTTGGAAGGCGAGATACAAACCATCCACCACTTTGCCCCTTTGAGTATATAAAGGAGCCGTTGCCGGTATACGAGAAGTGAGAGGATAACGTTCAGAACAGTGGTCGTGGTTTGGAATTAAGTAGCGAGTTTGAAGAATACGAATATCTCGTATGCTAATAGATGATAGCGCAAGAGGAAACATTTGCAAGATGAATAAAGAAGATAGAAGAAAGATCACTCAAGGTTATGAATCCATCTTTTGTCCCATGGCGCCATCTCGGTTTGCCCTCCAGACGCCTTCTTCGCCCTCAAACTCTTCTCTCTTCCACACCTCTACTCTTGACTTGCATGCTTCCAAGGCCTCTTCACCTGCCCGCCACGCAGCTTGTCTATGCGGTGACGAGACTGCGATGAGAATGCTCTCTTCGCCTATGGGCACGGTGCCCAAACGATGAATCATGGAGATGCCCTTGAGTCCGTGCTTGTTGAGGATGTCTTTGCAGATAGCCAGCATTGATCGCAATGCCAGTTTGTTGTAGGCTGTGTAATGAAGTTCCTTTACCGGCTTTCCGGCAAAGTTATCTCTTGTGGTTCCTGTGAACTATGTGTCATTAAAGAGCAATTATTTGGAGCGCAGATTACCTGAGATGAGGAGATTCCATGACCAACCTGCGAATAAGACGATTGCCCCGGCCATGGGGCTGCGGACTTTATCCATTGCCTCTTGGATATTGAGGTGATCATACGTCAATCCCACATAACAGCCCTGCTCCGACATCTCCCAGATTTCATTTGCGTCGCCGTCTTTGATGTCCCCCATGGCTGGTGGCGAAAGAAGCTCAACAAGGTGCTGAAATGAGTGAGACAGTATCAGAGACCTGAGACAAGTTGACAACTCATAAGAGATGCTGCGAAAAACAAGCGCTCGACAGGTTCCCAAAAAGATGCAACTCAAATATACATTAGAAGAAGATATGATTTAAGTGAGATGTAAAAGCGAAATAGCAGCGATGAATATCCAAAAAGTATAATCCAGCTCCAGGCTGTTTGCGAAGGTTTAAGCGCTCTGGGTCTAGCATGTACCTTGCACCAATAAACGGGTGCGGGGAGACAAGAGAGCCCCTCGCCGGAACACAGCGAGCGCGGCTGAGTCAGCCTCAGCTCTGAAGGTTTCTGGGCATTCCATTAAACTTGAGCCGCCATCTATAAAATCGATAAGCTACGGAGTACTACGTACCCAGTACTGCATCCCACCAATGGCTTGTTCCCTTGTCTTCAGCCTTGTTCAAGCAAGCCATCGCTAACCCTTTTTTGCTCCCGATTCCCTCTTCTGTATTTCTTTTTGTTTTCTTCATCCACGCCTATATCTTATACGCCGGCTATATATTGTGCTTTGATTGCCCTCCGTCGTTATGCGCGACGACCATCACGCACGATCCCCAGACCGGGGCAGAGACCGAGACCGAGAACGCCAGCGCGACGCTCGCTACTCTCGATCAAGAGACTTCCAGCACCGGCCGGACGACGACTACCAACAATCGCGGCAGGGTAAAGACACGGCCCGCGCACTCATAGGAGCTTGAAAAGCCTCCACTCCAGCTACAGGACACACCTTGGCAGATGAATTGAGCTTGACGGCTAACTTGCCCACGGGTCAACGAGGCTATTCACAGTCTCCATCCAGGGACGACGACATGCACGACAGCGCGTGGGACCGGCGCGGCCATCGCCCCGGGCCGCATTCACAGCATCCCTACAATGCAGATCGCGCTGGGGACTACCGAGACGCTCATGATACGCGCCCAAGGCGAGACCTGAGCCCTCATGACTGGAGCCGTGACAACCAGGGCAGAATGTATAGCGATGACTATCACCGTGGACGCCATGAGCAAGCCGGGGGCAAAGATTATGCTTCCCCCTCCTATCGCGACAGGCGACCTTACAACTCCCGATCACCGCACAGGGATTACTACAGCAGAAGTCGCTCTCGCAGTCCTGGCTTTGGCTTAGACGGCGGTCGATTAAGAGAAGCTGGCCCACCTAGCGATACCGTTATCTTTGAAGGGCTGCCTGGCAAGATTGATGCAGCAGAGGTCCGTACTGTTCAAAGAGCATACCCGAAAAAAAAAAAGAGAGAACAAACAGGACGTAATGTGTGTCTAATGAAAGCGTGAATCCAGCTACGAGAGAGCATTGTCCAGAGCTGCATCTCGGACGACTTCCCCTTGGTCGATGTCCGGATAACTCATGCCAAAGGTAGTTCTTATCTTCTGGATCTATATCTTGAGAATATTTCACTAATCTGCGTAAAAGGCAAACGCAGGGCTTTCATTCAGTTTGAGGATGTTGAACATGCAGCCGCCTTTATCAATGAAAACTTCCCAAAAGTCCGCATCACTCTGCCTCACACAACTGATGATGCTCCAGATGGCAAGATTAGTGCCTATATCCACTTTGCTCATCGCAGAGATGACACAGAAGCGCGTGTTTCCGGCGGTGGCCAATGGGTCTGCCAACCTGTAAGACTCTCTATGCTGCTCTGACTGGAGCCATAACTAAGATATACGCAGTGCGGATTCAGCAACTATTCCTCCCGCACCAAGTGCAAGCGATGCGGCGCGTTACCATCCTGTATGTTTTTGAACGCATGCTCTTAACGGCATCTCTCAACTAACAACGTCTATCATTCTTAGCCTCAGCAATGCAATTAAGTTTGAATCCAGCGGCTGATGCGGGCGATGCACCTACGCAGATCCTGGTAGTATATCCCCTGCCTGTGTTCGTTAATGAGGACATGTTTGCTGCGGATATGAAGCGACTCGAGCTTGAAAAGCCTGACGCAGCCAGTCAGAAGCTGGCATCAGGCTCAAAGCTGCAGTCGACTGCTCCAGCTGATCGCGCAGCTCGGACCGGTGCACGCCCAGGATCGCTCCACCGCGTATTCTTGATGCGCGATCCTATTACTGAGGAGTCGGCCAAATATGGCTTTGCTGAGTTCTGGACTCTGCAAGACGCCGTTGACGCCATGGCTAAAATCAAGCTGCTGCCATCCTTTACTGTCTCGGCTTGTGCCGTTACCGTATCTCATATTCACATGGGAGTATTTGTTCCTGAAGATCGTCAGGTTACGCCTGACATGGAACGATTCTCCTTCAATCCTTTATTCAACACTGCTCTGCGTGTTCGATACCGCGATCTGCGAGCATATCCCAGCCAGAAGGTTATTGCGACAGAGTCTCCTGACAATCCCACGGGAAACGGAGAGCCTAAAGGCGGCGAGCAAGACAATAGCAAAAAGATTAAGAAGAGAAAAGCTGACGATCCTCTGGGCGCTACCCTTAAAAGATCAGCCCCAGCTATGGCTGGCCACATGGCCATGTGGCAGAAGAAGCATGAAGAGATTCATGTAAATGAACCTGGTGGCACAGCAGCAGCAAAACAGCCTCCACTGCCTCCGAAGAACTCCAAGGCAGCACCTATCAAGTTTTCAATTACTGGAACATCGATGCAGGCTACTGATCCTCCACCGCCTTCATTACCGCCTCCAGCACCTCCTGCGGATGCAGCACCTCCACCTCCACCTCCATCAAGCGAACAGAAGGATGACAATATCTCTCCGAGCAAGTCTGATGCGGGAATCAAAGCTGAGAAGCCAATTACCCCATATGGGGACCGAGACAAGCTTCAATGTCTTCTTTGCATGCGTAAATTCAAGTCATTGGACGAATTAGGTCGCCATGAAGGTTCGCAGCTACATGCGGAAAAGCTGCAAGACGAGCAGTCTATCAAAAACGCACTGGAGAGATTAGCAAAACGGGGGATCCAGCCGCAGACGCAAGCTGAAGCGGATGATGATGGCAGCTCCACGGCACCAAAATATCGCGATAGAGCCAAGGAACGGCGTGAGCAATGGAATCAGCCCAAAAAGCCCTTGCCTACCTCAAGCGATAAAGGCGCTTCAGGACCTCCGAAGGACCAGGCCAAACCTCCAGCTCAAGAGAAAGCTCCGATACAGTCCAAGGGTGCCGGCATGCTTGCTAAGATGGGTTGGACGACTGGCACTGGCCTTGGTGCCAATGCTGAGGGACGCACCGAGAGTATCGTAACCAACGTGTATCGGGAGGGCGTCGGCCTCGGAGCTGAAGGCGCCAATCTAGGCAACGCACAGGCGTATGGAGAGAGCAGGACACTCAATAATCGGCAAGATTATATGAATGCAGTGAACGACCTGGCGAGAGAGCGGTTTTTTAACGAGTTTGGTGGAAAGAAGGATGAGAAGAATGGCGAGCAGAAGGACGAGTAGAAAGATTGGGGGAGACAGTTGGAAAGAGGTCGTGAAGCAACAATAGGCATGAGGTATTGGAGATTGAAGCTGAGTGGATATGCTTCTACATACATATAATGGCGTTTGTTTGAAAATACAAGTGATATTCGATAGCTTTAGTTAATAGCTATTTCTTTACCAGAGATTTTTTCCCCTATTACGTTTCCCCTATTGCATTTCTTCTTATTTTGAAGCTATATTTGAAACCTCAAGAGGAAGCCTTGCGTATGAAAACAGTGCTCGAGGACTATACGAATGGTTCTCTGTAGAGGAGCTGTATTATAAATGCCAAAAATGTCTTTTATTAAAATTATATCTTTTTTTTTTTTTTCAGCGTCCATCCATGTGCGCGCTTGGTTTATTCGGCAAAATCCATAACCTATTCAAACGTATCCAAGAAGCCAACATCGTTTCCTTGCCTCTAAATCGTTTCGAACTTTCAAACATTTTCATAATGTGACAGGTAAAATCACGATATATCTACCACGCGCTTCTCACACCCATCTCAGTAGTACCTATTAGTAGTTGTAGAAAAGACAAAAAAAAAAAAAAGAAAAATGAGAAAAATATCCTAAACACCTCGCTATATTTATTTCTAGCTTTATAGCGCATTCATAATCATGGAAAGAGTCACAAAGACGGTGCCTGCGATGGCGGCTGAGAAAGCAGGATGCAGCGCGACGCCGGCATTTCCTAAAGAAGCGTTAGAACGGCCAGGGATTGCCAAGGATGCGAGAGAGAGAGAGAGAGAGAGAGATTTACCTTTGCCTGAGTCGCTTGAGTCGTCGGATCCTGTAGAAACAGGGCCAGGAATAGTTTTGGAGCCCGCCTGGAACTCAATGATGGAGCTGCTTGTCGCATTGAGGGTCGCCTGGGCAATGCCGACCTGCTTGTTCTGCAAATCATACACGACATAGGCGGAGCGCAAGAAGGTGTCTCCGAGAAGAACAAATTGGTCTGAAGAGATGCCGTAGTCCGAGATAGAAGCCATGCCGAAAGTGCAAACGCCGCTCCAGCCCTTGAATACCTGGCTCAAGGTTGGGTCTGAGAAAATCTGATCTTGCACGCCTGACAGATTGTTGAGGACCATTTCATCGATGGGGACTTGGATTGTCTTGTTTGTAAACTGGAAGCTGAAAAATGTGTCTTTGGCGTTTGCCTTGGCGCAGTCAACAAAGGGAACGGGAATGCCCCGGACGTTCATGACGTTGAATTGCTTCCAAACAGCCTGTACGACGTCATCTGGGAGGAGGCTGATGGTTGAACCAGAGTCCAGAACAGCGGTGGCGTTGACCGCAGGAGAGTCGACGCCGGTGACTTTGAATCCATTCAGCTGAACGGCGTACATGACAATTTCTTTCGTCCTAGCAATAGATGCAGGCAGCGACTGGAAGGGCAGAGTGGCGAGGCCGCCGTGGAACTTGTCGGTGTCAACGCCGCCGAAGAGGATGGAGCCCTGGCTGGTCTGCAGGTCATTGAGGTAGAGGCTGAAGGCCGGCATGGCGATGATGCCTTGAGATACCATGTTTTCGATGACGGTGGGATATTTGATTGAAGCGGCCTCGTTTGACCTGAATCCCAAGCCCATCAGGCCTGTTCCACGGACAGACTGTGTAGCCAGGCCCATTTGCTGGTTCTTGATGGTGGCACTGTTGATGGTAACGGTGTCTTTGAAGTACCTGCCCATGATGTTGCGGCCATCAAGATAGGTGATGTTGAAGGGTTGTCTAGTTGAATTGAAGGTTTTGCTTTTGCTCTGATCAACTAAGGGACGCGAAAGAAAATTAGCTTCACTGAGCGCTTTGATTCTGAAGGAAGCCTTCACAGCAACTGGCCCGACTTACATTGCTTTGAGCAGTATTCGCCAACTTCCTTCTGTATAAGCGAATCCGTGCAGAGATCCGCGTCCACCGAGTTGACCCAGGTATCACTGCTACCCGTATCAAGCATAAAGCTCAGCTTCTGGGGCGGCGTGCCAACGCTGAACTCGGCATAGTAGCCACCCCCGGTGAGATTGTTGAGGGCATCCAGCCCAACGGTGCCATCGCGCCGCAGCAATGTCGGGAGCGGGTTGCTGTCGAGGAAGCGCTTCTCAAAGGGAACGGAGACGACGCCTGCAGAGACGGTGCCGGCAGCAACGAGACCTGCCAGCGAGGCGTACTGCAAGGAGGACCGCATTGTGGACGTGAACAGCCAAAAATCGCACGAGGGAGCGAGAGACAAAAAGTCCAATGCCAACGAGAGAAAAAAAAAAAAAAAGAATAAACGTGCTTCTGGAAACGCGGAAATGAGGACCTCAGACTTGGGGCCCGTCTTGTGTATTTAAGCATAGATTTTAGAGCTGCGGCGATTGCCCGAAAGAGCTGAAAACCATCGTTTCCTCGTCGTCGCCGCATCCCTGCCGCTGCAACGGGCTAGAGCCGCTTGGGCTGGGATATCACGCTTGTGACCCAAAAGGCCCCCAGTCCAGTGTAAGCGAAAAGTCGCCCCATGTTGCAAGTAAGTCTCTTTTTTACCCGTGATGGGCGAGCTCAATAGTACCTAGCAGAGGTTCCTTGGGGGGGGGCGTGACGCCGTTGATAGGGGGCTCGCGATGCTGATGAAACTGCCGTGTGTTTGTGCCTTGAGAGTTGTGTCTTGGACTGCTGCGGGCGTCACCATTGTCCCAGCAAGTGAATGAGTGACAGCGCAGAGCAGCCCGCCAAGCCAGGGGAGCCTCCCTAACGCCAAGGCGCCTTGGCTGCAGCTAGCTCGACAGACGGCGTCGCGTAGGATGAGAGCGCAGCACCGCTAGCATGAATATTAGCAGTGCTAGGTAGTCAGATAGTAGTGTAGCCAGGCCCGAATGTGCTTGGCAGCGCAATTCAGCCACCCGTCAATCCTTCTGGAGCTGAAGCGCCACTTGAGCGATCCAGAACTGGCCGAAGACGACTGTCCACCTTCCGTGAAGAGCCTCCACTGGGACCAGCCAGCGCGCTCTTTGATATCCCTTTTTTTTTTTAATCCATGCATGTCTTTTTTTATCTCCTTGGCCATTTTGCTAGTTTTGGATGTGCCTCGCTGCGCCACTAACCCGGTTCAAGCCAATTGAGCGTTGCAGGATGAGAATGAGTCAATGGCCGGGACGAAGTAAGTACACCTGCCGCGGACGGTTGAAATGGGTGATTTTGCCTGTTCTGTCCCGTAATCCTTATCCAAAAGGGGAACTGGCCGACTGGACAAGGTCGAAGAAAGAGGAGAAAGTTTTAACAGGCAAATAAAAAAAATATGTGCATTTTTGCAAACGCTTTTGCAATTGGTAGTCCCTCTTAGTGATTGGAGCTGAAATAACACACTCTCAGCCATTGTGCAAGAACTACTATGCGCTTGTATTTAGTGTCACCACATGCGCAAGTAGAAGTAGAGTAAATGAGGCTGAATAAATTCGCAATATACATTAGCGTCAGCGTTTAAACATAGACTACTGTAATTTTTAACTTGAATATATAAAGTAAGCTTGTTAAATATGAAAAAATATCATAGTGCTTTTATGGTTGTATGATCCTTCAAGCCCTCGTATAATTTCAACTTAGATATCTAAATCATCAAAACAAAATTCGAAATACAGAAACTCATCAAAAATAGTAATGATAATTAAAGAGTTTTCACACACCGCAATTTGTTCGGGTCGATATTCCGGGGGGAGCCAAAGCACTGGCTTTTGTCCTTTTAGTATCCAGGTTTGATCATCGCCAAGACCAAGATCTGGCACTTTAGGGCTGTAATATAGATATTTCTCCCGAGAAAAAAAAGCAAAGAGTGTCTCCGGCGGATATGCCCCGTAAGCTTTGGGAAACGGCTCACCAATTATGCGTTTCCTTTTCTCTGGATCTAAGCAATTTCGAATTGTTTGAAGGCATATGCCTGTGAATGGATCCCAGATCTTGATAGTGCCCTCGCTTGATACAAAACCGAGCTGTGTACCGCCCGGTGAAAACGCTGTTGTTGAATTGTAAATGGCATCACAATCGATTTCAATAGTACGTAAACACGTCCCGGTTGTTAATTCCCATATGTTCAGGGATCCATTGCGCGATGCCGACGCTAGCTGAGTATTGCTTGGAGAAAATGCAATCGAAAGAGCAGCGCATGTATGGCCCGTGAGTGTTCGGAGATGTGCACCCGTGGCCGCATCCCAGAGGTTGATAATACCATCATTGCCTGACGTTACCAGCTGCATGCTGTCTAGCGAGAAAACCACGGCGACAATATGATCCGACATCTTCGTGGTCCATAAAAACGTACGTGTGGCTGTGTTCCAGATCCTGACAGTTTTACCCGCTGAAGCTAATGCTACCCACCTCCCATTAGGCGAGAATGCCATTAAATTAATCCGATCTTGGTGTAAACGATATCTCAAAAGCGGCCGCGGGGAGCTATCAGCAGCCAGATCCCAGACTTTGATGGTTCCATCTGAGTCACCTGATACCAGCTGTAAGCCATCGGACGAATAGGCCAGTGAGAAGATCGTGCTTCTATGGCCTGAAAATGTCTTCAGGCATGTACCAGTGGCAATATCCCAAATTTTGATATCAAAATCTATTGTTGATGTCAGCCGCAAACCGTCGGCGGAGAACACATTTGGGCCCTTAATGTGGTCTCTAAGTGTCAATAGGCATTTACCGGTGGCAAGCTCCCAAATGCTGATTATTTCCTGACCAAATAATAATGCCAATCGCATACCGTCAGGTGATAGTGATACTTTTATGCTCCCCATATACACATTCATAGCTATATTCTGTATGCATTTGCCGGTAGCCAAGTCCCAAACTTTGATAGCTGACCCTTCCTGAATCGAAACCACCAACGTAGCGTGAGATGCTTGATCTCTGAGCACTGATGGGCCAGTCTCAGTTCCTGTGCTCTGGGGCTCAATGGTTCCGTCGCCAGATCCTGGTTCCAGTTGTGCACAATCTGAGGGAAATACAAAGGCTAGAAATTTTTCGTTTGAGTGACTGGTGTGTGTTTGTATATCCACGCCTGTAGCAAGATCGTGAATCTTAATAATATCTTCGCTCATAAGAGCCAGATGGGTGCCGTCTGCGGAGAAGCTCACTGATTTAACATCGCCGGCCATTGACTTGAGGCAGGTGCCTGTAATAAGATCCCAGATCTCAACATTTTGAAAGCAAACCAATGCTAATTGGGTACTATTTGGTGAGAAGACCATTTTTCTTAAATAGTCGGATTTAAACGTGTGTAAACACGCTCCAGATGTTAAATCCCAAACCTTGACCATGCCACTAAATGCAGCTGCCGCTAACATTGTATTATCCCGCGAAATTGCCACTGAATTAACGAAACCTTGGAAGCCCTCAATTGTCTGCATGCAGGGACTCCAAAATGGCCTCGTCGTAGGTTTAGCCACAATCCATTTCGGGCATTGCGTTGCCTCAAACAATTTTCTTAATATACATCCGCTAGGGCTGAATATAAGGGCTGAAGCGTAAATCTGCAGAGGATAAGCTTCAATTATAGCCCTGTGGGAAAAAATAAGGCGATGGACATCTCTTGTCAATTCAAGAGTCTCATTCTTTCCGCTTTTTACCTTTTGACATTGTTAGACCACACTTTGCTTAAACTAATCCTTCGCAGGCTCTCCCTTAAGGTTCAGGTTCACATACCAATGTCTCTGTCCTCCTTTCAGGCATCACAGCGTTGGCTAGCCACTGGTCATGTCCAATTCTGTCTCTTTCTCTTTCTCTCGAGCGGGGCGGTTTAGAAATTCGGTTGTTATTGTCCTCATTTCTGCAATAATTGGCAATCAAGTCTCGTAGCTTCTGTATAGCAATTACGGCTCGGGCTAATGACTTTAACAAGATCATTGCCTCTAGCCAATATAAATACTTTTCTCTAAGGAATGAATGAAGTATTCCACCGTCTTGAAATAGCTGAGGTTGGCTGCAATGAGTTAGGTGCTCAACCCAAAATGCACAGCAATACGCTTTTGAGGCTAAAGGGTTTGGATTTGGTGGAGTAATATCATCCACACGTTCTCCTGGTGATTTGATGTTGTAAATATTGCTTTGAAGGGTTTTATCCATTATATTGAGTGAAATCTCAAACATCTTGTAGTGTTGGTGCCCAATACCTCTGGGGAAAATTCTTGTAGCCCCCTTGTGCACCAGATAGTCTTTAACAGTCTGGTGGATGAGGTATATAGTATTGTCCGTAATAGTTATAAATGATCCACAGACCTTGGCTAAGTATTTGATATCTTTTGGAAGATACCTAACCTTGGCACCGATTAATTGTGAGCTGGTGAATATATATAATTCATCAATGTGAAGCGGTCGCTCGGCGGCAGTGACTGTTGCTAGAAAAACTAGACAGGCTTCTTCATCATATTTCCATCCCTTTTTGGAACGCTCCATTATTTCATCGTAAAGGTTTTCTAGATCTTCAGGCATTTCTTCTAGAATTCTTTCAATATGAGGACGGCCAGCATCTTGCAGTTGTTGGACAACAAGCGTTACCCATAAAAAGGTACCATTCGCCTTTGTTTTAAGTGAGTTGGTTATCTTGATGCGAAGATCCATATCATCCTCAAGTGCCTCAATGTCTTGAGCACAGCGGTCTATATATGTATCAACAGCATTGGAGATATGCGCTGCATTGCTTTTTAACTCCAATATTAGCCTGTTTTCAATCGATTTTAAACCGCGTTCTATTTCCTTTTCGTTTCGACTAGATATTAACCATTTGACGTGGTTACTTGTATCCATGATGAGATTAAGGAGTGATTTGCGAGATTCGTGGTGTTGGCATTCATCGAGAGCATCAATAATAAAAGTAAAATGTGCCATGCATGGATCTTGGATAATAGTTGTAAAAATCCTGCTCAGTGCAACCCATGCATTATTCCCTTCCAAGTATCCTTTCGGTTCCTTTTCGATTTGTTTTTGGATATCTGAAAGAAGGTTTTGGTTTTGTCGAAGTACTGAGTAAATTAGGCCCTTGATAATAGCAGTGGCCGTATTGAGTCTGGTATCTGTACCCTGACAGAAGAAATACGCATATTTCTCTTGCAGCTTGGAATCATTTTCAAAATCTTTGATAATTCCACAGAGAAGCATTGTTTTGCCTTTTCCAGGGTCCCCTTTAATCCAGAAAACTCCGTTGTTCTTTTTGTCGCGCCATTGTTTAAAATCATTATGCCCGAGAATCCAGCAATACGATTCGTATATAAGGGGGCCCTTGGATTCAAGGATTCGTTTTTTATCATCCACAGGGTTCGTTTTGCTGATTTCTTGAAGAAAAATATTATCCGCAGCAGAGGGATCTGCAAAGTTAGTTAGTCTTGCCAGGCCAGAGATTATAGGTAGCTTGTGGTCCTTTTACCGTTGGTTATATTGTTGGTTATATTCCCGAGAATTACTTTTGCATCATTTCCGAAAGTATTTGCGGAAACTTCTCTCATAGATGTCATTTTTGGCCATAGGTTATTTGAACTGCTTTTGACAATATGGATATTTACAATATGTGTGAGATCAGACAATTGCTAACTTTGTTAAGATATTAATAAATTAGATAGATGAAAAATATTGGGCATGCTCGCATATTGCGCGCATCGGACATATTAGGCATCCAAAATACATCGTTATATAATATAATTCAAAGTTCCTATTGGTCACTCAAGCCTCACCTTGTATCCTTCCGCCATGATACAGTAGTAGTCATGTGCGGGGTCTCAGCCTGATTCTCCGTGCGTCTAGTCACCTCCAAAATCCCAGGTGTATCCTATAAGCTGCGTTCAAGGGCAAGCGCAAAGGTCTAGGCCAAATAATACTCTTATTATATAAACATTCAAAACACTACTATGAGATCTAGATGCAAAGTTGAGCTACATTCTTACATCTTGCTAATTCCCACATACGAACCCGTGTTGAACAATTTCCAGATCTTCCCCTCTCAGACATTCAGAATCGAGCTCAGCAATAGGCCAACGCCATATCGGAGTACAAATGAACTCGACACAAAGGCTTTACTTGCCATTTGTGACTTTTGCAAGGCTCAAATCTGGCGCGTCGTGTACCTGCGCAAATATGCCAAATATGAAGTATAAGTTGTAAAGTCCAAAGTCTTTCAAATAGTAGTGGTTAGATGCTAGTATAAGCGTCAGCGCGTTTAACCTTGTCACGTACCGTTCAGCTTTTACAACATGATATATATCAATATAATGTTCAAATCTAACAAATGTTTCAGATGCTGGAGAATGATACACTCATGGTAAGTAGTGTGTACAACTTCGCAAACAGACTACACTAAAATCACCATGCAATGTCCTCCATCCGAGCTTCCAAAACGCATCATTTCGGCTATTATATTATTCGCTAGTTAATCCATTTGGAACATTCTTCGCTCCAAGCAAAAAGCAAGGTAAAGAGGTACATCGCTACACAATATAACTCCAAGCCTCCAGTATTGACTCAAGTCTCAGCTTAATACCCTCTCGCCACGTCAATCCAGTTATGTACGGAGCCTCAGCTGCACCAGCTACAGCCTCACCATATCTAGTCACATTCCAGATTCCCGGGGCATAAGGACTCTCCCAATGTGAAGACACGCTAGGCTCCTTTTCATAAACCTCATCATCACCATTAGCCCACATAATGGTGCCGATTCTTACCATATGGAGCATTGTTGCGAATCCGTCCCGACCAGCGATAGCATAGCTATGCTTCCCCGGCCCAAGCCATATCTCAGAAGGCTTCAACCTCAAGAGTGCTCTCTGAAGCGTCGCCTCGTCGACAGTCAACGTGCGAAAATCCATCGCTCTCTGAGAAAGGGACATTTCTCTTCCAAGTTCCAGCATCTCCAGCAGTCTATTAAACATGCTTATGCTTGTCCGCGTTGGGCTGTCCATTGCCATATCCCGATCGAGGCTGACTATAAACCGTAACCGTGTCGTAGCATTAATGGCCGTCGCGCATCCTATAATAAACTTGTATTCCCAATATCGCCGAACGGCGTGTATGTTTCGAGATTCGCCGTCGTGCGCCTTCTCCTTCCCTTTGCCAGTAGTGACACCTTCGAAGAGCACTATCTCGCAGTCTGGGCACCAACCAAAGACGAATTTGACTATTTTGGCCTCGTTATCGCAGCAATCCACAAATTTCTTCCTCGGGGTCGAATAGCTGGAGTAAGTTGCGCATCTCTGCTCATCGGAGGGCGGGTAATGTCCACAAACAGTAAATAAGGAATAGACTGTGATGCACATGACGAAGATGTTGTAACTTGCGGCCGCGGGTCGTGGAGACGAAGATTCTGTTGGCAAAGCAATACAGACATTAGTCGTTTTTTTTTCTCTCTCCTGAGCTGCTAGTTGTGACTGTTTTCCTCGAAGTCGTGTATCAACTGAACTGTGAGACGTTTATATAGAGATGTTTATACATAGGATATAGGTAGGTGTGTGCCATACGCAGGCCCAAGAATGAAAGAAACTGAACAAATAAAACGTTCATGAGAAAATGGTGAACAAACAGACAAGCAAAATACGAACAATAATAACAATAACAATAGCAATGCTCAAAGGCATAGATACAACCTGCATCAGCATCAACATAGTATCTTTCTCTATGTACTGCCTGTGAACAATTATTATAACAAAATATTCATCAATGTAGTGCTCAAATTGTCGAATCCCGAATATAGCTTGTCGTGCATAGGCACTAAACGCCTTCTTCCAAAAACGCCTTTTAAATCTTGGCTGCCTTCTCTGTCTCATCTTGTTGCAGTCTCACAACACCCTAACACATTTCACTCATTAGTCTCCATCATCATAATCATCAGGAAGCAAACTCAAAAAAGCATGCGAAAATACTCACCTCCTGCATACAACTCGCCAGCAACGTCCCATCCTGCGCATATATCCTCTGCATCACCACGCCCCTCCCATCACCGCTCCACGGGCTCTCAATCTCCGAAAACATCCACTCATCCGCCCTCACCTTCTTCGGCTCGTGGAAATATATGCTGTGGTCCAGGCTCACCAGCATCCCCATCCGCGGCCGCCCGACCCAGTCCTCCAGCGTGCTGCCCAAGCCCTCAAACTCGAGAAACTGCTGCAGCGGCGCCCGCTTCTCCTCCGGCAGCGCGGCCACCTGCTCCGGCGTCATGCCCAGCCGCCACAGCTTGTGGATGCGCGACACCATGCCGATGAAGTAGCTGTCCGAGATGTACGCCAGCGCGTTGAGGTGCGCCTGGTGGCCGCCCTCGGCCGAGATCTTGCCCCGGCTGCGGTGCCACTGCCGCGCGCGGCGCTGGTCCGGCCGCGTCTCGCTGTCGTTCATGTTGAGCAGCTCGATGCGCCGGCTCTGGAAGGGGCCCTTGTCCCACGCCGCGTCCTCGTTGTCCCAGCTGGGCTGCGGCATGTCCACGCCCTCGGGCAGCGCGGCCGCGTGGCGGATCTGCTTGACGCCGCCGCTGGCCTCGCGCACGAAGCTGATGGTCGTCGTGAAGATGCACTTGCCCTTCTGCCGCGCCTGCACCGTCCGCGTGGCAAACGACCGGCCGTCGCGCACGCGCTCGACGTGGTACATGATGGGGATCGTGGCCGAGCCCGCCAGCAGGAAGTAGCAGTGGCACGAGTGCACCAGGAAGTCGTCCTTGACCGTCAGCTGCGCCGCCGCCAGGCACTGCGCAATCACGGCGCCGCCATAGACGCCGCGCGCGCCGGGAGGGAGCCACAGCGGGCGCGTGTTGGTGAAGATGTCCTGCAGGCGGGTTAGCGGGATGGCTGTGGTGATGGATGCATGCGCCTTCAAGTGCCCATGGTTTTGCAAGGTTTCCTCTGTTACTTACCTCGCCCAGCACCGCCAGCGGCGTCACTTCCACCGTGTTCTCGATTGGCGCCTTGTTTGGATCCGGTTCTGGAGGCCGTAGCAGCGTCGTTCGCTTGTCCAGCACCTTTTCCGTTCCCTCCATCTTGGGCGCCTCTTTGTTGCTGTCACTCATTTGTTCTTTGCCGCTTTCCTTCTATTCCCGTTCTGTCCCTTAGAGCAAAGACCAAAAGACTTTCATTCAGTCGGGAATCAAATCTCAATCGCAACGCTTTTTACTTATATCATTACAAAAATTAAAATCAGTTTCAGGGTCTGACATCGAGTCAAGTACGTTGGCAGATGCCATCAGGGGTCTCACTTGACGTCAGGTCCGGCAGAATTTGCCTCGGCTCAACCCAAGCGGCCTTGTCTGCCCGTCTCAGGCTAGTCCTCAGCAGTCCACTTTTGCGATGCACGTCCAGCTCTGGTTGTCATGCAAACACGCGAAATCAGTAACAGCTGCAAAAGAGGAAATAAGCTGCCATTATTAAGCAGGCAAAGTAAGCCACTAAAATTCCCCAATGCATAGTCGAATTAACACTCTCCTGAGCCAGTCGGACAACATTAGGTGCACATCATCACTGCCGTTGCCGAGGCTAAGTTCGTCCGCCGCGGACTGCGTTCGTCTCCGTAGCTCCGTGGAGATAATCATAAAGGGGCGCACATACGCATGATTGTAGGACAAGAAGGCGTAGATAGTCCTCGAATGCAAATACTGAATCCTTGCTGGGGGGCCGAATTGCCAAATGGATGCCGTTCCATGTGAAAATCGACGCCATTCAACACCGACGCTCTGCCAATGCCTACTCCGTATTCCGGACACAAATCCCATACTTGGGCTCTACAGCCCATTGACATGATAGATAAAAAAGAATATTTTATTGCTATACTACTAATATTGCACACGGGCTACTTCATATATCATCCACTTCTCTCTCTCTCTTTCTCTCTCTCCCGTCATCTTATCATCTTCACCCCTCCTCCCTCTTCGTGTGTGTTTCAAACAATAAATAGACAGCTCAATCCCTCAAATCTAGTGCTAAAACTATACATTTACATTTTTTTTTTTCCCCACGCCATTGTTTTCAACGCTTCCATCCTCCACTCTCATCCCCTACAAGAATGAATTCTCTAAGCTGGTATATCGTCATAAATAGGCTCCAGACCTCCCCACGCTGCCTCATAATCGCCATCAGGGCCGGCTTTTTCTCGTTGCGTCCAGTACTTGCCGTTGAATTGCCAGAACTCTTCGCCTGTAATTTCGCATCTTGCCTTTGTGAACCATGCAGGAACGAACTCTTCGCCAGCACTATCGCGCGCTCGTCGACGGGCTCGCTGGTTCTCTTCTAATCTATTCTTCTCTGTGGCGGCAAAGTCATACTCTCCTTCCTCCATGGCCCTTTGATCTGGTCGCAAGCGTGAGTCCGTAGGGGCAATCCACGGCCTTAGCTTGTCATCGATGTGGTTGAATGTAAGCACAAATGGAGTAAGGTTGAAAGGAATGCCTGTCGGCCGCTCGTTGGCCTGCCAGATAAGGTAAGCTCGGTTGGGATCTGCGATGCTGCCTCGGTGGACAATATCTCCATTCTTAGTCGAGGGCTCGTCAACAGCAGCCTCGTAGCCTGGTGTTAATCGGGCATATAGCCTCGAGTTCCAGCGACCGCCAAGGCTCACCCGCACCTGGCCCGAGGCATCCATGACCTTGCCGACAATCTGGTAAGCGCTTGAAGCCTTCCATCCCCTAGGCTTAAACTCAACCAGAGCTACTTCTCCAGTCGTCCAGTTCTTGATTTCCATGGGGCCGTAGTTGTCCACTGTAGGGTTTCCTGTGATGATGCCGATAACCGAAGACGTCACCTTTTTCCACGTGTATAAATCTTCTTTTCCGCCAGCAGTAGGTCGGAGCTTAAGGAACCACGTTCCAAGAGGGTTGATATCAAACGATTTACCATAGAATTTGGACTTGACATGTGATTCGCCCCAGTACGTCCAGTTGGGTGCTTCTGCCCAGGCAGCACCAATTGGCGGATGATGGCTGACCTGCTCGATGAAGAAGCGGTAGTTTTTATCGGGGCGGACATATTCAAATGTTTCGCCAAGTAGGGGATTGAAGGGCTTTGCAACTCGACCAATGGTAGATGCGTATTCACTGGCAGCAAAAGCGGCCACGTACATGAGTCTTTCGATCGAGTCCGCGCGTTCGGCTGCTAGGTCAAGAAGATCCACGTATTCCATATCTTCACCGCAACGATACAGTAGTGATGTCGGCTCGTTAAAGGACACAGGAAGTGTCATCCTGGTCATATCCTTGCCAATCATTGACTTGAGGATACCCTAGTCCTAAATGTTAGCCCACATATTCAATTCAGACGATGCGCCAAACATACCCAAAGAGAAATCTTAGGCCGATCATCACTCTCCATCTTGAGTTTGTGTCGAATTCCATTTTCATATCCCCTGAAAGAGCTGCTAATATCCAATCCCGAAATTGCAATGGCTTTCTTCTCCTGCTTTGCCTCAATGGGGAAGAGCTCCGCAACTTCGACATCGCCAGCATCAACAGCATCAAAGAACTCGTCTTCCACTCCAGACTCGCTGTCGGACATTTCTGCCATCTGCTCAAGAGCAGTCTGCTTTCGGGCCAAGTTGCGGCTAGACGCCTTGGCAATAGCAACAGCCTCTTCAACCTCTTCTTGAACCTTTTCCATCGTTGGTGTGACGCTGGCAGATGGCAGGCCACCACTTTCCATCACCTCGCGTAACGCCTTCTTGGCTAGCTTACGCTTCATCTCTGATTCACCAACTCGGGCTTCGAGGATCTCCTGCTCACGAGCCACCTGTGCCATGCTCTCCTCCCACATGCGCCGCATATCAGACTCCCGATCGAGACGATATTGCCAAAATGCATCGCGGTCTTTTGAAATTCGGAGTAGATCCCCGACTAGGCCAGTCAAACTTCGGATAGCACCATCGTATGTGGAGAGAGCCTGTGCTACTTTAACATCCGATATTGGCGTGGCAGGGCTGCGGGACATTTCACTCAAAAGGGCCGAGTGAACACTTGCCATAGTCTCCAGCTGCAATTTTGCTGATTGCGCAGTAATGTTGAGCGCATCTTTGGTTGCCTGGGGTTCCTCGCGACCGCTAGTGTCCTCTGCATAGTCGTCATCGTCGTCTTGGTCTCCGGGTGCTGTGCCAGGACCAGCTCCATGTCCATCCGCTTCCGTGAAGGTATCTACGAAATCTTCCTCTTCAACGCTCTCCACTGTACTTGTCCCAGTTATATCTGACCTTTTAACAGCCAGCATTGGGCGCCCTTGAAGCTGTGTGCTCACACGCCTCAAATCCGTCATGCTCGTGTTCTCGCTGTGAGACTCTTGGATTGAGAGTGTACCGCTTTGGTCGGCCTTGGCCAGTCGAAGAAGCTCGGCGCTACGAGCTGCCTGGCGCTCTTCCTCTCTCGCCTGATCTTTGGTCCACTGGATAGAATTGTTGAGGGCCCAGAACCAGCGTTTGGCTTCCACTTCATGATTCGCTTTCAGGGTGTATTTCACGGAAGACTTTCCGATAATCTCAAATTTCGTTTTTTCATCAGGGCTCATATGGAGTTGTGCAATTTTCATATTGATAGCGCCCCGGCATGCAGAACCAGCATCGTCTTGGTGCTTATAGTAGCTCAACACACCATCCTCGAGCACAAACCATCTCAGCTGGTAACCCTTGCGATAGTTGGTCCACTTCTTCAAGTATCCCTTCATCTCACGAGCTTCACGCCCCGCCAAGGGATCGCTGGGTCCACCGGCTGCGGCATTCTGGGAGGCAGCGTGCCCCAGGACAGCTTTTTCTTGAATTCCTCTCTGCGCGGCCACGGCAGCCGGTGACTTCTTCAAAATGGCCTTGACATTGTCATCGCTGGTAATGGACTGAGGCAGCTTGCCTCTTCGATCACGGCGAAATGGGTCGGCACCATGAAGTAAGAGCACTTGGATCAGCTGGATGTTCTTCTTTTTGGCTGCTTCGTGAAGTAATGTGCCGCCAGCCTGTACAACAGCCGGGTCGGAAACAAATTCAGTGCTGTTGATGTCCAGCATGGTCTTTAGTCGCGACTCTTCCAGCACCTGGGCAAGAGTCTCGTAGTCACCCTTGGCGATTAAGTCTTGCACCTGCTGCACTTTGGTATCTGTGAAAAGGGATCGAGAAAGCTGAAGGAGCTGGAATATTTCGGGAGTCCGAGCTAGGTCGATGGGTAATTTCCCCTGAGAGTTCGCAATCGCATCGTTGATCTCCTTCTGCTCCAAGAGAAGCTTGACGGCCTGAGTGCGGCCGTGCATGGCGGCAATATGCAACGGAGTGTTGCCATCTTTATCTCGAGCATTGACATCCAAGCTACCGAGGCCATCGGACAGAACGTATTCGATAACGGGGAACTCGGCACATTGCATGGCTAAATGAAGTATCGTGGTATCTTCCAACGCCCCAGCAGCACTAGCCCCACTAAGCGACGATGTGCTCGCACGTGGGAGGCCGTCCGCCGTCTCTCGAATGGCTTTCGATATGGACGCGGTGTCTCCGCTTCTCAGGGCCTCAACAACCCTGAATTTGCGTACAGATTGTTCGAGGCTGCCAGTTTTGACCTCTTGAACGGGGGAAGCTTTTGCGTTGGCAGCAGTCTGGTTAGAAGGCGTCCTGCTTAGAACAGCCGACGGTGTTGATAGTCGAGATACATGGCTTCGGGGCGCGGTAGATTTCGGGGGAGATGCATGGCTGCCCGTTGCCGATAATCGACCGTCTTCGGATCCAGATTCGTCGTCGCGAGTGTCCTTACGGCGCAATAGCGACAGCGCCGCGGCGGATTTGGACCGCTTGTGGTTGTTGCTGTAGCCACATCATCCAGATCAGCCAGCTGAAGACAAGAAGCTCTCAAAACAAAGGGACCAAACTGAGTGGGGGCTATGATGCAAAAGGGGAGAAAAGGCAGCTCCGGGAGATGTTACAGCGAATGAACAGACACGATGGTTCTTGGAAATCAAACCTACCCGTCGCCCACGTCCGACATGCTGGGCTACAAGCAATTATCTCTGTCGAGTTCGGGGGGTTCGTTTATTCAGTTGCAGACTGAGGCAGCCCCCGGCCGCTAACACAGAGGCTATGTCGCGCAGCTCGAAGCGCGTTGTGAGGATGGGAGCTTTGGTAATCGTACAAGAGTGGGAAAATAGGGACGATCCAGCTAGAGCTGCATGTGAATTGAAGGAGAAGAGAAACCAGAGCGGCCGGCGTGGAGATTGGTGGTGGAGAAGTGGCATGTATGGACCAGGGACTTGGCCTGAGAATGACAAACGAGGATGGCGGGATGATGATACACAGCGCACTCAGCCACCACGTACAGGCGTCTTCAGGCGCTCGAGACACTGTAGTCAGCGACTGGAGCGCTGTACGGCACAGTGTCTAGGGTGTTGCGCGAGCACTCTAGCACCAAAGCGGCCAAGGCAGCTTCGTGGACAGCACTGGAAGCCGGCATGACGTTTTCTTGTCCAAAACGTGGCCAATGCTTGTTTGAGCAGTGGGTGGCCTGCTTAGTCATGAGTCAAGCCTTCTGCCAACTTCCTTTCGCGGCCTGGCTTGACGCTTCATGCAGCCCCTCAGGACTTTAATCTATTAATACCGAGGGGCCCGTGGCAGGACAAGAACTGCCCAGGCCGATCATAGCAACACTGGTTTAGCCAGAGGAAGGCGGGGAGAGGCGGGAGGAGGTCGTGTGTAGATAGCCTGCCATGCGGGCACGCCAATGGCAACGCAGCGAGTCATGGCTTGCTTGAATCAGGCTGGGATATGGCAATTGTCTCCTTTCTCCGTGTACGGAATCCGATATCTTTTGGGGCAAAAAGATACGCGGAATCGCCATGGAGAGTACGTGTCCATACATTTGCTTGTGAACTTGCCATCAGAGTCTAGACATCCAATCTTTTTTGCCTCTATAAAACTATATACCCGAGCTTATTAGGCGAGTAAGTAAGGCTCGGGTATATAGTTTTATTCATTCTAACGAAATTAGGTACTAAACAAAATACAATTAAGAAAATTTGATGTTGTATTTAGAGCATGGGCATATAACAAGGTATCAGCAAGCTGTTCTATACCTACTACTAGTAGGTAGCTACTAAGATAGATGACAGTATAGCGGCAAAACTTGAGGTATCCGAAATCGTCTTGACGTCATATGCCGCAAAAACAAACTTGGTCTCTCCGATCATTGTTTGCGACGTCTTTCCTCCATTTCGTCACCAATACTACCCTAAGACTGTTGGATCGCACAGTGCTGGTCACATATCTCGAATAATGTCTTAACGAATAGGTGAATCCGAGGATCTTGGATCTTGCGGAGAACTCTGCAATCTTAGATCTATAACGATAGCCTTTGAGAGAAATCATGAGATGGGCGCCATAACACATGGCTCTTTTGCACCAGGGCAACTCTTAAGGGCCACCGTGATAGATCTTTTCTTCAATTGTCTTGCAACCGCCACGCGTATGAATGCATGCCCAATTTTTGCCAAGAAAGTCCAATTGCCGTACCGGGTTCAACTTTTCTCTTCCGATATAGGTAATTCACTACAGCTTCAGGTTGGCTTTCAGGTGGAAAAAACAAGCCTCGTGAGCTCCCTTGTTGCAGAAACGGCAAAGTAGATTGCCAAAACAACATATTTCAAAAGATTTGTTATATCCTTCCTCTTTTTTTTTTTTTTTTTTTTTTTTTTTTTTGTGAGAACAATGTTAAGGCGTATGGAGTGTTTTGTTGAGATTCCTTCGTCTACAATCTTTCAGGACTTGATGAGGCCGCGACCCCTAGCGGCGGTTTCCATCTCGGCCGTGAAGACCGTCGCATATTCGGAAGTAGTGAGAATGAGAGAAGACTTATTGCCGGTGCCTTGAGTCGCGTTGCTCCCTCCCGGCCGCCCACCCTTTGCAAATCCATATTGGATTTTTTTTACCACCGCATTGAGAGAAGCATGTGTCGATTAGTATGATCTCGTGGGTTCCTCGATCTGCAAGTTGCTTTAACTGATTCCAGCGGCGTTGGACTACTACCTGTATCTATCAACAATAGCGTCAGTTTAAGTGTCTTCGGAGCTGAGATCAGAAACCATGCCGCGTTTTCCTTGATCTTCGCCATCGGCAGAGGTTAAAAGAAATTATTTCGCCCAACTGCCCGGGGTCCCTTCAATTTGATCTATAGGTAGGCGGCCATAAATTGAAGTCAGGAAAATTATAAAAATACAAGTTCTCCAGGCAGTAATCTAAGGTTCTGTGGAAGTATTGGCTCCTCAGCTTAGAAAGGATAGTAATCATACAAGGGGCTCCGCAACGCACATCTTCTAACGGACCAATGGTGATCCAATGAGAAATTTCTCTTTACAGTTTCAGGCATTTTACTAAGTTAAAAAAAGGAATTGATATCTAAATATAGCCAGAACCTGCAATTTCAGTTTCTGAAAGGGGAACAAACATTGTGAGATGTCCAACCCGCTGGCGAACATTCGAGGCTACCCTGGGACTGGAGATCCAGAGAATTACAGACCTAGTCCTAATAAGGGATGGTCATGTCATCAGGTTGCATTAGCGCTAGCTTCTTGAAACCCCACCAGCCTTCCCAATCAAGTTATACGTAGTCAGCAGGAGCCATTCAAGGAACGATTGATGACCCTTCAAATCCAGATTCATCTTTCTATCTACCAAAAGAATATTCCGTACTCTTTTTGTGGATAGAATAATTGTTCTATAATAGGCTATACGATGGCTACATTCATGAAATTTCGTCTAGTCCCAGCGCGGGAAGAGGTGAGTTTGTTCCATCAATCACATCGAACTACCTGGGAGCTAATCAGGGAGCCTTGCAGAAGGTTGACGAGAATGACGACTGGTACGGCTTGAGGGATGCTAAGGAGAGGAGGAAAAGGCAAAATAGGATCAATCAAAGAGCAGCTCGTAGGAAAACGCCATCAGCCTTTCTTCTGAACTTATTGCACCTGGAAGACTAACCGAGCATCCGAACCAGGCCGGCGGCAAAGAGAGAATCTTGCCCGGGAGCTCGAGTCAGCGGCTTCTACAGCGGTACCATCACCTCCAAATGCAACTATTCCTGCATGCCAGTGTCGAGGGCCCAATATTTCTTCTACCCAAGTTTATTTCCCGTTGACCCCGGACCACAAACTGCTCTATGTCATCGTTCTCAACGTCTCGCGGGCAATCATCACCAACTATTTCATCATGTCCACCATTGCGCCAGTAACCGCCGCCCTGTGTGTCAGCCGACGCATTTTCACAATTGAAGACTTTTCAGAAGCTCCTAGAAATCTCGATGGTACCCGTGCAATTCCCCCAGCATTTATGCCGACGAAAATGCAGCAGGAGGTCCCACACCCCGGCTGGATAGATCTTTTTCCGTCACCTCAGCTACGGGACAACCTCATTCTTGCGGTCATGGAATTCAATGTCGACGAAGAAGAAATCCTCGAAGATTTGATAGGAGATATATTCGAAGCTATGGGCTGTGGACCAGAGGAAATTTCAAAAGAAGGTTCAAAGGACGAGTCACCGAGCGATACGAAAACTCATACAAGGCCACATGTAGTAACTGCAGAAGTAAAAGAGGAGCTGAAAACCTACACTCCGTCAAGCACTCCCGAACTTGGTATCCTCTCATGGTCCGATCCGTGGGATATATCTGGTTGGGAAGTTACGGAAAGGTTTGTCAGCAGATGGGCATTTTTGCTTCAAGGGTGCCCAGATGTAGTTGAATCTGCAAACAAATGGAGAGCTTTACGAGGAGAAGATCCTCTAGTCGTCGAGATATGAACACCTGCTGAAGCTGATTATGAGAATAGAAATGGGATCTGGCAACGAAGGATTGAGAGGATTCTTTTTCTTCTTCTTCTCCTTTTTTTTTTTTTGGCATATGGTGTTAAACGGAANGGATCTGGCAACGAAGGATTGAGAGGATTCTTTTTTTTTTTTTTTTTTTTTTTTTTTTTTTGGCATATGGTGTTAAACGGAACGGAACGGAACAATTAGTTGAATCTACCAACATAATAGACATGTATTTTCTCTCCTCTACTTCCTACTCTCCCATCCATGGCGATTAGTGAATAGGTGAACACTTGAATCGTCGCGAGTGTAAACTCTAAATCGGAAGTTCTAACCTTCCAATTAGCATCTCATTAGACAGACGGCTACGTAGTACATGCAATCGGCAAAAATTTATGTTTCCACTATCCGCAGAATTAGTTTGCAAAGATAACTAGAAAAATATCAAAAAAAGAAATGCCCACTATCAGAGTCGAACTGATCACCTTGTCATGTCAAGTGTTTACTAGTGACACGCTATACCGCTTAGCCAAGCGGGCGAAGAGCTGTTATTGGTAGGTGGCGAGTTATTACAGTATATACATAGTTTGTAATGCACGACCCAAACATTGCGGGGCTCAAAGACTTGAGATCAATTGACAAGTCATCTGCATAGTTCCTGTTGATCCACACTCGTTGGCTCCCAACTGCAACACATTATGCAAGTCGAAATAGTATAACTATAACTACCATTTTGCTCGTATGTTTTATTAGTAGCAATATGAACTATTGGTGCAAGTAGGATGGCATAAGTACCGATACAAGACTAGGATGGCGTGGTTACTCCATTGCCTTGGTTAGATAGTCTGTCGGGATCAATCACAAAAGTTGGGTGTACAAACCCGCAGCACCACAAGAACCATGGCTGCGCCACCCTTGGTCCAAGTAGATGCACTGACCGACCTTGTTGAATCATCTGTTTCATATTATAACCAAGCAGCTTTGGTGCATGGGAGACATATCCACTTCCATAAGAAAAGGGCAAGGCTGTAAGAGCTATGTAAGTCTAATATGTCGGCAGTTGTTTTGCGTACTAGTCATAGACAACAACCCCCACAAGAGTAAAAATGCTATTGAAACCAAAAATTCAAAAGAGCCAAATTACGTAGTCATGCTCGCAAGATATTACTCGATTGTTAGATTGAGTGTGGGCCGATTCAGCAGAGGTAGCAGTAGTTTCGGGGAGTTAGACGCATTGAGATCGGCTGATGTTGTAGTTTTTGTATCGGGGACATCAGGTGCAAGGCAATTATCGCTGAGAAACAGCAAATATAAACACATTTCTGGCATAGCTAGTCCTGCTAGAACCTACTAGAACAATCATCCGACTTCGCGTAGAGATCCAGCTTCCCGGGCGCTTGCTAGTACGATATAAACGAGGCATTAATTAGGATGATGCTTATGTCGTGCGCATATAATTAAGTTTTATTCAGCCTACGACTTGTCAAAATTCCAACCCAATTGGCGGCGCTGAATATTCCAATATCAGATCATCAGTGCCTCGCCTAAGTCGGGAGTGGACACTCGGCACTACCCGTACTGGAACTGGGCCGGCGCTCTCCGTTTTGAAGACCCGTTTCCCAAAGTTAATAACGGTACAAGGTGCAGCAGCTTCTCATATCTCTCTTGCGTCTGCAATTTCCTTGCACTTTCCTCATTCGCCTTCTTGCTTCTTCTCCCGCCCAGTACACACGTACTACATAGTGCGTAGTGCGTAGTACATGCTGCATACCTACTGCATATGCGGTGCTGCATACTACTTCTCAATTGTTCGTTGGCAGTGGTTCACGGCATGCCGTTGTCCATTTACGACGCCCCTCGCCCTATCAAAGAAAAAACAAATTAGCGCATGCGCGGCTGAGCTCGGAGTTTTGTGTAGCGCCGACGCAGGGTCCAACAGCCCGAGATCCAGGCCTTTAGCGGGCCAAATAGCCTGAAGAAGCACATGGCAGTGGCGATTGACAGCAGCCCTATCCCGTAAATCTCGAAGCAGACGGGCCGGCAGGTTACAAATCCATGTTTTTTTTTTCTCCTCGGATATTGGAAAGCGCCAAGCAGTAACATTTGTTGTATCATGGCACTCACGACTGCACAATGGCTCTTTCCCTCGCTTAGCTCGCGTTTTATCTGAATCACTATGGCGTTTCTGCATTTCCATGACCAAACTCTCCCGCAGCCTCTTCCTCTATCTCTTCTGTCTTGAACAATCGCAGTGAATTGCAGTACTTGCGCATGTACATGTAATTTCAGCTCGTGAAGGATTTTTCATCGAGGCGGCTATATGGCGTGATCGCCCTATCAAGCTACCTATCTATCTATCCATCTTGGGAATTTTTCTAACGTCTATCGGAAACACTGCCCTTCGCTCTGCCATTGCCAGCGTCGGAGATCAAACAAGGTGGGCTAAAAGAGAAGAAGATAAGGAAGGGAAAAAAAATTCTCGCGGCATCCCGTGATATGGCCGCAGACATGGAGCCTTTTCCGAAGCTGCTGGATGGCATCTCCGTCTCCAACAGTGGTCAAATCGTTCCCTTTCGCTCAGTATACAAACATTTGCACCACACATGGGCGCGCACATTCTCGTGCGTTGCAGAAGTCTACGTTCAGCCTGAATCCTTGGCTGAGATCGAAAAGGTCGTCAATCTCGCGCACAAATGTCGCAAGCGCATAGTGACGGTTGGGTGTGGGCACTCGCCCTCCAACATCACCTGCACTTCCAACTGGTTGGTTAATCTGGACAAGTATAACAAAATCCTCTCTGTGGACGACAAAAGTGGCGTTGTGGTGATGCAAAGCGGCATCCGCTTGTACACCCTGTGCGAGGAACTTGAGCGGCATGGCCTCGCTATGCCAAACCTAGGCAGCATCAACCAGCAGTCAATTGCCGGCGCGATCTCAACAGGGACGCACGGCAGCAGTCTTCGCCACGGCCTCATGTCTGAAGACGTTCTCGCTCTCAAAATCACTCTTGCCAACGGAACAACTGAGCACTGCTCTAGGGACGTAAACCCTGATCTGTTTCAAGCTGCATTGTTGTCTCTAGGCTCACTTGGCATCATCTCAGAAATCACCTTTCGTGCCGTTCCAGCCTTTACCCTCAGGTGGAAACAGACCATTGATGCGGATGTAAAAATGTTCGACTCCTGGCCAAACGAATTGTGGACTCAGAGTGAGTTTGTCCGGGTCTGGTGGTTCCCTTACACTCGCCGGGCGGTAGTCTGGCAAGCCGAGAAGACCGATGAGGGTCATTATGACCCTCCAGTGAGCTATTATGATGGGTCCCTGGGCTACTACATCTACCACAATTTGCTTTACGTCGCCCAGTTTGTGCCTCGCATTCTGCCCTGGGTTGAGTGGTTCGTATTTGGCATGCAATACGGTTTTGCAAACGGATCCACAACGTCAGCAGTCCAACCAAGCCGCAAGGCCTTGTTAATGAACTGTTTATACTCTCAGTTTGTTAACGAGTGGGCTATTCCTCTCCACAAGGGTCCCGAGGCACTCCGAAGGCTTAGCTCATGGCTCAATCAACTCACTCCTAGTGACCCAGACTATGTGCCGCACAACATCCCCTTCTCAGCTGAGGGTCTCTATGTTCATGCGCCGGTTGAGGTTCGCATCAGCGACACGACGCTCACTTCAAACTCCCGGCCTTTCCTTGACCCAACTGTCAAGGACGGACCAACATTATACCTCAACGCCACTCTATACCGCCCTTACTTGCGTGACCCCCCTTGTCGGGAACGTTACTACGAGGCCTTTGAATGGCTAATGAAGGACATGGGCGGCAGGCCGCACTGGGCCAAAAATTTCGAAACCTATCGTTCCGAAATCGAACTCATGTATGGCAGCGACCTTGACAAGTTCAGGAATGTCCGAGATGCCGTCGACCCACAAGGAATGTTTCTCGGGCCCTGGCATAGAGCCCGTATTCTTGCAGAGAATGCTCAATATGAGCTTGAAGAGTTTGAAGTCCGGAGGACAAAGTCTGTTAAGGGCGGAATCACAGTCTTTGGGCAAGTTTAGACAGGTTTAAGGTTGTTTTACAACGAGTTATCTCACAATACGGCGGAGATGCTCAGCAAAAGTTTTTATAGACATGGAAAGCAAGTTTTCATTAGGCTATTATGTACATATGGTTGCTAGGCCAAACTGGCATCTCTCATAGTTTGCGACAGAGCAGGTTTAGAATAAAAGAGTATTTGAGCTAATTAATACGGAGAGTACTATACGAGATAACCCTGGACATTACCTCAACTATTATTCCATAAGGCCAAGGCCTAGCGGGTAATTTCAAGGAACCTAGACAGCTAACTGATGACTATCCTATTCCACGCTGCAGATTCTGCAAATTCCATATCTAGACTAGAAGGCGAATACGATTGCGATTGTGGTATATTATGAACGCGCCAATGTTATTCGGACGTTCAAAACGTTCGGTGAGGAAATACGCGAGAAAGGGGAGATGGCACAAAAAAATACGGCGTTTCTTTACGGGAAAACATGAAGAGTCCATCCTAGCGCTGATCAGGATCAGCGCTCTCTCATATGGCAAGCTTGGCAAGCTCAACGCTACTCGGCTGGCATACCTCTGTATGTACTCTGTAGCAGATGAGCATCGATTGGAACATGCTTATCACCTACCAGGAACAAGCAAGGATGTAGCACTATCTACTATCTTGTCTTCTCGGCGATATCAGGCGCACATTGCTGCCCTTGGCGTATATGTAAGAACTACCATTGCCACTACTGCTAATAATAAGCATGCTACCCGCTTCGTATAAAGCCGATCTAGCATGGAGTAGTATCATTCGGCTATGTATCCTTTTTTTTTCCTTAGCTAATTAATACCCACGTAATTCTGCTTGTAGATATGGTACCTATGAAGGAAGAAGAAGAAAAAGAAAGAAATGGGCAGATTGCGTGGGGTACCCCCCTCCCCTCGCCGTATAGGTATGTATAGAATACGAGATATCTGGGGCTTTTTGTTGCTTGCTGCAATTTAGTACTACTGTCGCTTACTATATCTTATCTATTACTAGCTGCTGTCTCTTGACGATTCGAGCAGCAATCCGCGCCGCTTGATATCTGCATGTGTATTTATAATACGGAGTGTTCCGCCGGGGGTTGTAGCAGCTATTTTTGTTCTCCTCTCTCGTTATACCCGGAGTTTCGGTAGCAGTTTTAATTTCCGCCAATGCGGTTGCGTATATAGGATGTATCTGATGGACATGAACGGCAAAACGCCTCACGGCGGCCTTGTTTTTTTTTTTTGGGGGGGGGGGGGGAAAGAGAAAAGAGGAGGTGATGTTGGGAGGCCCCAGCCAATCAGGTATCTGAAAAACCACTTGCTTGCTTACATGTCAACATATATACTCCGCACATAGATTAAAAGCAAAAAGCGCAAGTCATAAGAGGAGGAGAGAGAGATATATACTCAATGTCTCTCCTACTGGTACGGGGAAAAATTCAACTCTTAGAAACGGTACGAAGCAGACAAAGCATAGCAAAGCAAAGTAGAAGAAAAAAAGATATTTAGTTCCTAGATTGTAAGCATGACTGGAGGAGGGCATAGGCAAAACGCGACTGACGTTGAGTCTTTGGGGGCTAAACGGCATCTTTCAGTTCCCTTTGTCACTTTTTTTCTTTCCTTTTCTCCCGTGGTTAGTAACTGTTTCAACTTTTGTCCAGGTAGGTACCTGTCGTCCGTATTCGGGAGTAGAATCCTAACATAGTGCCTGATGAGACGTAGCATATTGGGGGCTTACTACAAGATGTGCCAACCCTGATGTGGTATGCATGGCTTGCAAGCATGGTTACCTGAGATCGCAGTAGCGTAAACGTGCGCTTTGATTCACAACAAAAGGTCCCACGGCATACGGTTATGCTGCCGATGACTTGGCAACGCCCTCTTTTGGTGGCAAAGCTCTCTCCGGAAAGGGCTATGGCACCCTCCCATCAGTATACTCTGCAAGTAGCGTACACTCCCACCCCTTTTCGGCTCCTTTCCTTTCGTCTTTTCATTTTGCCACCTATCATCCCCGGCGAGCGATTGTCGGCGTCTGCAGAGCTGGCTGGGGAGAATGGCTAAGATTGGACTATAGTTCTATTCTATTTTTGCATAATATAGCAGACTACGGAATCGGAACTTCTCCGAACTAGGCTCGTTCTGGAAGAAGGATTCCCTCCCTTTGTCAAATTGCTGAGAGGCAAAGCTATCCTAATGATCTATGATGTGCTCCCTATGTGGCCCTGATAGCCTGAAATAGGGCATACGCTTTCTCCTTTTGGCCCATGCTCTTAGATACTTTCTTATATACTATACAGGTGCTTGGAAGATTTGGATCATTCTCAGCCAGCATGGTAATAGAACGCACTACAAGGAGGAGTAGTACCAAGACGATGGGTCACTAGCCCTTTGCTAGCTAACCACATACTTACTATGTACAACCCAGTATCGCTCAGGTCCAGAACAATCAGCGAATGATCTACGGTAGAGCTGCCCCGTAGTGTCTCGCTGATACCCACCGCATCTATGCCTTGGGCGGCTGTGGAGGTTGGTAATAAAGAGACGGTACGGAGTGCTTCTGGTGAGCGCCGCAGTGCATCGAATCAATCTTGTTAAGAGTCGGTGAGGCTTCTATTAGCCCTGTCGAATGAAATTGCCCTTCAGCTTGGCCTAGGGCTATCCGCGGGTTGTTGGGCAAAGGTGGGGAGCTAAGTTCAAATCGTGACCGTTATACTCCTCCGTTTTCGAGAAGCCAACCCACCTCGCCTCATCCCACTTCACTCATTGAACATTCTCTTTGTGGTCAGCAGAACATTATTCGGCATCTGAGACAAAAATGGTGGAGAACGCCATCTTTACATGTCCAAGATTAATACATTTATAGTCACATCTCTAAGAAAGAGCAACAGTTACTTCGTTTGCTTGATGAGTGCCTTGGTACCTTTCCTTGCCTTCTCTCTTTGTTCGACCTAGAAAAATGCAATCCGGAGTTGTGAAAAGGCGAATTAAGCAGTAACTTTTCCTTAGGCTAATCGGGGAGTCTTACCTGAAGCAACAGGTAAGGCTAAAAGGAGGAAAGGCAAGATATCCTGTAATATCTCATATTCTCCAACGCGGGATGAGACATCCTAGCAGAGATGATACTACAACATCCTTGCAGCAGACTTGGAACAACGGACCGCAGCAGGCTTTTAGCGGGAAAGGACAGGCAGGCATGGTGCTCGTACGTCAATACGTACTACCACATACGGAGCTGGCTCCGTTGCCAAGCTTTCAAGCTAGAAAGAGACGCTAGATGGCAACTCATCCATAAGGTGAGCGGGCTCGGGGCATATGAATAAATAAGGTATAAAAGTGTCCAAGCGTAGGGGTGACCGCTATAATTAATCCATCCATCGTTAATTGAATAGATTAAATACAAAACTGTCTGCAAGGGATCAGCAGCGGGCCGATGTCGCTGCCTATTGTAACTCTATTTCCGTAAGATTGGGAAACAAGCGGATCAAGTAGTGTATACGGTGTGGTTATGATAATAACAAGCCGCATCTCGAATGTTTTCATATAAGTATATGTGAGGAAAAGAAAGGAGAAGCGAATATCAGATACAGGGCATGGAGTGTTCGGCAGTTTGCAGCAAGAAAGGCGCAATACGAATTGCCGCGTTAGATTGAGCTGGTGTCATCAACTTGGCGGTAGGAGTAGCACATGTAGTTCAACTCCAGTTAGTGCGCCAGCCCAGCCTTGGGGGAAAGAGAAGCGTACGAAGTACAACGGACAGTCCATGCTAGGGCAGGCTCTGAGATGACGCATCTGCGGGGAAATGGCCCAAGAGAGGGGTGGTTTTTACTCAACGTTTCGTTTCATTGTGTGCCAGGCTGTGGTCTCTGGCTTGCTCGTTCGTCGATATCAGTCCCAATTACTCTTTGTACTCCGTACTGCGAGAAAGACACCGGGTCTGGTTTAAAGTGGTAATGATCTAGCTAAGATGTTTTAGCATTGCAACAGGAGAACAATCATAACCAATCAGCCATCATTCAGCATTGGTTGAGAGCAGCTGTCAGGTTGGTATAGTACTAACATCTAGATGGCGCAGTTGATGGCAAAGCACCACAAGGGTAGCAGCCAGGCTACTGCAGCCAGCCCAGAGCTGGGCTACAAATTGGGGTAATAATTGGTAGACAAAGAAGCCATTACACGTGCGGGGCGCCATTGGCGTCGATGAACTGTCATGGCGCCTTATAGTTTTGGCGTGGGCCATCTGTTGCACCCTTCGGAGTGCTTAAAATGCTGTCTATAAAACGTTGGGACTCCAGAGTGTCAACGGGGGAAGATTCTGATGAGCGGCGTGCGCTGGGACACGTCTTCGGAGTTCTCCTCAAAAGAGACAGGCCCATTAAGAAAAGGGCAAAGGTAGTAACACCACTGACAGTTTTATATGGAGTAGGTATACGATGCCACCAGCTGTAGGGCAAAGTAAGCTTTCGACTTACAACGATTCCGTGTTCCGTTCTCCACGTTCCGTGTCTCACAGGAACTCTCACTGGCCGGCGATAATGCCCGGCCGCGCGGCAAACCCATGAACGTTCCGATAAGAGGGGGAATGTAGCGAGGTGCCGCCGAAAATCATAGGAAGGGGTTCCAAAAAAAAAAAAATCAGCTTCGTCGAAGTAAGAACATGTTGGAGTGCGGCAGAGCTCGCAACATACAAGTAGACAAGGTTTCTGCCCCCTGCGGTGCTTAGGGCAAAACGGATACCAATTAAAGATGTTTTTTTTTCTGCATCGACCTCCACTCTAAGGAACGGTATCTGTAGGGCAACTATTCCAAATATCAATTGGTGGAGCAAGATACTGTGATCACCTCATCATACAGATGTGTTAGTGGAGCACTTTGCAAATTCCCCGTTCGTCGATATTATGCAGAGCATAGATCTAGTATTCGAGAACGGAAAAGAAGATAGAATCCATGTGTACGAGTAGTACTTGTAATACCACGGCACTGAGCTTCGACCGCCTCTGCTTGTATTGTTGACTCTGCTCTCATCTATTGCGGCACGGAACATTTTATGCACGTCTCATGCCTATTCGGCTCTGGCTCGCTCTGATTGACATTCTCGGCCACTTCATCTCACTCGCGTCATCCTGCGCCAACTTCAGTTCCAGGATACCACCACTACCGCACTGCCAAATAGAGAGAGGTATGTGCTCCATATTCGCTGCACCAGTTAAAGCTTTTCAAAGGTGAGTGAGCGAACTATGCCTCCACTTGACACGCTGATTCTGTGCGCTTCGAGCGACCAAAGCATATGTATGGAGTACATATGTACATATATCCAGAAATAAGGCGTAAGGGCAAATGGACGAAGCCGCACAGTAGTCGCTCAGTTGAGGCTAGGGGGCACAATACCAGGGGCTGGGCTGGTAAACGAGTACGTGCACAAGCCCAAGCTACCGTAGCACTATAGCAAGTAGTTAGCCTTCTGCTGGGACCAGTTTGCCGTGTAGATATTGCTCCCCTCCGCTCTGACTCTCTTCATCGGGATATGCCCTGATGATGACTTTATTTCCCGAAAGCTTCTGTGAACAACGCCTGCGGCATCATGGAGTAGCAGTTTCGTCCTAGCAGAAGCGGTGCGAGCAGTAGTCGTTCTCGGCCACTCTGGCCGCCGCAAGCCTGTCGGGGTAGCAGTAGCAGGGATATTTTGCTGGGCAGCAGTTGCTTAGAGGCGATTAAAATTAGCTTAAGACCTCCGTCCAACTGGGTGGGAAACGTCATGCCAAGTGGCTTGCCTTAGTGCTCTCTCTCTGACAGGGGCCCGCCGAAACTCGCGGGAAAAGGTTGCTGGTGAAAAAGTTTCTGGGTTGCAACAGCTGCTAGAGCTCTGCTAACAAGTGGAGGTGCTAGCAACGCAGCGCCATGCAGGCACTCTGTGGCAGAGAAATCTTAACGGATAAGACAGCATTAGTTTGTCGCTTGTCGCGCAATGCAACCCCAGAGGGACTGGAGGCAGAGGCAGAGGCACGATAACCTTGCGACAAGAGGTTCGCGGCCGATCTTGCTGCCAAGGGAGATGCCTGCGCGGTGTGTAATCTCGCGCGAGGTACTCCGACCTGGGGAGAGATAAAGGTAGGCGGCAAGTGGGTATGAGTCCGGGGAAAGAGCGGACGTAGCAGCCTTATCTGCCCGTTTGATTGCTGTCGGCAAGCGCCCCCTAGCACCCAGAAGGAAATAACCTGCCCAAAACCCTAAATGGGTAGCCAGGTCTTACCATGCGCGGCGCATGCCTGGCCATTACTCGCCTGGCGCCGTTTCTTACGGAGCACAGAGGGCTGCTTTTAGGTTTTTGTTTTACTGGGACTTCGCTTGTGCGCTTCTCTGCCGTTGCTCTGGTATCTACACAAGACAACGCCCTGGCTGTCAGCTCCTATTGCACCTTGCACTGCTAAATCAAAAACCGACACTAGCCCAAGCCACCTTCTGCGGTGTCGATATCCCGACATGCTAACCTACACCTTTCCCCCCCATAGAGCACCACCAAGGCAAGCATAACCATGTCTAATATAGCGTATCTGCTGCTCGCCACTGCATTGGCTACTTCGTACTGCCAGCATTGGTCCCAGATTCGACCGTTGCTGGCTAAGCATCTCGCTCCGTGGGTCCCAGCATTGTAATACTGCGGTTTGTAGTCGGCGAATTGCACCAGTTGGGGCCGCTAGGGGATCTACTACCTGCTAATACCACAGCCACGCCAATAAGTTCCTCGCGGCCGGCCGCAGCTATAGCAAAGCATCCCTTGATAGGCATTACACGGAGCTCGAAGTAGTAGCAATACTATTACAACGCCGTCAAACCTACAGGTGGAGGGTAAAAGCCGTTGCCTGGAAGCCGCGTTGTAGCATCACATCTCCAACTAACGGCTGGGGGCAACTCGCTCAAACGATAGGTATTTGACGTGGGCGAAGATGGACCGACGAAGATGGACCGACGAAGATGGACCGACTGTAAGGCCTTGCTGCTATTTTAGTTGCATTGCATCTCAGCCCATTGGCTAACTTTCGAGACCTGGTTATAGAGGCAAACGTGTGTTGAACGGGCTACCTACTCCGTAGGCGCACACAACTTGTGTTATCACGCAGGATGACAATCTCACCGTGTTCTACAGACCAGAGAAGCCGCTGGGAGGATTGTGAAGACGGGTTGGGTCTCGCGCAGCCGTCTACAGCTGGCAAAGATGGAGAATGAAGGAGACTGGTGTAAAGATCACCCACTTCTGCTGTTCAAGCTTAATACGTTATTAGTAGGTACTTTTCATCTGCATCCTACCAACATTAGCACGCATGTCCAAGTCCGTGCTTGCAAAACGATATAAACGCCAACGGCATCTATTCTGCTAAAATAGTGTTCCTACCTTGTATCTACAGTTGTGGTTTGAGTTTTGTTTGACATTCTTTGTGTTGCGGAGCAAACGGACTCTTCGGATCCTAGGTATCGAAACCTGTCGAAGCTACGGGGCCGCGCGTTTGTCCACTTCAGCCCTCCCCTTCCTCGGAGAGATATAGGTAGTATCCTGAGAGTTCTAGCTATCTTCATCTAGTGGCCGGTTGTAGCCACTCGGGGACGATGCCTTTGCGCCGTCGCTCTTCGCAAGACAATTAACTAGAGCAACGTGCAGCCTGGTCACGATGCAGATTCTTGGCGTGGCGTGGCGTGGCGTGGCTTGAGGCTATCCGCCAACCTTGATCTGGCACCTCTCAAGCCTTCTCGGTGTGTCTGGATGAGAAACGGGTTTTGCGGAGTGGCTGGATGTTGCATCAGCCCCTCCAGGCGGCCCCGATACGCAACATGATGGACATCCGCTCTTAGGGGCCTCAGCCGGTTCGGATACCGCTGCGGCAATATTTACCCGGCGTACGAATCGTCTGCATGTTAGCTGCTGCCAAGTTACGAGGTGACGAAGTGACGGCGAGTTTTCCCTTGGTGATAGTTCCCCCGCGTCATATAGCCGCCCAAGCCCAGAATTACATGCCAGATAATTAAGCCCCCTCTTCCGTCTCTCTGTCTTATGCTTCCGTTTGTTGGCTCTTGCATAGCCTGGATATCATACAATACCTTCTCTCCCCTCGCAATCTCTTTCCTATATATGGGCGTGTATATGTGTAGGTATGACTACGATGTATAACCGTCTGTGTAAGAAGAGTTGATTGGAGTAGTAACATCCACCAGAGCCTGCTTAGGAATGTGTATATAACTTACTAGGTACTGAAGTAATTGGACTACTGTTCGGGCTTGAGTATGCATGTATGCCAGTAGTGCTTCGCCCTCTAGGATACTCTCTACCCCTCCTCACCAGTCTGCAGGGCTTTATCTCTTCCAACTGTCAACTGGAGTGGCCCCAAAACCAGGGCAGATGCGAGAGGGCGCACCTGGGACAGATCCATGGCCTCGGGACAACCGTTTTCATCCGTACTGTACGCCGTCCCGAGTACTGCTACATACTTGTGCGTCCCATCGGTGCCAGGGCCGTTTTTGCCCCCATAATTAGGCGCCAGCCTGGGGTACCACGGCGGTGTCGTATTGGCAGAAGAGGCGTCTAGCGGCGCCTGCGGCCCCATATGCCCCCCCGCAGGTACTGTGAACAGGGTTTCAGAGGCCTTTGCTCAATCACGGGCTTGGCAAATGCCCTACCGCTACCCGCTACCAGGTCCAAGCACGGGCACGAGCACAGGCACGGCGAGCACAGGCACGGAGTGCGCATGCAAAATCGCATGGGCGCCGTACAGTAGCATCCAGCCCATGGCGTCTGACGGGGTAGCGAGAGCCTGCTGCAAGCGACGCCCCCCGCGGCAGCGTGTATGGAGCGTTGGTTGATACAGTTTTGTCACCGTTGCTTGCGCCAGGTCCAGAGTACTCGTACCTCCGGCAAGGGTACCTACTAGACCTAAGGTTAGTAGCTTCTATGCTGTGCTAGCAGATTAGCAGATTGACAGTTGGAGGGCTGCCCCCGGCGCAAGGCTCCAGGCCACTGAACTTTGCGGCCGCTGCGCTGAACCCTGCCAGAGCTGCTCGTCGATGGAAGGATGCGCAGAGTACCGAGCGCCGGATTCCCGCGTACAAGTACGCCGTGGCGCAAGCTGGGTACAGCGCCGTCCCTGCAGGCCCGGGCAGCCCAGGCGTCGCGTCCGCTGCAAACTGCAGCAGGCGCCAAGTACCTGCGCCGGTACCAGTACCAGAGGACAGCGCGGCAAGTACGGAGCGCTGCTGACCCACGCCTCGATCCGCTTGCCTTGTCCCACCCTTCACCTCGTGGTTCCTCTTTCCTTGGATCCCCTCTAGCCTTCACTCTACTTCTCTACTTCCTACCGGCATTTTGCTGCGTATCTCATCTCTCCCAACTTCGCCGTCCATGCGTCTCTCTGACTGATCGTGGCGTCTCGACTGGACTGCAACTGTCTTGCCGTCGTATCATAGCCCTTGCATCGCAATCTTCATACTCTGGCTGCTGGAGAATCAATCGGCCTTTGAACTTCCAGCAGCCCAGTGTTCCAGCCGTGTGTTTTTGCAGTTTCCCAGTGGAATCGGCTCTCTGCCCTCTTCTCTGACACAGCTTTGACAAAGTACGGTGCTGCCATATTACAACGAGTATCAAGAGTCGTGAAATGACCAGCAATCGGCCTGACGAGCCGCTACATCCTCCCATTCTCAAGCATAGAGAGCCGCTCAGTCTCCTTGGCCTGTAGTCCGGATTCCAGCTATGTCGGACGGCCGGGGCGGCATGAACCGTCAGTTTCGCAACGCCCACCGCCAGAGCTTCGATTCCACGTCCCAGCTGTACCCGCAGCGCGAACCAGCTCCTGGCGGTGGGCAAGGCGAGGCCCCTTCAGACGATATGCTGGGTGGCAACCCTCACTTTAGCGACTTTAACTTTCCCTTCTCCGCCATGCCCGATCAAGCCGTTCTCGCCCACCAGACCGACCCTTTCTCGCAGCACCAGGCCAGCACCATCTCTTCCATTCCGCCATCACATAGCATGAGTGCCATGAGTAACATTGCACGACAGCCCTTCGTACCGATTCTTGATCCGCCGACGCCGAATCTGGAACTAACGAGCAACTCGATGGCCAGGATATCGACTCCGGCGTCCAACTCCATCACCGATGACGGGAATGCAGACGACTTCGGCCACGTAAATCAGAATCGTGGCGATGGCACAGACTTGGGAGGCAAGTCGAAAGACGACTCTGCGTCGGCTCCTCCTGCCTGGAGTGAACTCAAGACCAAAGCTGGTAAGGACCGGAAACGATTGCCGCTTGCCTGTATCGCATGCCGTCGCAAAAAGATACGCTGCTCTGGAGAAAAGCCTGCTTGCAAACACTGCATGAGGTCACGCATCCCCTGTGTTTACAAAGTCACTACCCGAAAAGCCGCCCCGCGGACCGATTATATGGCCATGCTCGACAAGCGGCTCAAGCGCATGGAAGAACGCATCATCAAGATACTCCCAAAATCTGATCAGGATTCGATATCCTCGGTCCCCCGCGCTGTTGTCAAGCCTGCCATCCCAGGAACTGGGACAATGACGTCAAATAAGACTACCACCAAGAAGCGTAATGCGGACGAAGCCTTTGGCCGGAATCTGGAAGCATGGGCCAAGGCCCCCAGACCGAAACTACCGGAAGACCAGGCGGGCACACCAGAGTCTCGCGAGGCAGAAGAAAACGAGCTGTTGCGCGAGGGAAGGGATGCCCTTCCTCCCAAGGATGTCCAAGAGCACCTTACCGAAGTCTTTTTTGACAATGTCTACGGCCAGTCTTATCATCTCCTCCATAAACCGAGCTACATCCGCAAACTAAAGTACGACCAATTTTCCACGGGGAATGAAGCACGTCGCCTTTCCTTCCTAGTGCCCTACCCATTTCATCAAGCTCTACCAGTGCAACTGCTAACGCAAGTTTTAGAAATGATACACTACCGCCGGTGCTTGTTCTCTCTGTTTGCGCTATCGCAGCACGCTTCACGTCGAACCCAAAGTTCACCTCTTCGACCAAACAATTTATGCGTGGAGAGGAGTGGGCCTCTCACGCCAGAGAAATTTGCACCAGACGATATGACTGGCCCAACATAACGATATTGACTTGTCTTCTCATCCTGGGGATGCATGAGTTCGGAACGTGCCATGGCGGCCGTGCTTGGGCTCTGGGTGGACAGGCTATTCGTATGGCCTTTGCTCTCCACCTGCATAAAGATTTGGAATACGACCCCCAGATGCGAAATAGGAAGATCAAGTTGAGTTTTATTGATCGGGAAATTCGTCGCCGCGTTATGTGGGCTTGTTTTATGATGGACCGTTTCAACTCCTCTGGAACAGATCGGCCTCTGTTCATCAAAGAAGACACCCTTAAAATACCTTTGCCCGTTGCGGAGAGACATTTCCAATTTGATATGCCGGCACAAACAGAATATCTCGACGGCACCGTTCCAAATAGTGAGCTAAACGACCAAGGTCAAACGGGAGTCTTACCGCGCGACAACATGGGAGCAGCAGCCTATACTATCCGCTCAATATCCATTTGGGGTCGTGTTGTCACCTATTTAAACCAGGGTGGAAGAGAACAGGATGCATACCCAATGTGGGATACGAATTCCCAGTATGCCAAACTGGTGCGAGATACTGAAGAGCTATTACGCACTCTCCCGGATTCCCTCAAATGTACCCGCGAGGCTCTAGAGATTCACCGAGCCGAAAGTACCGCAAAACATTTCATTTTCCTGCACATGGCTATCCAGCAAAACCTGCTCTTCCTCCACCAAGCCGCGGTTTCATTTTCTCGCGATCGTATTGGTGAAGAGGCACCCAACGAATTCATTACGCAGGCCAATATTAAGACCTTCTTGGCCGCCAACAAAATATCTGATCTTCTCAGAGACGCTGAGGAGGTACAGTGCAGCATATCAACTCCATTTGCCGGGTACTGCGCCTTCTCTTCAGCTACCATACATATCACTGGTATCTTTTCTGGCAACCCGGCGATGAAAGCCACAGCTGAGGCAAATTCCAGCGTGAACGTAAGATTTCTGCGTAGCATGATGAAATACTGGGGCATGTTTCATTGGATGGTAGAGAATATCCGCATTCAGTTTCGAAATGCCCTTGAAACGTCCCGCACCGGTGGTCCTACCAATGGTAGCACCGCATCATCGCCAATCCTGCAATATTCTGACTGGTTCAACCGTTATCCCCATGGAGTGTCGGACACAGACTACATGGATCCCGCCATGTATAGGAAGAAGGAGAAGGGCGAAGATGGCGCCTTGGAGCAGAAGTCGGAGTTGCAGTCAATTGAAGATTTTTTCATGACTGTTGGGCCAATGCAGAACGATAAGGAAGGGCCACGAGCTGGTGCGTCTAAGCGCAAAGCCCCCTTGAAGAGGCCAACCGTCACGATATCAAGCAGCATAGACCAGCAAAAGTCTGGTGAACAGCTTACGGCGGCGGCAAGTGAGCAGCATCTCCATGAACAGATGAGGTTAGCTATGCAACAGCAGTCTCGGCAACCGCCCAGGTTCTCAGACACGCTCGGAGTCCAGACTACTAACACCTCTACCTTTAATCCCCTTACCGTATCACAAACGCAAAATCCGGCATATCCTATCATATCACCAATTAGTTCTGCCAACGGCGCACAATTTCCTCAGAGCATGCCCTTCTCCAATTTCTTCTCAACGGATATGCTATCCATGGATATTGAGCCGCCAGATACAATGATGCAGTCCAACTATAGCGACTTTTCAATGGAGTCTGGAAGTGTAAACGGTCTGCAGAATATGATGAATGGGTCTACCAGCTGGGGAAATATGTCTGGGAACAACGCAGCGGCTAATACGCAGATCCACGGCCAACAAAGCATGAAAGTGGACGGCATGAGTGGCGAACATGCTCACGCCCAGGGTCAGATGGACCAGAGCCACAATGGTTTGAACCCGTATCTGAATCAAAATGCGTCTCCAGGATGGTTCCTGAATTTAGATGGAGGCCAAGATATGGGTTTCGGGAGCGTTGATCCTTTTGCAGCCCTATTTGGCAGCAATGGAGGAATGCTTATGGCTGATCACCAAGGTGGCATGTAGCTTACCACCTTTTCAAGTTCAGTGAGCCGCAGCTCTGTGCGGTATATTCCTGTGGCCGTTTGATGATAATTCAAATGCGAAGCTGCCACTCGGGGCAGTAGCAAACTACGATAAATACGAGTGGGAGTTACATCAACGATCTTTGAATGATGCGGATCCCCCTTTTAAGTTCAACATATTTTATCTAACAGTTACAAGGCAGCAGCAACTACTAACTGCTTACTGTCATTATCTCTTATCACAATGTCGAGTGATGAGAAAAGCAAAACAAAACAAGCATTTCAAGGGGAAAATGGCGCTTCGGAAAGGGTGGATATTTGGATTTCTTTGTTTTCAAATGGACATATATCTATATACTATACCCAGGGAACACAATTTAGTCTTTTGGGGGAAGGGCCGGAGGACGCCTGATGATTGGGCTGTCTAGTATATATGCTGCTTGGCTGTCTTTTTTTTGTGCCTTTTTTTTTTTTTTTTTTAGTATATCCTGTGGTGAGAAAAGGAGCGTCTGGAACCAACAACACAATTGAATGAGATACTTTTTTTTTCCTTACTGAATTTTTTCTTTTCGGGCTCCGTTTATTCGACTACTTACTGTTTATTCTTTGTTTCTTCTTTGTTACTACTTTCCCTTTCTATTTGTCTTTATTTGGGTGGGGACATACGTGACTGACTACTCTGCATAGTTTTGTTCATTTATGATGTATTATTAGTATTCTAACTAGTCTTTTAATGAATATTCATAGCAGTATGTGCTAACCCTTATGACGGTGCTCGTCTTCTCTCTCTTTTTCTTCCTAAAGCTATTGGTACTCCCAAGTAAACAAACAGAGAACTATAAAGAGTTGCGCTATGAATCAATAACTCTTTGTTTTCTTCCTCGTTAATTTTTCTCAATGACACAATACATATATTCTCATGAAATAGCCAATGACATATTGCTACGCGCATAAAAAATTAACCTCTCTTCTTTTCATACAGTCTTTATCAATATTTCTCTTGTAATAATACGAGTTATGGCATATAGGTATCCCTTGTATCATTATCATCATCTCTTTTCGAGTCAATGCGCCTCGCCGTGCCCAAGAAAAAAAAAGTAAGGTATAATAAACAGCGCCATCCAAGACCATATTGCCCACGGCCTTCTATATACTTTCATTATTTCAAAAAAACGCTTTAGTAGTGGCCTGTGCTATGCAAGTCTCACTTTGTTCATCATTCGTGTCATACTCTGTTCCCATCCTTAGTTTTTTTTTTAACCATGTACCCAAAACTCATTCCCTCTTAATGTAAACCGGAATTCCATATAAAACCACCGCCGCGCCATTAAGATATTTGAAACGACATGCACTTCTCGCCCCCGCCACTGCTTCAGCAAGGGATGCATCACCTGGAGCACCATCTCCTCTAGGGAGGCTCAATTCATCCACCCCTTCAGCACGGCTCTTAGCCTTGCTTTTGCTCTTGCTCGTTGAGCCATCAAAGGTGCCTCTTGCAAAGAGACCCCATTCCTCAAAAGTCTTGCCTGCAAAACGATCGATATCACGATCCGTCACGTCCCAGAGCGTACCCACCACGGCGGGACAACCCGCCATCATGTAATTCCAGACTGGACCATAGCTTTCAAATTCTCCAGCGTCAGTGAGGGCAGCGGAGCTACAACCCATGAGGAAAGTCGCTGGCCTGCACTTTTCCAAGCGTCGAATCGTCTTTCCCCGAATATACTGCGCACCGCTGCCATGACCAAAATACACCATAATCTCGGATGTCGAAAGAGCCTTTTCAAAATCCGACTCCTTTGGCGCTTTATTGATGATACCATTCCACGATGACAGGGTTGTAAAAGCTGACTGGAAGAATGTCTGTGTATTCTTCAGGTCAGATGACGGGTTAAGGATATAGGTACCAGCTTTTGCTGAGACAAAGTGGCCCTGTAATCCGTTTGTCGGACCTGTGCTAGCATCTTGAATGAGTTGCCGAAGGCATTCGAGCGAAGGGACTCGAGATACAGACAGGCCGTCCATGCAAGGCAAAGACTCCCAAGGGAAAGCGTGGAGCAGTTTATCAAGCACAAGTATGGTATGTGTCCCTTCCTCCCTCTCCGAAGAGTTAGCAGCATTGTGATACCCGCGTAGAGCATCGTAAGTCTCTAGGACCATTCCGTCAAAGTCGATCTCATCGTAAGCGTTCCGCTCGCCGTGGAACTGCAGAATATCCACGACAAAATAAAGCAAATCATTCAGCGCCTCATCAAACTCGCAGTCAGGATCAATTGGATTGCCCAGGCCAATGAAGAGATCGAGGATCCGAGGATCCAAAGTAATAGCCTCTGTCTTGGTCGCCGACTTCTTCCCTCGGCTTTTATTTCGAGATGGCAGGATTCTATCAAGCATTTGGTGGAAGTCCTTCCGAAAGCGTGCCAACAGATCCATCTGCTTGAATTGCTGCGAAAAAATGCCCCTGAATCCTCCTAGCCACGTAGTCTCGATAGTAACCAGGAGTCGCTTCAATCGAGAGTCCAAAGCTTCTCGCTCTGCCCACCAAGCCCCACGCTCTCCTTTGGCAGTAAAGTCTCGTGCAGAGTGACTGCTTTCATTTGCCAGCTTGATAAGTTCTAATAATTCTTCACGGCCGTTTTTAAAGTTGAAAACTTTGGAGTCGGCATCCCGAGAGTTAGCCCTTTCCAAAGGCAGGCGCAAAACAAACGGTCCTTGGTTCGATTGGAATTTTGTGATACAGAGATCATGATGGTTGTCACTCAGCGAAATAGAGACAACACTCCACTTCTCTGGGATCAAATCCACGTAGTTCTCTTGAAAGTTGGCCATATCAGCCACTGCTTCTGTTGTTAGTGGCTTGGCAGCTGGAGTTGTGATACGGATGGTGGCCGTATCGTTATTGGGCCCAGCTAGAGTCTGCTGTTCTCGCTGCCATGTCACGTTTCGAGCCATATCAACAGCAATCGTACCCAGTCCTGTTTGTGGAAGAGATTTTGAAGCCAGGGTTGCTGACAAGAAAATCACTGTGGTTTGAAGCAGCGTAGAGATACGACGAACCATGCTACTATCGGCACTGGAGAGAGCAGAAGCGTGAGCTTCTACGAGAAGCGCTTGTGCTCGCTCTAATGCATCTGCAAAAGCAGGATAATCAATATTCTTCTGAGCTCCTTCCGCGGCAAGTTCGTTTTTCATCGATAGCTGCATGTGCGACAATTTATCGGATAGAGCCATGGAAGCAGAGACAGCAGGGAACGAAATGGTCGAGTCTTGCATCACAGAGAAGACAGGATCGGAAATCATCTGCTCCATGCTACGTCCAATTAATGATATGGCCGTCATCACTTGCTCTTGAGAGAGTATGCTGATAAGCTTGGGCAAATCTTTGACTTTTTCTAGAGCCTGTAGAGCCGATGCCCAATCTTTCTGGTAAATGAGTCCCAAAGTGCGAGACATGATGATGGCGGTGTGTAGGGATGCGTAGTATATATCTTTTGGTAGCTGAGCGAAATCTGCTGCTGCAGGTGTCTTAGACCTGGGCGAGTCTCGCTTGGCGGGTTTAGGAGCGGCTGGTACTTTGACCTTTGACCTTGTTGTTCTCTTTGCTCTCATGACTTTGGTAGATTCGGCACTCTGTGGCTTTGCAATGGGCTCCTGGGCTGCAATGGGTTCCTGAACAATATGGATACTGGATTTATTCTTGGGCATGCTGAGGAGGTGAGCAGTCTCTTCAGCTATTTTCAAAAACTCGCCAGCCTTCTCATCGTCTCCGATTTCCCAATAAAACTCTCCGAGTTGACGAGCAAAGCGTACACGAGCAGAACAGGTATCACGCGGTAACTGTTGTTCTGCATCTTTAAAGGTGGCAAGTGCTTTAGGCAGCTTTCCAGCCTTAAGATAAACAGAACCAGTCCATGCAGCCACCTGTGCTTTGTAGAGCGAAGACTGAGTACTCTCCGCAATCTTCCAGGCAGAGTCAGCATAGTAGATAGTTTCCTGGAACATGCCAATATGAGCGTATACGGAAGAGATATGTAAGAGACTTCGGAGAAGTGGACTGGCTAAGGTCCAGAATCGAGGGCCAGTTACTTTCCCCTTTGTCGAAGCCAAGTCTGTGCTGCTGGCGTTGATATCTGATACGCTGGCATCTGGGCTCTTGGAATCGGCCCCTAGCGCAGCTTCTAATTTGGTCCAGTCATGAGTCAGCATGCGAATACTCGTCTTTACAAAGGATAGTGCGTCTTGGATATTTCCATTTTGAAGAGTAGCAATCGATTGTAGCAGTAAGGTGATGGATATTATCATGGATGCATGAGATTTGCTTTGAGCCCAAGAGGAATATGGGGCGTTGCAAATATCACCGGCTTTGGATAGAGAACCGAGACTATAAAGCATTAGCTCTTCTTTTTACTCACTACACCAGGATTTACAGCAAATTGAAATACTCACGCAGTGTCCATATCGCCAACACCAGTATAATACTCTGCTTGGGAGAGGTAAAACTCAACAAGGACTTGGCGCGATAGGCCATCGTAGCGGGTGATAAGCTCTTGAGTATGCTCTATTGTCTTTAAAGCTTGGGGGAAGAGTCCAATGCTAACGTATTGCGCTGCCAACTGGCTGTGGCCAAGAATCAAGCCGTCACCGGTTGCTTCCGCAGATCCAACAAATACCGTCGATATGGCGATGTTGAGTTCGGAAATTGCGAGCTGGAGATGTGTCTCCCCCCTTAGGCCGGCAAGCTGGTGTAGCGACCGTAAATGATCGAGAAGTCTTTGAGGATCGTCAACTACCATAAAAAGTTGGTCTTGCGTCTGACAGGTTCTAATGATGCCTTTCCAAGAGTCGATTGCCTGGAATATCATTGTAGACATTGTTCCATCCGTGTGTGTCAGTGCAAAGATGGATGTAAAATAGGCTTGCAAGTGCGGGATGAAATGAGATAGCAAGGCATCTTCCGCCCCGGCCCCGGCCTCCAGATGTCGCCATGTTTCCTCAGCAAGCGAAACAATATTCAGAAGCTGCTCTTCTTCTCCTACGCTTTGATAGTAAAGATTCAGCAATACACGGAGGCGGCGAACCGGGTACTTATCCAACGAGTAGATGCGAAGCAACGCAGCTACTCCTGCGTCGTGCAGTCCAAGGGGCTGCGACGACGAGGACGAGCCGATGAGACTGACGTACGTCAAATGCTCTAGAACCGCAGCACGCTCCACCTCAGGAAGCGAGAAGGTCCACTCATTCCACGCTCTGTCGATCCTAGCCATGGAACGCAAAGTGCGTGACAAGAGTGATACTTTGTCGTTCATGGCCCACGCCAGGGTTGGAGGCTGTGTGGAGAGAGCAGCAGCAACGTCAGATAATGCGCCGTTCTCAGCTACCTTGGAACAAATTGATCGTAGCGTGCGTACGGCATCATCAGTCCTACCAGAGCTCTTACACATATCTGCAAATATCTCTAGTTTTGTCGATAATTGTGCTTTCTCTTGCTCGGCCTCCGTACAGTCTTTAACGACATCAATCGATCGGTTCAAAGCCTGAAGAAGACGCTTATTCTCGTCTTTGGACCGATAGGATTTCTTTCGAAGGAGAGAAAAGACGGAGAAATAAAGACTTGAGATCTTGACGGAGTACCTGCCAAGATTCTCAACCTTGGTGGTAGATAGATTAGAAGCAGTCATAGATTCGAGAAGCGAAGCGCAGTGTTGAAGCACATCATCAATCGCATGCCATTCACTCTCTTCAGACTGGATGTCGCATTTGATGACCATCAGGGTAGAGTCAAGAGTCTGTCCAATAGATTGTGCAACCAGCTGTCGCCGCTGATCGAACTGAAGAACATGCTTGGGCTGTACATCTTTGCCTGGCGGCAGCCCCATCCATCGGCGTATAAATCGCGGATACTTGAGAATGAAAGTTTTTAGATGAGTTGTGAGGGCGCTCGGAACAGTGCTTTTCGAAGCATTTGGCCCCAAACAGGTCATCAGAAGGCCAACGACGGAACGCCTCGCCAGCGAAAGGCCCTCGAGAAGTTCGTTCAGCTCTGCCATTGTTCCACTAAGGCTACCATCCAATCCTTCAATGACCTCGCAAAGGAGAGGCTCGACGGTTGGGTCTAAGTCAGCCTTCTTCAGCGCAACAGCAAGGAGGCGCGCAGAGATTGAACACTTGAGAACAGAGGAGTCTTGCCCTGCGGTCAGCGAACCTTTCAATTCTTGGAACCAACCATGTGCTTCGGCATATCGTCGTTCTGCTTGCGCTGCGGATCCTAAAATATGGTGTATGGATGCTAGAGGTGAATTGAATGATGTTGCTGGGAGATACTTTTGAGAATGAATAAGCTGCATTATAGTGTTAAATGATTCGGATATTATTTGGTAAACGGGACCTCTATCTAGCTTTTGTCGTCGGGTGTAAGCTCTTAGACAGCGTGAGAAGGGTGAGAGCAAGTCATGATCAATATGTCCCTGATGCTGAGCCAGTTTCCACCACTTGAGCTGGATTCGGAAAGCCAAAGATTGCAACTCAAAGGCGGCGCTAGGAGATGGGCTAAGTCGCGGTTCGGTAGCTACTGCGTCTTCCTGACTAGAAATACTCGGCGCAAGGGACAAAAGAATCTGTGATATGGACGCCATTTGACGAGCTACCTTTGCAGCCTCCTTTGCCCCCTCCTTAGCGAGAGCAGACAGGAGGTTCAATGGGGACGAGGCATGTGAATCGCTAAGGTGGGGAAGAATAGCTTCTATGTGAGATGGTTTTTTAGTCGCTGCAATCAGCTTTAGAACCTGCATCTGATAGCCTGTGATGGTCGCAAGGCAAGGCTTCGCGATGGCGCCCTGAAAGTTCAACAAATCGGCGATTACTGCAGTGGTACTCGTAGTTTCGGATCCGCCCTTGGTCCCCGTCGATTGTTTTCCGCTTATTATACTGTCCAGCCTCCGTTTCAGCACTCTCAGCTCCTTAAGAGCCTGATCATGCATCCCTAAGCCTAGCAGCTTCCCCACCAGCGCGGACATGCCAGTCTCTAGCTGAAAGTCCGCCTCTTCAGGTTTTGTTGGACCTTTGAGGGATCGAAGTGCAGAGAATGCAACACGCGCACACTCCACTGTAGCAAGGCATCCCGTCGATTGGGCAGGCGAGGGTGCTTTCGTCGGAGTTGTTTCACTGTCGAAAGACGCAACTACACGGTTGAGTGCCCTGGGCTGCACGGGAGAAAGCGGTGCAGACAGAGATCTTCGAATTGACTGTTTCCCTGCTGCTTCTCGAAGGTCGCCATTTTGTTTTGACGGTGTAGAAGGGGGCAGTGGCTTCGCTACTTCGGACAGGGTCTTGAGCGTAACGTTGATGACATGAGTCGCCAAAGCAGCTCTCTCGCGGGAGCTCAAAGTGTCGGTTTGTGAGCTGGAGGCATTGTCTCTTCCGGCGCCGCTTTTCGTTCTCGTTGCAGATGCCGTCTTGATAGGTCGAGTGGCAGCGGACTTTAGTCTCGAAGGTAACGACTCGGGATCTGGGAGTAGCAGCTCTTTGAGTGTTACGACCGTTGCTGGTGTGCAGGTTGACGTTGACGAGACTGCCGCTTTGACGGCGTCGACTTTTGCCTGTAAAGAAGCCATCTAGGTTTTTTTTTTTTTTTTGAGAGCTGTTAATCATATCATCTCAATATCCCAAAAGCCAATCCAAAAAGAGCTTTCGCCATGTGGCGCGAGGCTGATTATACAAATGAGTGCGTGAGCCTAATCGTCAATCGCCAATCAATGCATTTGGTGATGTGAACATGGGTGTTGGGTTTAGCGCCGTATCGGCTAAACACCGGGGGTTGTCTAGGGCAACTGGTCGGGATCAGACGGGCGCTTTTCGGAGATCCGATTAAAATTCCCCGGATTCTAGAAGACTTTACGACAGCTCGAAACCTCGAGGATTAAAGTCGAGAGAAAATCCCTACGACAGCGAGAATGGCATTGTCCCAGAAATTTCTCTCCTACGCCGGAAGGCAAGGTATAGCAGCCCTTGCTGCCAACGGCATTGCGCACGCAAGACCAGGGCTGCGCTTCGCTAGCACAGCGCAAATAAAGCCAGTGAACATCGTTGAAGGATCCTTTTGGAAGTCTCTTATCCCCAAGCCGATGCGCAGGACAAATCGCAAGCTCAAGACGAAGGAGAAGAAGGATTGGAACCCGGCCACTTATTTTATTGTCATGTTCCTATTCATCGGATCCATGTCTATCCAAATGATCGCGCTGCGAAATCAGACGGACCGATATATGCGACAGTCGTCACTACGGATTGCTCAGCTTCGAGAAGTGGTTCAACGCATACAAAACGGAGAGGATGTAGATGTAGAAAAGATTCTGGGTACTGGTGATCCCCAGAAAGAGACAGAGTGGGAAGAGGGTGAGTAATCCTGGGAATGGCCATGCATCAGGATATTGCTAACGACCAGTAATGAAGTGTTGCAAGCTATTGAACGCGACGAAGCATCTCGAAATCCCGAGAAGCAACCTAGTCAGAAGCAGGCGGAAGCCCAGGTCAAGACGACAAGCCAACTTGAGAGCGCTTCTCAGCAGCCGCCCTCAGAACAACCTGTCAAGACAAAGACGGCCAGTTTTGGAAATTTCTTTTGAGTCATGCCCTATATCTCGGAGCGCCTTTTTTATACTATATATCTAAAGGTGTCTAAGAGAGCATGTCTTTGAAGACGTACGGACTATCTTGCGAAGCATTGCCGATCGAGGCCTCATGAGACAATGAGGTCGATGCTAGCTTCTGACGAAGCTGCGAAACCAGAGCTGGGAGGACTTCGTCCGTTGATACCTCCACTCTTACAGCAAGCTCGCCGGCTTGGCTAGGGTTCAGGTCGGCAAAGAATTGATCCTCTCCTCTCACGCCGCCCATATTTACGATGGCGATGGGCATACCCCTATCCTTGGCTCTCTTGGCCAACCTCCATGCCGAATAGGTAGCGAGCGAAGTCCCCAGAATAAGAAGCCTGCCAGCATTATCGATGGCATCTTCAGCAGCGGTTCGAACATGGTTGGGGATGTTTTCACCAAACATGACGACATTAGGCTTTAATATGCCAGCTGTGCTCGGCAGTGCCCATGCACCATCACTGTCTGCCCTGACTGTGTGTCTGAATCCCTCTGCTTTGATTGGTGGGTCGGCCAAACATCGAGGGCATGGAGGGTATCTAAATGTGGTGTAAGGCGCATCAGGAAGGTCAACGTCGCCATCTGGGTTGACTTTTAGGCCCCTGAACTTCTTTTCTTCAGGGTCCTCGGTGTCGAGAGCTCCCGATGCCATTGCTTCCTCGAGTAGAGCTGCCCAGCGAGGGTTGAGCCGAGCAAGATGGCGTTGGAAATCCTCACGGGGATATTCGGTATGGCAGGTGGTGCACTTAGTTGACCTTAGATAGCCATGGAGCTCGAGCGAGGGCACCTGCGGATGAGCTCTAGGATGGAACGAATCAACGTTCTGAGTAATGACAGCACTGATCAGCCCAATCTCCCCCAGGTCCCTGATAGCGTAGTGTCCCGTATTTGGATTTGCCTTGAGAAGACTGGGCCACCCAAGAAAGCTCCTCGCCCAATACCTCTTTCGAGCCTCGTGATTTTGTGTAAATTCATTGTAGTAGATGGGGCGGTATGTCTTGTTTACTCGATACGTGCCATTGGGTCCTCGATAATCAGGCAGTCCAGATGATACTGAGAGCCCTGCGCCTGTGAGGACGACGGTAGAGTGAGGCAGGCGGTTAGGCGGGCGAGCAGCGAAGAAGTTGTGAAGCGCAGCGAGAGCGCCGGAGAGCGAGTGAGCCGAGGCGGGGATGATTGTTGGTGACGGAAGAATGTCAGTGTAAGGGATTCGCATCAAGGGTTTCCGCATCGGAGCGCTGGCATAAGGGCTGATGACTGCTCAGCAGCCTTCCGCCAGTATCTGCTGTGTTGAATCCCGCAAGGCACCCAAGTAGGCAATATTATGAGATGCGTATGGTTTTCTGATGATTTCCTGTTGGATAGCAGCAAATAGAAAGCAGCTGCGCTTGGTACTGGCGCGCTCGGTATATCTGGAGGTGCGAATAGATGCTGGGCGAGACAAGATCGCGACGGCGCTGGCCAGCACCGTCCTTGGCTAGCTGCGGCCTAGTCGCAGCCAACCAAGGCTGCCCCATTGACCTCGTCGTTGATATGCTGGATGATTATCTAATAATAAACAACGTCCTATTCCGATCGTGCCCCAAACGATCTCCGATCAAGGCGCCGGGCTGACAAAGAAGACGCACCATTACATCAATGTGCCGATGTACCTTGACGTGCCCCAGCGCAGCATTCAACGCAGGCCAGGGGCCTTTCCGGGGAGCGACACCCCGTAGCCACAGCGCTAAGCCCGCCAGAAAAGCCCGCTGGCAGCGCTGCCAACGGAAATCCAATCCTGCGTGCGCAGTGGCCTGACGCGGCGAACTCGGTCTCCGGACGACGGACCGGGCCCTCTCTCCGACAACTTCTCTTCGGGTCCTGCAGCAGGAAGAGGCAGAAAAGGCAGCGCTTGGGAAAAACACTCTCATCCTGTTCCCATCCCATGTCTGCGTGCGGCCCGGCCCTGAATCTCGTCTGCCCTCTCGTCTGAAACGGGTGAAACAAACGGCGCTGCGTCTGCATGTCTGCTCAGGCCAGGCGCTCCACGGGCCTGGCCGTGCGGTGCGGCTCTGGGGCGGCGGCTGCTGCTGGCCAGCGGCGCGCCCTGGCCGTGCCATTTAGCCTCCAGCAGAGGACACCTCAACGCCAACCTTGCACCCGCAGAGCCCTCCAGACGCTGTCGTCGCCGACCACCATCGTGCCGCCCTTCTCGCTGTCGGCGTCGTCCAATTGCTACGTTGCGCTCGCCGACACCTTGACGGCGCGCAGCTCCGTGCTCCTCATCCGCCCCGTCTTCCGCGGCCGCATCCGCTCGCTGCCCTTCATCATGGGCGCCCCTCGCCAGGCACGCGATCACAGCCACGACCACGACCACGATCACGACCACGATCATGGCCACGGCCATAGCCACGGCCTCTTTGGCCATCACCACCATCACCATGACAGCTCCTACCTCACCTCGGCCGACAAGAACGACCCCGGCGTGCGCATAACGAGGATTGGCCTGCTCAGTAACTTGGCCATGGCCATTGCCAAGTTCATCGGCGGCTGGGCGTTCAACTCCAAGGCCATGATTGCCGACGGCTGGCACAGCATCGCTGATCTCGCTTCCGATATCCTTACCCTCGCGACCGTTTCGTGGAGCATCAAACCGCCGACCGACCGATTCCCCCTAGGCTTTGGCAAAGTTGAGAGCTTGGGCGCGCTGGGCGTGTCTGGAATGCTCCTCGTTGGCGGCTGCTACATGGGCTTTGAAAGCGCGATGACATTGTACGGCCATTGGGACCCAGAGACGGCCCATCACATGCTGGAGCACGCCCACCATGGACACAGCCACTCTCACAGTCACGCAGATCTCGGTATTCCCAGCATACACGCAGCTTGGTTGGCAGCAGCAACGATTCTGGTCAAGGAATGGCTGTACCAAGCCAGTATGCCAAAAGCCCCCTCCCCCCTTTTCTGTCGATTGAATTTTCTTCTAACATGTGCGTTTTCTACAGCTATGAAAGTTGCGCGCGAGCGCAAGTCATCGGTCCTAGCCTCCAACGCCGTCCATCATCGCATCGATAGCTTGACGGGTATTGTGACGCTCTTTGTAATTGTCGGTGCCAACGTAATCGAAAATGCCGCCTGGCTGGATCCCGTCGGCGGCCTCCTCATTTCCATCATGGTGCTCCAAGCCGGCCTGGGCAACTCCAAAGCAGCCTTCTTGGAGCTGATAGACCAGAGCCTGGATGACGAGATCAAATCATCTATTCGTAAGCATGCGCACAGGGCCATTGCCAACGTTAGTGAAGGACATCAAGCCGAATTGCGAGACATCACCGGAACCAAATCTGGCCCCAACTACCTGGTCGACCTGGAGATGGCTGTGCCTGGCGCATGGACCGTGAACGATGTGAAGGACCTGGAAGACGCCGTTCGCACCCAGGTTGGAGGTAAGGTGCGTGGGGTGAAGCGAATTCGCGTGCGATTCGTGTCCCGCGATGGAGACGTCAACCGGAAGTTTGACGAGTTCATCCCAGGCAGCGCTCGAGCGAGTGTTTCGGAAGAATCAGACCAAGAGGAGGAACACGACAACAACCACGATCATAACCATGACCATGACCACAAGCACAGACATTAGAGACACAGCAGCCTCGTTTCCCTGGTATTTTCATTTTGTATATAAACCCTAGATATGGCAGTATTAGACCTCATTGTTAAATGATTTATTGTTACTACCACCTAGTGCCATACAGGCTCCAGAGAGTTTCGGCCCCGATTCTCTTTCTCCTAGGTGGCTGTCCCGGCATCGCTGCTTTCTTGAAGCATTTGGCGATGGTCGTCAATCACAGTTCAATGGCCGTGTGGCTCAATGGCAGAGCGTCTGACTACGATTAAGTACATCAGGAGGTTGCAGGTTCGACCCCTGTCTCGGTCACAAGTTCAATCCCCTTCTGTGAAAGAGGATGTGATTTCTTTTTTCCCTTTTTACATTTTGCTGCCTTTTGTTGCCTTCTCTCGCCTCTGTCCTGTGGAATATCATTCGCAGGCTGCCTTTCGTCTTTTTCCCCATCTTTTTTCTTTTTTTTTTTTTCTTTCTAGTACATGAGTTCATAAGTTCATGTTCTGATTTGGTCGAGCTAAATGTTAACATCGATATGTATGTTCACTACTAGGTAGTCTTCTGTCTTTCTATCTATCCCTCAAATAAAGTAAAAATCAAATTAGAGGATGAGCGGAAATATTGATTTCAGCTCTTAACCCTTGATGTTCTATTTGTTCTATTTTTGTCGTGGCAGCATTCACAAGATTGATAGTCCCAAGATAGGCTAGCTCCATATAAGTAGAATATACACTGCTTTGACATATATTATTCCCCATAACGTGTGGCATCACAAAGTAGCAATGACCAAGCGCTATTTAGGCTAAATTGCTGATAACGAGGACGCTGTTAATCCACATTCAATCGACAATAGTTTCTGCCATTACCGCGCCAATACAGACAGAGGCACTAATACAAAATGAGTCCCAGCTATCGAGAAGTCGAAAATGTAAGAATGATCTAAAGACACTGAATCAATCCCAGCGGTGGATAAGTTCCACCCAAGCTGTTTGTAAATCATTACCACTTTAGCCTAATAGTTTAGCTTTTTGCTCCGAGTAGTCGGAGAAACGCTTAAGCGCTTCTCCACCTCCCTTCTAGCAGCGATCATAGCTGTTCCCTATATATGCTTATATGTCAAGGGCAGCTTGTGGTGGTGTGGCAATTACGTCGTGGATGCGACATATTTCTTCTAATTGTCTTCCATAAAAGCTACACTTGAGTTTTGCGTTCTCTTTTCCAAGTTTACGCTCTTGAGACTCTTATAATAACAAAGAAACACCCAAAATTCCGAGCTATACCTAGATCTGGCCGCCAATAGCAGCATCCCATTCCCCTCGGCAAGAACCATACGGTTACAGGATATAGAGATACACATTCACTCTTAATAAGCTGGAGGGTTAAGTACCAAATCTGCCACTATGAGTGCAGATAACGGCCCCCTATACCTGGGCTTTGACCTTTCAACCCAGCAACTTAAGGGTAAGCGGAAATGAGCAATTCTATGGCGCCTCACCAGGTCACCCCGTCAAGTCTCCTCACCACCATTCATTCTCTCATATAACCAAGGCACCTCGGCTAACACGACCACCATCAAAAGGCATTGTCGTCAACTCCGACCTCAAAACAATCGCCGAAGCAAAAGTAGACTTTGACCAAGACTTTGGCGCAAAATACGGCATCCACAAGGGCGTCCACGTAAAGGATCCAACTGGCGAGGTCTACGCCCCGGTCGCATTATGGCTGGAATCCCTCGACCTTGTGCTGGAGCGCCTGTCCAAGGCAATGGCGCCCGTGCCCATGAGCAGAATCAAGGGCGTCAGCGGCTCTGGCCAGCAGCACGGCAGCGTCTTTTGGAACGACCAGGCGGAGGAGCTGCTGCGGGGCTTGGACCCTGCCAAGTCTCTCGTTGAGCAGCTGGAGAAGTCGCTGGCACATGAGTTTGCGCCGAATTGGCAGGATCATAGTACGCAGAAGGAGTTGGAGGCATTTGATGCCGAGTTGGGAGATCGGGAGAAGTTGGCCGAGGTTACAGGAAGTGGTGCACATCATGTAAGTTGAAGGAGAAGAACGAAGAAAAGAGGAACATGGCTGCCTTATTGTTATACAAGAAAAAGATGCTGACAGGATTCTCCTTTTCTAGAGATTCACAGGACTTCAAATCATGAGAATCAAGAGAGTCCTGCCGGAAATCTACGCAAACTCAACGAGGATATCACTGGTATCCTCATGGCTCGCCTCCGTCCTCATGGGTGCCATCGCTCCCCTCGATGTAAGCGACGTCTGCGGCATGAACCTCTGGGACATCCCCAACCAGACATGGAGTGAGCGCCTGCTTGCCCTCTCAGCCGGACCCGAAGGCGCGGCCGATCTGCGCAAGAAACTCGGCGAGCCACGAATGGACGGCGGAGGCTCCATGGGCGCCATCTCATCGTACTTTGTCTCCAAGTACGGCTTCTGCCCGGAATGCCAGATTGTCTCTTTCACAGGCGACAACCCAGCCACTATCCTAGCTCTCCCCTTGCGCCCTCTCGACGCAATCGTTTCTCTGGGAACATCGACCACCTTCCTTATGAACACGCCTACGTACAAGCCCGACGGCTCATACCACTTCTTCAACCATCCGACAACACCCGGTAACTACATGTTCATGCTCTGCTACAAAAACGGCGGCCTGGCTCGCGAAAAAGTTCGCGATACACTGCCCAAGCCTGAAGGCGGCGCAACAGGCTGGGAGAACTTCAACAAAGCCGTGCTGGACACGCCTCCCTTAGACGTAAGAAGCGAGAGTGACCGTGCCAAGCTCGGTCTCTATTTCTATCTCCGGGAGACCGTACCGAACATCCGCGCCGGAACGTGGCGCTTCACCTGCAACAGCGACGGCAGCGACCTGAAGGAATCAGCACAAGGCTGGTCCAAGGAAACCGACGCCCGTGCCATTGTCGAGTCCCAGGCCCTCTCTATGCGTCTTCGCTCCCAGAAACTCGTCTACAGCCCGCGAGATGGCCTCCCCGAACAGCCCCGACGCATCTACCTAGTCGGCGGCGGATCTTTGAACCCGGCAATCACACAAGTCCTCGGTGAGGTCCTCGGCGGAGCGGACGGTGTGTATAAGCTCGATGTGGGAGGCAACGCATGTGCCTTGGGCGGTGCGTACAAGGCGCTCTGGGCACTGGAGAGAAAAGATGGCGAGACGTTTGACGAGCTGATTGGGAAGCGGTGGACGGAGGAGGGTTCGATCGAAAAGGTGGATATCGGTTACAGAGAGGGAACGTATCAAAAGTATGGCAAGGTTCTTGGTGCTTTTGAAGAGATGGAGGGTAGATTGCTTGCCGAGGAAGAGCATTGAAAAAAAAAAAAAAAAAGAAAAAAAAAAGAGGAGGGGAGGTTTGCTTCACATGTGCTATGTAATCCCGCTCATAGAGAGGCCATTGGTGTATTTTGACGGCGTCTAAGTCTCTAGAACATAAAGAAGAAAAACAGTATAAAGTGAACAATAGAAAATGTTGCCCATCGCTAACCCTGGATATTTCAAACAAAAAGCCTTGAACCGCCTCTATCGAACATACTTGCTCATAAACCGTCTATGAAAATCAGAACGTAGCATATCCTAAGTTCAAAAGTTAGTACACCTATATATATGGCAATCGTTTGAAGGGGGAGAAAACATAGATGGACAAGCAAAACTCACATTTACAAATTCCTTCTTCTTATTCTTATCTTCCGTCCCTCTGGCCTGGTTCTTGAAAACAACATCATCGTCCCACCGGCGCTTCATGGTGAAGTCTTGCTTGTTGAGGAGGGGATTGCCGAGCGCAATGTCTCGCTCTCGGGCTTCTTGCTCTTCTCTTGATCGCTCTTCTTCCTATAGTCCCCCCAAAAAGTAGTGATTAGCATGAATAATCCCCCGGATTGTTTGAATCTCAGTGCATGTGAGACATACCTCTTTCTTCTTCTTTTCCTCACGCTCTCTCCGCACTCTCTCCAATTCTCTCTGTAGCTCCGCATCTTCGTCATCATCACTATCCTCCTCTTCGTCGCTGTCTTCTTCCACTTCACTGGAGTCATCTGCGTCAATATCCCTGCTTTCCTCTAATACCCTCCTTCTTTTCGCCTCTAGATCCTCTTCTCCTTCTTCATCGCCATTTGAAGACTGCCCCTGTAGCGGTCTCTTCTCTCCTCGCACTGATGTCGTCTCCATATCCTCATCTGCGTCATCCTCAGGGGCCAGAACGCCACCGTTCTTCTTCTTGAAGTGGGCTGCCTCGGCGGCAAGAAGCTCGGCAGCGAGGTCGCGCGTAGGCTCGTCGTCGGCATCGCCACCTTGTCCAGCTTTTCGGTATTTGAGCTGGGTGTGAGCTGGTAGGAGTCGCTGGTGGTAGGCTGGGCCACGCAGGGCCTCTTTGCCTCGAGCCTGATCCCAAAGTTAGCACTAATGTTTGCAGTTTCGTATCTAGGGAGACGAATTCTTACGGGATCAAAGGTAGGTCTATGGGCGGTAGTCATCTTTGTAGATTATGCAATAACAAAAGATGCCGAACAATTGCAATGGACTGGGTAATTAGTGGAAAAAAGGCCAAGCGCGTTGTCGTTCAATTACGTCGCGGTAGCAGCTCAGATGCAGGCGACTTTATGCACACCGCCCGGCAGAATTTTTCAGCGGCGATCTAGGATCTCACTTGAGATCTCATATCGCCAACTCTAAAAAGTAGAGGAACCTATTTTCTCAAGCCTAAGGTTATAAATCACCAAAATCACCATGCCTCGAGAAGCAGAGCCATCATTAAGCGAACGGACATTTACTCTCCAGGCCATTAGCGAGGGACTGCGACTGGATAGCCGAAAACTCGATCAGTTTAGACCTCTGGAACTCAGCTTTGGCGATGAGTACGGCGTGGCAGATGTAAAGCTGGGGAAAACAAGGCAAGCTCAATTCATGTCCAATTTTGTTACTATTGGAAAGAATCTAGAATTGAAATATTAACTTGGTTTCTCATTCAGAGTATTGGCCAAGGTATCAGCAGAAGTCACAGTCCCGTTCTCTGATCGGCCCTTTGATGGCATCTTTCAAATCACTTCAGAACTCGGCCCCATGGTCGCCCCTTCATTTGAGGTGAACAGACCAACCGAGACTGAAATTTTACTCGCAAGACTCCTCGAAAAGACGATCCGGAGATCTGGAGCTCTGGATACAGAGTCACTTTGTCTCATCGCCGGACAGAAATGCTGGTCCGTCAGAGTTGATTTGCACATTCTATCCGCCGACGGCAACCTCATCGACAGCTCATGTTTGGCCGTTGTAGCCGCTCTGAGACACTTTCGAAGACCAGACACCAGCATAGAGGGCGAGACACTTACCATCTACACAGCAGCGGAGCGCGAACCGGTGCCGTTGAGCTGGCTGCATTCCCCGTTCTGTACGACGTTTGATTTCTTTGGCGAAGATGGCGAGATCGTTTTGGTCGACACAACATGGCTGGAAGAACAACTACGGGTGGGCAGCGTGACGTTCAGCCTGAACAAGCATGGTGAAATATGCCAGATTTCCAAGTTGGGAGGCAAGCCCGTAGAAGCTACGTTGATTATACAGTGCGCCCAGATGGCGCTGGCAAAGTCAAAGGAGTTTACGGATTTGGTTGATGCGAGGCTGGCAGAGGATGCGAAGAGGAGAGACAAGGGCGGCTTAATGGCTGAACTATCTGCGGAGAACGAGAGATGAAGACAAGTGCTCAGAAAAACCCAAAATGGGCAATAATATGATCTATATATTATACGTTAAGAATAGAAACAAAAAAAACGGCAAAACAAAATGCATGATACCCCGAAAAAAGTTTTTCGCTGATGAATGTGCCCAGCTTTCGCCATGATATGATGACAACCAGATATAAAAAGCAGAACATGACCCAGCTTCTATCCAACCAAAAACGCCTCGCCACGCCTCACGCAAAATACAACTTCGTTGTCTGTCTGTAAGGTCACATCGTCCGATTCCCCTCCCCCTTTCTCCATGCTGTGTGCATCGCAAAGTAACACCCGTTCGCTACCTCATGACAGGTGGTCTCGATTCCTTATTCCACTGGACCCTCGATCGTACCCAATCGATTGCTTCTCTCACGCCGTCACCCGTTAGCGCACTCATGGCAAGCACCCGCGAGTCGCGGATGGCGCTGCCCTTCTCGCCTTCCATGACCCGCTTCACAAGTCCCTCCTTGATGCGGATCGTCTCGACGCAGTCCTCTCTGTCTTGCTTGTTCGCTAATATCAATAGCGGCACGCCTTCCGTCTCTGAGTGCTGCAGCACGTCTTCCAGCACCAGTCTGCACTCGTCCAAGCGGCCGGTGTTCTCGTGCTCTAGATCGCCATCGCCGATGTCCGTACTGTCGATGATGAAGACGATGGCGTGGCAGCTGGTGTAGTAGCTCTGCCATAGCTTGCGCAGGGAGTGCTGGCCGCCAACGTCCCAGAGCTTGAGGTACATGTCTGGCAGAGTTATGGTCGAGACGTTCTGGCCGACGGTGGGAACCGTCTTGAGCTTCGGTTCAGGCGTATTGGGGAGGTACATGGATTTGACCTGTTCGTGGAAGGTCGTCTTGCCGGCATTGTCGAGACCGAGGAGGATGACTGAGTATTCTATATGCCAGAAGATGCTGCGTTAGAGACAGGATGGATACAGCGTGAGACATGGTGGGAAGTGAGGCGCGCTAAGCAAGCGGCGATGAACCAACCTTCTTTACTTGTTGCCAGCATATAGAGGCCTTTGGCAAGGTGGTACATTGTTAGGGGGGAGAGCTTCGCAAAGCTCACTTCTATGTCATGTAGAAGACTGAAGACGGATTCGAGGGTCGGATCGCGCAAGTCGATCTGTGACAAGCTGGCGCCTTTGTTCAACACCCAGTTGGTGGGCTACTAGGGTGGAGAGTCGCTGGCGAATGGACAGCAATAGGCAACAGACAGTGGATAATTAACGCCGCGGTTCGAGGGGCGACATGAATCGGCCTTGGATCTTGCTTATGGGAGGCTGATGCGATGGATAGCCGTAGTCAGGCCCGTCACCAGATGCTGGGCCGACGAAAGCCCGGTGTTCCTTTTTTGTGAGCGGCCCCGAGAGCGTCTCCCCACTCCGCGCTAGGCGCCGAAGAGCCCCGCCAGAGGCTGCTTGAATCTTGGGGCAAAAAATGGCTGCAAGCGGAGAGTAATAAGAGAGGCTCATTTAGCATTACATTTGTGATTTTCTTTTTCTTTTTTTGGTCTATTCATTTCATTCCACTCTGCTACGTTGATGGACTACTAGATGTAGGTGTACATGAATGGGCATCTGACTCTGATTGAAGGTGTAAATAAAAGTTGCATCAACACAAGTGCTCCTCAAGGTATCTATTTAATACGCCTCCCGTTTATGCAGTGAGCTGTCATCACTACAATTTGACTACATGTGCCTATCACTGCTCCGTTAGTTTCAGCCATCACTTTGTGAAGAGAGATGTCATTTGGTATGCGGTTATTGGCTTGTATGAGCCCACTTATACTGTTGGGATCAGTCTTCCGCATTCCCGTCTTGGCTGGTGGTAGTGCCAACTTCTTACACGCGTGCTTTGTAATTCTGGTGCATGTACATAGTACCTTTTGTAGACGACATGGCCACGCGGCTACATCTTGCTGTTCGTCTCTCTACTGTAGTTGGGGCTGCAGATTGATGTAGCGCATGTTCTCTTTTGACTGCCAGCACTAACAATTCGATGCTAATCCTAGCACCCTCCATCTGGAGAGAGCTGGAACTCGACCCGTTAAGTTTGCAAAAGGGCCACATGCGGCGACTCGTCATCCACCACTACTCTCCGCGCTAGGGGCATTTGCAGCTAGGCAGTCCACTAACAGCCAGCGCCAATTACAGGGCTTAGAGTGCCCGGCCAGATCTTGGCCATCGCTGCGTGTCTGATCCATATCAGAGAGGCTGCCTGCGCAGCATGTACCAAGGTACTGCAATAACAGTTCTGCTGGCATCCTTGGCACAATCGCAACTCTCCTCCATCTTCATCCACCATCGCCAGCCAACCGCGTTTGCCGTGTCTCGCGACGATCGAACCGACGGGCTGCCGCGACTCTAGCCTGCGAATCCATGCCCGCATCGTCTCGCTTGGGCTCGCGCATACTCCACCACTTGACGACTGCCCTCCCACCTTGATCGTGTCCAGATCTGCCGTCAAGACCGCTCACCATGGCCACCATGGCCGCCACCCAGCTGGCCGACTTGGGCTTCAAGCTCTTGCGTGAGTCTGGCTGCATTGCTGCGCGACATATTCTGAGCGCCAAATAAACTGACTTGCGACGATTAGGGCGAGAGGCTGAAGAGGATGATCCCGAAGGTAACAACGCCCCGCGATGCCGAACAAAAACGAGACGAGAAAGAGAGGGAGAGGGAGACAGGAATGGACAATATGCATAAGAGGCATAGGAAACGAAATGAACAAAAGTTGCAGATTTGCTAACGCCGATATGTAGAGGGAGATTCCGCGCAGAAAGAGCTCTTCGCAGCATGGGCTCTCTTCATATCCATCATGTTGCTCATCATCGCCTTCTTCACAAGCTACATGCTCCAGCAGAAGAAGGTGACGGCTATCCACGAGACAGTCATATCTATCTTTGCAGGTTCGAGCGCGCAACACTCCAAATCAAGCACGAGTCCCCTGCTAATATCACTCGCTACAGGAATGGTGGTCGGCCTTATTCTGATCATCACTTCCGGCGACTCCATCCGAAACCTCATCAGCTTCGACTACCAGATCTTCTTCAACCTCCTCCTGCCTCCCATCATCCTATCCTCCGGCTACGAGCTACACCAAGCCAACTTCTTCCGAAACATCGGCACCATTCTAACGTTCGCATTCGCCGGAACATTTCTGTCTGCTGTCGTCATTGGGTTGATCCTGTGGATCTTCAACTTGGTTCCTGGGTCCTTGAAATTGACTCTTGTTGATGCCATTTCAGTGGGCGCGACCCTCTCCGCCACCGACCCCGTCACCATTCTGGCCATTTTCAACACGTACAAGGTCGATCCTAAGCTGTACACCATCATCTTTGGCGAATCGATTCTCAACGACGCCATCGCTATTGTCATTTTCGAAACCGCGCAAAAGTATAACAAGGGCGAGGCCAACTATGGCATCATCAGCTTCTTCGAGGGTACCGGTATCTTCTTGCTTGTCTTTTTCAGCAGCATGCTTATCGGCGTCATCGTGGGCGTTGGCACCGCTCTGCTGCTCAAGTTTACTTATGTACGCAGATTTCCAAAGATTGAAAGCTGTCTAATCATTTTGATCGCCTACGCTACCTATTTCTTTTCACATGGTTTGCACATGTCTGGTAAGACCCCCTGTTGCTTGGCGTACCACGCCGATACGCCACCAAAACGTACAGGTCTAATCTATATCCAGGTATTGTGTCACTGCTCTTCTGCGGTATCACCCTGAAGCATTACGCCTACTTCAACATGTCGAGACGGACACAGCTTACCACCAAGTACATCTTCCAAGTCATGTCCCAGTTGTCGGAAAACTTCATCTTCATTTACCTTGGTCTGGCTCTTTTCACAGATAACCAGTTAGAGTTTGAGCCTCCTCTCATTATTGTTACTATCTGCGCTGTTTGCGCTGCTCGCTGGGTCGCTGTCTTTCCTCTTTCAAAGGCGATCAACTGGTTTATTCGCTATCGCGCGCGGAGGAGAGGTTTGGAAGTCGGTGATGAGCTCCCTTACAACTACCAAGCCATGCTGTTTTGGGCTGGTCTCCGTGGTGCTGTCGGCGTGGCTCTGGCCGCCCTTCTCAAAGGCGACAACTCATCCACCCTTCGAGCTACGGTCTTGGTCGTCGTGGTCTTGACTGTTATTATCTTTGGCGGAACTACCGCCCGCATGCTGGAGATACTCGGTATTCGTACAGGCGTGGTTGAAGAGATTGATAGCGACGACGAGTTTGACATTGAGTCATTCGGTACTGGACTTCAGATCAAACGCTCCGGCTCTGCCATCGGATATAACCCTCGTCGTAATGGCAACGTCGCTCTCCACAACTTGAGCGCGCCTGCAGACAGTTCCGCAGCCTATGTTTCCGGCCACTCTTCGCCTCACACAGGTGTCAAGCCAAACAACCTAAGCCGCAAGAACTCCCTCCGCAACCCTACCGACAGCGAGCGAGCTGATCTCCTACGAGCCAACGCTGAGGATTCTGACATTGGTAGCGACATTGACATATCAGACTTGCCGCCTCCGGCTGCTCGACGCTCTCCTCGACCACCCATCAGCCCTAACCCCTCGGGATCAGACGGCAGTGCCTTCATGAGTCCCGCCGAACCAGCGTCAAACGCTACTCCGATAACTGCCACAGGGGCAATCCGGCAATTGCTCTCGACTGAAGACCCGGCCAGCTTGTTCAGACAGTTGGACGAAGACTTTATCAAGCCTCACTTATTACTTCACGGAGATGGTGGCAGAGGCGGTGGTAACGGATCAGGGGCTGTATAAGTAGAAAGAAATGGATTGTAATAGACGGAAAGTCTTTAAACCTTTTGTTTTTCTTTTTTCTTTTCCTTTGGTTTGTTACTTTTTTCCTCTTTTTTTCTTTGTTACTTTTGGGAAGTATATGATATATACATATCATACATACCCTCGGCGTTATTGACGAAAGTCATAGAATGGATGAATTTTTTTTTCCCCCTCGCCCATGCGCGTTTACGTCTCACGTAGCAAATAATAAGACGAAGTATACAGTGCTTAACAGGATAATCAAGAGTCCCTACGTGTGACTCCCATAATTCAATTCTTGCACAACACGACCTACTACTACCATTTCCCTCTTTGTGTTTTTTTGTTTTTGTGGGGAAAGTCTAGATAGTAGATATTTGGTCTGTTTTGGTGGTGTGCATAACGTCTCTGAAAAGACGAAATAAGAGCTATGTACATGTCTCTAACAATGATGCCTTGCCTTGGGCCCTGCCCTGCCCTGCCCCTATCCTCCCGCCGTCGCTTTCCTGCGCTTTCCCGTTTTTTCATTGTTTTTCATCCTCCCTCCAGTTTCATAATAACAGCTGAGAAAAAAAAACTATTTCTCAGTGAACGATATCCCGCCCCCATTCTAGCACAAGAGAGAAGAGAGGAGACCCGAATAATTCCAAGCCCGTTAAAATGACATTATAACAGATAGGAAGTGGGGAAGAGAAGTAGGGGAAAAAAAGGCATCTAAACGTTAAAAAGTAAACCAGCCCTCCTTCCGCGAAGACCCTCTCCCTTTTTTTGCCCTTCACGAAACAAAGGTAGACCATAGGACGTTAAAAGAAAAACCATAAGTAACCACTCAAGACGTCGCATTAAAAAGTTAAGGGTACAAGAAAAGACAATTCCAGAAAAAACGCTAATCATTACTTGCTTATAGAAGGTGTTGCGCTTCCGCTAGCCTGACGCTGAACGGGTACCGGGCTGGCCGATGGGGGATTCGTCGGCAGCTGAGGCGAGGCTTGAGATTGCGACTGTGACTGGGCTTGCTGTTGCTGTACCTGGGCTTGAGTCTGCATTTGAGCCTGGGCCTGAGCCTGAGCTGGAGCCTGAAGTTGAGGTTGGGGTTGAGATTGTTGTGGCGGCTGGGGTTGTGGGGTTGACTGCTGCTGCTGCTGCTGTACCAGGGCTGGAGATTGTTGTTGCGGCTGAGCTTGCTGTTGGGCGGCCTGTTGCTGTTGTACTTGAGGAACCTGAGGAGGTCGCTGCTGTTGATGCTGTTGCGGCTGCTGATGTTGCTGCGGCTGCGGCGTATGCTGTTGTTGGCGTTGTACCTGAGCCTGAGCCTGTGCTTGGGCCTGTGCTTGGGCCTGTGCTTGTGCCTGGGCTTGAGCCTGCTGCTGCTGTTGTTGTCTAAGCAGCGCGGCATATTGATGAGGGCTGGTGGTAGCAGCAATACTAGTCGCAATACCGGGCTGTCCCGCAGCAGCGTTCATCGCGCTCTGCCGTTGCGCCATCATCGCGCGCGTCAGCTGATCAGTAGCGAGATGGCGAAGTTGCTCGGGTGACAGGTTAGGATTCTTGCTCCTAAAGTTGGCTTCCAAAGCGTTAATTTGCGCTGCTATGGTAGGAGGAATTTGGGTTGGCAGTCGAGGACCAGGAGAACCACTGTTGGTAAGTGTGGGCATATGCAGACCACTCGTAGCTGAGGTATGGCCGTTAGCAGCGTTAAACGAGGCCATCATAGCCTGAGCGGTATTCATAAAGGTTTGTTGTTGAGCGATAGCAGGGACTCCGTTCCGCATAGCGGGCGAGGAATTTTGCTGTGCTTGCTGAACAGGGGCTCCGCCTACAACACCAGCTTGGGCTTGCTGCTGCGCATGTTGAATCTGAGCTGCGGCTCGCTGCTGCTCTGAGATGCGTTGTGCGCGCATCATCATGTTCGCGTCGGGTTGCTGGCCAGGAATCTGCATCCTGTGTTGAGCCTGCATTGCTTGCAAAGCTTGCAACTGAGCCTGCGGAATGCCGTTCATCTGCGCCGGTGGAGCGAGATTGCTGCTCATCTGCGCTTGAACGCCGACACCGTCCATGCCGTTGGCAGGTGCCTGCATGGGCAAACGTGCGCGACCCTGTGCTGCAGCCGCAGCAGCCGCAGCGACAGCAAGTGGATTAGGAGCACCGGGTCGGTTGACTACGACATTAACGCCATTAGCAGCTGCCGCAAGATGAGCAGGATTCTGAGCGCCTGGTACGGGTACACCGGGTGCAGCCAGCTGAGCGGACTGAGCTTGGGCTCTGGCCTGGAGAGTCGCCTAGACGGGAAGTGTTAGTTAAACTAGCTAAGACGGTATCGCAAGATATAGATATCAACTTACTCGTCGTTGAGCCTCCTGCCGCTGCGCAAATTGCGCCATCTTTTCAGCCAGAGCCTGGTCGCGCTCCCAGCGCATTATACTGTAGTCCCGTGGAGTTTTCCCTGGGCGTTGAGCCATGGTATCATTAACCTTCTTCGCAGCGTTCTGTGTCGCTGAATGCTGCTGTTTCTGCATTGTGGTCTCTCTTTTCTTAGCAAGCTTTCTCATAGCATCGATGAGAGTCAAGTGCTTCTGATTTCGCCGTCTCTCGACTCTGAGCGGAGTAGACTGCCTTCGCCGTATTGGTGTTACTGCCCCTCCCTCCTGAGAGGCTCGCTGTGCCGCCAACTGATTTTGCTGAGCGATAATACGTTGAGCAGCATCAATCCTACTGTTATATGCCTTGAAATATTGCGTCTTTTGCATATCAGCTGGAAGACCTTCGAGGTTTATCCATCTTTCGAAGCATTCCCACGGCGTCCTCCTCTCTGCGCCCGATGCAAACAGCGATCGAGTAGATAGCAGAGTCGAAATTAGTGACCAATTATAAGAGTGCTCACGAACCAAGCTACGGAGCTCGTCATCTTCAACCACGGTCCACTGTGAGGAACTGCGAGTTTCGTAAAAGCTTTGTAGCGGCATGGGATGTTCAGAGGGGGGTCGAAATTGGTGGCCAGCGTGTAGCCGGTCGCGGATGTGTTTCGACTCAGGGGTGAATAACGCAACTTCGGTGCTTCTTGGCGGAAGCCGGACATTATGTGCGAGGGTATCAGCATCGAAAGCGCTCTCTTTTTCGTCATCGGATTCTTCGTTATAATAACTATAACGGCTGCGTTTCCGTGGAGGGCCATCGGACAATAGTTTCATTTCCCCCTCAACATATTTGCTTAGAGGCAAAGCGGGTCGTCGCCAATGAGCGTCAGGGTCATATTCGGGTCCTGTAAGTTCGAACCGCGGGATCTTCAAAGGAGCCCCGTACATAGGTAGCTCTTCCAACAACTTATCTGAGGCAGGTGATTGCCGTAGAGCAAATACCACGTCATCCTCTTGCAGAGCAAATATAGCGGAAGGCGCAACAGTTTCAGGGAAATCTTCACTGAGATTGTCCAGAATCTGGGGTGAATCCACATCTTCCGTTATGAGATCTGGGGTCGGATGGTTTTCCGCCTCAGCTACATCGGCATCGGCATCTCCCATGGTTACATCACCTGTCTTCAATGGAGGGATAAACGCGGCAACCTGCATTGCTTTGCGCTCCTTAGGAGTCGATTCAACCCAATCCGCACAGGCGTATGCAATATTCTTAGCCACGGCCATCTTCCATTTTCTTTCTTCTCGGAAATCTGTTCGCATCCACTTCATCTCCTGAAATAAGACATCCCAATGTGATGGCGGGCGAGTCGGCTCTGGGCACCGCTTTGGCTGTCGAAGAGACCACTTATCATGTTGCTGCAGGTGATACACCCTACGGAGTACCTTACACGCCTGGTGATCTTGGATAGCGAGATATGCGTCGGGGGTGGCGATGGTTTTGTTCGCGTGGAAAAGAATCTTTTCAATAGGTTGCATCCAGTTTGTCGCGCCTGTAAAGTTCTGAATGAAAAGAGGTGTGTAGTAGTCATCGGATGGTTGGATTGTTTCCTTTTGGCCAGGGACCAGCGCCTTTTCTTCCACCTGCTTAGGCTGCTTACCGAACAAAACAGTAGAAACCTGAGCTTTCGACCTATCTCTCTTGGTTGTATTCTTCGGCCTAGGGGGCGGTGATTGAGGCGTTGAGGTAACCGGGGTCAACTGGTTTTGCGGTGCTTTCGTCGTGCTTCGTTCTGTCATGGTGGCAGATCGCGGGCTCTCTCCCACAATTTCCGATACGGATTTCAGTCGCATCGCTCCAGATGATACCCTTGTGACTGCCCTTTCGGGAGCTGGAAGTGGCTCCCTGACTGGCGTAGGCTTGGCAGTAGCATTCGTAGAAGCTGGAGGGGGGACAGCAGGCGTTTGAGTCGGAGGCAATTCGGTGCTTTCCGATTCCACGGCTCGGGATGAATCCACATCCATTCTTTCCGGAGTTTCTTCTTGGCTGTCGGGAACTTCAACAGCAGGCTTCGTGGCCAGCGCGGTTGATGGCTGGGTATTTATACCTTGCGGCTCCACGTCTTGCTTTGCGGCAGGGCCCGCCTCTTGAATAGAGTTTGTAGCGTTAGTCTTTACTTCGAGTCCAGGAGAAACTTTTATCGGCTCCGGACTTGCGGCGGCTGCACTTGACCGGATGGACTCCTGGAGGAGCTGATCTTCGTCTAGAGTTGTAGCTTTTGGCTCTGGTTCATCGTTCTCTGGTTTGGCTGGCTCAGCTCCGGCCTCTATTTCAGCAACATCTTCCATCTCATCGCCCCTTTCTACTTTGTCTTCAACATCTTCCTCCAGTCGATCGTGAATATACTGAGGAGCATCATGCTCAGGGCTGGTATCCGCCGACACATCATGGACCCCAGGAGTCGTGGCACTTGGTGCTGTTGATCCAGGAGATGAAAGCGCATCTGGAGCCTTGGTTAAACTGTGCGGAACCTTGATGGACAGCTCCTGATTACGTCCCGTCTGGTTCGATTGAAGCTTATCGACTACTCCGTTTTCTACAGCGTCTGCATCGCCTTCTCCTCTCGTTGCTCCTGTATCAGATGATTCCTCTGAAGGCGATCCCTTGGTTCCTGGTGGGAAAGAAACTTGTGCTGGTTTCCGTTCAGGTGTAGCATCTTCACTCGCTGCTCCATTGGTCATTCGATCGGGCCGTTTCGTTTCATCCTTTGCAAGCGGCAGAATGGTGGAAGGCGTGGGGATAGGGGTGGTCTGCACAGGGACGGCGGAGCCTCCAGCTGGATGTGGCACGGCGCTGCTGGATGTTAAGGAAGCAGGCGTTGGCGGGGGTTTTGTTAGTTTCTCTGGGGGTTTGGTAGTATCCTCGGGAGGCGCAGAGGGTGACGCGGTCGACACAAAGCCATCGGATGGTAGAGTTTGGTGCTTGGAGATGAAAGCATCTTCTTTCGTAGATGCAGTGGTCGGCGTGGGGATCGGTGGTGAGTGTAGGGCTGCTTCCTGTATTGACTTTGCGATTAATCGTTTCAATAAATCAACCGAAAGTAAGGGCCGTGGCGGAATAGCTTGTTCGTTCAGAGTTTTTCCTCTGTGGAAGAGAGTTAGCTATGGCTGGCCTTGGAGTATGTACAAGAGACGCGTGACATGGCCGATGTTATATTCGAAGCCATGGCTTGCGTTTGTTTACAGGAGAGAAAAAAAGAGAGAAGGAGCCCCCAAAAAATAACTTTTATGAAAGGTACGCACTGCAAGATTTCGCTGGTCTGAAGAAACTGCCATTCCGCAGCAGTAGTGGCCGGCGCGTCGGGGTTCGCGAAGGCATCCTGCGGGAGGCTTTCGGCCTGCGTCGCGACAGCGAAGAGCTCGCGAAGTTTCCTCTTCCGAGACGCTACGATTGCACTGGAGGCGGTTAGCATGGCAAAAAGCACCTCGTTTTAATCGGAAAAATCCGCTCTTTCGAACGAGCACACACTCACTTGAATTCGTTACGCTTGGATTGAAGCAGCCTCGATAGATCGGTGTGGCCGACCTCAGTCATAGCATCGGCGGGAGCGACATCCGTTTGCAGGCGAAACGGATGTCGGAGGATGGCCAGAGAGGTCGTCTGAGATGAGGCTCGCGATGCACGACGATGGAAAGGATCGTGGAGGTGGCCGTTTTGACGGAAGTTCTGACCGTTGCTCGTGTCGCCGGTCTGTGGGAGGGCGTCAAATTCTGTCGGGCGCCAGTGTCTTGGGGGGAGTTTCGCAGGGGGGAAGCGCTGGAAGCCAGCGGAGGCGCTGTTGCTCGTCGCCTGGCACTGTATGGAGTGCGCTAGCCGTTAACAGCTGTTGGCGGGAGTTGGCTGGCAGCAGGCCGCACGCGGCGCTAACGAGCGCAGCAGAGACAGGGCGCCTAGGACGCCTAGTGCACAGTAAGCTCAGGGTTTTCTACTACTGTCCATCACCGCTTCGCAGGGTGCTTGTCAACGCTGCATCATTGATTGAAACTCACTGAGCAGACGATCTTCAGGCGGCTCAAAATAGGAGGACGAGGAGACGTCCCGAGATCTCCTGCTAAGCTTAGATGCTGCCTAAAGTGTCTAATGTTCTCGCAACCCCTCCTTTGCTGCCTCCATAATTTTTCGGGCCTGCCTAGAGTTCCGAATGGCCGCAATCTGTTCTCCTGCACGCATTGGGGGATCCATTGCGAACATTTTTTCCTAGTGAGATTTTCTGGCAGTTGGGCGTCAACAATGGTGCATCAGAGAAAATAGACTTCCTGCAAGAGTCGTGCCACACGCAGGTATCGCCCGCAGTAGAAAGCATGGGTGAGTACATCCGCACGCACTCCACAAAACTCGATGCTACGGTCGCGGTATTCTGCGCCCAAGACAATTGAACATGGGGGGGTTTGGCCACATCACCTCTTTTCCTTTCCGCCTGCAGCCACAGGCAGCCACACAACCCCCACAGCGTTATTGTGGCTTCGACTGTATTATTCTAGCCGACCGCTCCGCCTGCAAAAAAAGAAAAAAAAAATTTACGTACTCCGTACGGAGTTCAAACATTCTCGTAGCTGGGCGCTACAGTCCTTTCGTATTAGCTCGCACCGATACGTACCTTTTCCCGTTTTGAGGCTCCCAGTATCGAAACCCGAGAAGCTAAGAGTTCAAGGCTTCCATCAGAGCATCAAGGTACATCATCGCGCTGCAAGACTTGACGCGTTATGTCTGACCAGAATAAAGGTCGCATAGCCATTAAATTTGGCGGAGGCAGCTCCTCATCTGCAGCAAAACAGTCCCGATCGAAACCGTCGTCGAGTCTAGGGAAGCGACCGCGCTCTCACGCCTTGGGAGGCGACTCCGACGCCTCGGATTCTGAAGACGATCGCCACCGAGGACGACATGAAGCCATCACAGGGTTTGGTGCAGATGGTGCAGAGACAAAGCGCAAACGGCAAAAGGAGGAGAAGAAGGTGTACATTATCGAGCGGCAGTCGAATCGAAGCTGGAAAGATGAAGTAAGGAGCCACAGACAGTCGAAGAATCTGCTTCCAGACGAAGCCAGAGCCCAGCAGAATGCCGTCACCGCCGAGACCGAACCAGCCAGCCAAGATACACTGCTTAAATGGGGGTTGACGATCAAAGAGAAGAAGCCTGTGTCTGAGGACAATGCGGCCGCAGGATCGAACGCACATGCCAGCGACGATGAAATGCGAGAAGCAGACAAGGACGATGGCGATGGCGATGCTGCACCTGTACAGCGGACCGCCGATGATGAGGCTATGGACGCTCTCCTTGGTAAAACAACCGAAGACAAAAAAGTTATTACCGCGGCACACCCAACGGAGGATGACGCCTACCGCCGCGATGTTGAAGCCTCCGGCGCGGTATCCAGCCTCCAGGATTACGAAGACATGCCCGTCGAAGAGTTTGGCGCCGCACTGCTCCGCGGCATGGGCTGGAACGGCGAGAACCGTGGTCCCAAAGTCAAGCAAGTCAAGAGACGACAGAACCGCCTCGGCCTTGGCGCCAAGGAGCTCAAGGAAGAGGAGGAGCTCGGAGGGTGGAACCAGAACGGCAAGAAGAAGTCCAGGCCACGACTGGATGATTACAGGAGGGAAGAGAGCAAACGCAAAGAGTCTCGGCGACATGAGGACAGCTATAAACGAGAAAGGGAGCGCGAACGTGATCGCGAGAGGGATCAGTACAGGGACAGAGATCGGGACCGAGATCGAGATTATAGGGATAGGGATAGGCATCGGGACAGAGACCGAGATTACGACAGGCACAGGGACCGACATCGCGACTCTGACCGGGATCGACGACAGTGAGGGCAGCCTGCTGCGTCAACGCTTTTCATACATCAGCCAGCTGAATGAGATGGCACATTGGCGATACTCCTCTTGGTTTTCCTTATACCTCGAAAATTTGCAACAAAGGGCACATAACAGGGCATATTTCACTTTTTCTCACATAGACAAGCTCCGCAAGCACAACGCATAATATTTGAATAAATCATCGGTCAAGCACTTACTAGAGTACAAACGTTAAATGATCAGGCAAAACGCATTCCCGCTGAGAGGTAAATAACTACGCGTTTATACTTTCAGTCTCGGCAGAATCCAAAATCGCCTTTTTTTCGTCGTCCGCCACGACAATGTGTTCATCATTGATTGTCATTTCTTATGCGTTTTTCGTTACATTCTAGCCAAGTTTTCTTTTCTATCCTTTCATTGCAGCGACACCCGACTTAGTGTATCCGTCAAGATACCGAGCTGCATCAGAGTCTCCCCATCAGCTTCTATCTCCTTTGCACCAGCAGCCTTCTCCAGCGTCCTCGCGGCGTGCAATAACGGTTCGACATAGCGATGCTCAATAGCCGCAGCCATGCCTACCGGTGCAAGAGGCTTGTAGTCTTCGCCGAACAGGAACAGGGCAAAATTGGCGACCTGTAAATGCAGAGGCGCATTTTGTGCCCAGAATTCCAGCAATGCAGAAGTGTCGGCCTGTTGGAGATGTGATAGATCTGGGAACAAGGAATACTGAATGGTTTCGAAGCACTCTGGGCTAGAGAAGCGACCTTTTGAGCCGGCCTTTTTCGCGGCAATCAGCTCCTCTCGTAACCATGAGACCGCGCACGCTTGAAGTGATGAGAATACGCAGTTTTCCAGCAGGTCTTCTAGAATAGCCAACCGATCTTCTTCCTCGGGATCCGCATGTAAGACTGAGCCTGCTACAACGGTTGTCGCATTGCGCACTCGGATATTCGGGTGGAAGACTGAAACAAGTGTGAGAAGATGATGGTAGGGCATAAATCCTGCAACAGCCCCCTTGCTATTGGGATTCGATAGTGCTTTCCGTCCGTCCAGCCAGATGGCCATAACAATTAGAGCCTCGATTGTTCCCGGATTAGTGGCGATCTGATTCCCTGACTCATCGCCGAGGAAGCTTTGTAGCAAGGCCTGATGATCAGGCAACATGTATTGTGGGTGTAGTTCACTGGTTGGAAGGCCTCGATCTGCGTCGAAAACGTCGGCAGCAAACATCCAGTACGCATTCAGGCACACCAAGCCACCTGTTGATAAATGGAGCTGCTCCGGGTGTGCAGGGTCGAATTCGATGGAGAGGGGTTCCCGGTAAATAGGGCCTTCGAGGTACTCTTTCATCTTGAACGGAGGTAATTTAGACAAGCCTAAATCGCCAGCCAGAGACTATAGAACAGTCAGTATTTGTCTTGCTCGTGTACCAGACATAAGGATGCTCACCACTAGCTGTCCCAACAAGGCATCTTTAGCTTGAAGCTCTACAACCTCTTTGAATGTCTGAATCATAGTCTTCCGACCGGGCACTATCCGCTCAGGGTAGGTATATTCCAACATCCTCGAAGCCCATTCTATACTGTTAGAATTGACATAGGCTTCGAGGATGCATGTGATGAAAGATTGCAGCAAGCTAGTTATCAGGCCCGGTTCATTTGCGTTTAACGTATCAGTGCGATCGGCTTCGGGGTCTGGCGCCTGTTTTGCTGGGTCGCTGTCTTGAAATGGCGTGTCCAGTTTGACGCTCGACTTACGAGATGGCAAAGGAGGTCGCGTCTTACGTGCGAGAGATTGGACCAGAGAAATGACTGCGGCGGTAGACGCTGCACTCGTGGCATCGTAGCACCTCTGTACTGTGTCCAATGTCGTATGTAGAAAACGTGAGGGAGCTTTGACTTGCAGTCGCTTGTGTAGAATCCCCAACATTCCACAGAGCGTTACAAAATGCCTAATGGCTTTCGTCTCGCCCTTGGTTGCTTGATTCGCAGAGCCCTCAGCTCCTGCTTTCTTTTCTTCCTCCTCCTCCTCCTCTTCCTCCTCTTCCTCCTCCTCCTCTCCCGCAGCAGTTGTCTTCTCCATGACCTCAAGAACCTTGAGGATGACCTCCCGCGGGTTGCCCAGACGCGCAATGCTCTCCAAACATTCTTCGCTACCCGGAATGGGGATCAGCATATCAACCAGGTCCCAGCCAATGTCACTGGCTAATGAAACGTCCTCCAGGATCTCCTGTAGCGCGGGCAGGATCTCTGGAGACAGCGACATCTCGACGATGGTGAGATATGTCGCGACATCTGTGGCTGGCGGGCGGGACTCATGAAGTCGCTGAACAATCTCTTCTGTAGTCGCCATAGTGGTGGTGTTGCGACGATGTATCTTGACGAGTATTATTAGTTGCGCTACCGAGTTGGATACAATCGCCAAAGCGATCAGATCGAGATGAGCAGAATAAACGAGAGATGGTTCGCAGCCAAGAGGCTCTAGCAAAACTAGTCAATGCGATTTGTCGAAAAAAAAAAAATCCAAGTTGTTAGTGTGAAGGAAGGGAAAGGGAAGAGGGAAGAGGGAGCAGATCACAAGGCCATGAGGATCGTCCCAGGGACTTTGCCTTAGTAACAAAAAGTGGTGATGCACCTGTTTCTGCCCCTCCCTGGCACGCGGAACCGGTGCCCCGCGCTAGCTGCTATTGGATGGAGGGGATGCGCTGGAGACGTCACTGTAACAGGGGCACAGATGGAACTTAAAGTGGGAATAGGAGAGCGAAAAGAGTCATGTTTCTTAGTCTGGAGGGCCGAAAACACGTCCATCTTCATTATAAAGATATTGATGATTATGTGTATAAACAACGTAAATCTCATTTTGTAGATAAATGACTAAGATCTACACTTTTCTATATCAACATACTGGACTACCAATACTAAGACTCCTTAACTTTGCTTCCATTAATTAAACCGACAGTAAGAATATATGAGTCCCATTGAGTTTCATACATACATGCAGCTCATACTACCTAGCTTTGGCTATATGAACATGCCTACCTAAACATCAGACAAATACTCGTCGTCTATTAACAACAATAATGTAATCTCCTCCCTATTACCTCTATTACCTCTATTACCTCTATTACCTCTATTACCTCCATTACCTCCATTACCTCCATTACCTCCATTACCTCTATTACCCCATCATCTAAGGGACAACCTCTTCTGGCTAGCATGGGTGAAGACCCTCAGCTGTATGGATTCAATTCTTTCCTAACTAACTACTAGGTATGAATTTCCTGATTTGGTCCCCAATAAGCTCTTTAAAGATATTGGTATTATTATAGGACTATATACGTAAAGATAATAACTTGTCGCCATTTTATGCGTACTTGTCTTCTACATATGATTCACAGCCAAGCTGCATGCTGTTGAATAATGAACAGAACACGTAAATCGACCGTGGGTGGCTGCTATGTAAAATCTAGGTTGGGGTCGTACGTCCGTGACGTTAGCTGTAAAGTATACATCTAGGTACCTACCTACATAAAGAATCTCTAATTTTGAGTGTACATATCAATACTTGCTCCTTCCAACACATGTAACAGATATATTTCCCCTTTTCGTCTCCGAACCCTATCTAAGTTGCACCATTTCTAGATATCAATTCAATGATTTCCGTCTCCTCAAACTGCTGAGCAAATTCTAACAGCGTTAATTCTCTTTTAGCCATAATTTTCTCTCTAATCTGTTCAGGGAATTCAAACAGCCGTGGTTGGATGTTGGCGATTTTCTCCTTAGTAACCTTGGCTCCTCGACTGAGCAGTAGCCTCACTAAGGCTTGATTTCTCTTCCTTATCGCCCACATCAGCGGTGTCTGGCCGGCCTTATCTCTCGCCTCAATATCAGATCCTTTCTCAAGTAGCCGGATGACCAAATCCTCATGGCAGCTTATCACTGCCCATATCAATAGCGTCTTGCCGCTCTTATCCATCGCCTCCATACTAGCTCCTTTCTCAAGAAGTAAACGGACCGCGTTCCTGGAGCCTAGCCTCACTGCATACATCAGCGGTGTCATGCCTTTCGCATCCCTTGCCTCAAAATTGCATCCTTTTTCAAGGAGTTGAGTGACCAAGTCCGTACGATAGTTTTCCATCGCCAACAGCAATGGCGTCATGCCGTTGTCATCCATTGCCTCGATGTTACATCCATTTTCAAGTAGTAGAACGACCATATTCTTACGACCTTCTGTCACTGCCAACATCAACGGTGTGTAGTCCTGTCCATCTCTGGCCTCGACTTTTGCGCCAGCTTTGATTAGCTGAATAGCAACATCCTTATGGCCATTCATCACGGCCAGCATTAGCGGTGTCTGGTTATTTCCATCTCTGGCCTCGATTTTTGCGTCTGACCTGATGAGCTGAATCACTATGTCCACGTAGCCTTCTTCCGCTGCCAACGCCAACGGTGTATTGCCATAATTCCAATCATAGGCCTCGATGTTTGCCCCTGCTCTAACTAGCAGTTGAACCATGTCTTTGTTATCTTCTTGCACTGCACAGTACAGTGCCGTCTGCCCCTGATTATCCGTTTCATCTATTTTGGCGCCTTTTTGAAGTAATAGTTCGACGAAATCTTTGTATCCTTTCTTTACCGCTGTTTGAAGTAACGCATTACTGAAATGGTCGATTTCGTTGACATCGTTTATACATTTACTGATTAAAACGCTAAGAAGAGCTTTGTCTCCCTTGCCATAGACATACAGTAATGGCGCTTGACTGCACTCGTCTTTCCAATTCAAATGAAGATGAGGGTGGCGCATGTTCAATAAGAAAGCGACTTGCAGTATCTTATTCCCTTCGTCGGGATGCGTGAAATGTGATAAAATATTCTTGGATCGTGAAAATATGAAGCCTTGCCGGAAGTGACTTAAGTCAAGGCTCTTGCGGCAATACTCTTCGTAAAGATTAAGGAATTCGGGGATGATCTCTGCTTGAGCTTTCAAGAACACTATAATCGCTTCATTACTGCCGTTGGCTAATGCTGCAAAAAGTGGTGTCCCAAAATATTCGTCTCCCACTTCAGAAAAAGCGAGTTTGGAAGGATGGCATCCGATGAGATAGCTCATATTCAGTTCCGCCAATGCATATAAAAGCCGTGTATTTAGTGAATGTGCCCAAACTTCAAATATGCACCTGAGTACCACCCAAGGGCGCAGCTTAAATTCTTTGAGAAATTCAGCTTGGCTGATACCGTACTTTTGCGCCTCATTTGCATGGTAAAGAATATTACCTACAGCATATCCTAAAATTGGAAAATGGTCACTTGCCCACGATTGAATTGACGCTGTTGTTTCAGAGAGGTGATTGACCTGTTTAAGCGACTGGGAAGCGTAGAAAGAGCCGATTTTGATGCACTTGAGACAACATTCTTTTAAATATTCGTGACTTCGTCCAGGAATATTATCTCCTTGGTCTGGCCAAATTTCCTTTAGCCCATCTTCCCCGAGGAGAAAGACTCGCACTGACATATGGATAAATTTAATTCTTTCGCAGTCTCTACTCGAACCCGAAGACGTACAAATCTCGGCAAGTCCCAAGGAAGAATTTAGAATGAATCTCAGCATGTCGGGCTTAGATATTTGGCTAGGAGCCACTCTAGATGAGACATCAGAGAGAGCAGCGTGATATAACTGCTCTGGTCGCAGCAGTTCCCTTGAGAATAAAAGCCACTGGAAACACCGGAGTGTTTCGATCGATTTTCGGTCAGAATTTCGTGCCAAGATATCCTTAAATAGTTCGCGAAGGTCTCCAGGAATCTCCAGATACCGGGTTTGTAAATTATAGATCCGCCCCATATCGTATTCCTTGTTAAGGATCAAAACAACCGAATTGACCCACATGAACAGCCCCCAGGATCTTTTTGCAAGATTGGCGCGAATTCGATTAGCGATATCACTTTGTCCAATTTTCAATTCGCGTCTCACATATTGGTGTATATCTTGGTGTATTCGGAATTCGAGGACAAGGGTTAGCCCTTTTTTAAATGAGATCAAAGGATAGTACCTTTTTGAAAAGCATACTAAGAAGCTGATACCCTTGGATGTAGCTGAGCCGATCAGATATTCAAAGAATGATAGCGTATCTCGGGCTTGGTCTTCGTCACACTCGTTCAGAGCGTCAATAAAGCATACCACTTTGGACGTCTGAATGTTTTCAATTGCTTGGCGAAATAAATATTTTAACGGTTCGATATGCCATCGGTAGCCTTCGTCGTGACATGCTGTGAATTTCGATAAGTCTAAGGAGTCTTGAAGCGCCGGTAGCTGTTCCAGTAGCTGTAGCAGTAATGATCGGTACATGCCAAGAGTAGATTTCTCTAAATCGCCTCCTCGTGCGTTGAAAAAGAAAGAGAGCAAAATCCTATCTCCCATTGTTTCCCGGGCAGTTACAAGGGCATATTTCATAATTGTTGATTTTCCGGCGCCTGGTTTGCCCATAATACATAGAAATCCGTGATGGTTGATGATCTTGTCCGGGTCCAGCCAGGTGATATATTCAGCGCTTTCTTGTAGCCACTTGCATGTTTCTGCGTGGGCGGCCTTGATGTTATCATAGCGCTTATTATAGTTGTCAAATTTCAGAGATTTAAGCAGAGCTTGTTTCTGGCTGTCGCTGGGAATTTGGATATCCTCTTCTCCAGCCACTCTTTGCGGTATGTTGGTGTTATCTAGAGCGATTCGACGGAGAAGATCTTTTGCGTAAGCCGCCGCTGCCATCGCAGCATATCCTTGCCACTGCTTATTCTTATGCGTGTCTGAGTAGTCGGATATACCTCGAATAACCAAGCAGGGGAATTGATTCATAAGGCCGGCGGCTTCCATTTCAAAACACATGACATTTTTCTTTGACGCGTATTCATCACGCATCATGGCGTCTTTCATAAGTGTATTTGACGAAGCAATTAGTCCGCAATGAACAACAGGCGCACCCTCGCCTGCGATTCGCCTGCGTACAACCAGCTTTGACGGATCATCTCCGCAGGAAACCGAGCAGTCTAGTGTGTTATCTTTGGGGTGCATGATCTCGCTGCGATATAACCTATCACTATCAAGACTCGGACGGCCAAAATCTGTTTGTAAAATCGGATTTCTTGCAAGAACGTCGTCAATTATATCTTTCAGTTGACGATAGCCTTTAAGACGGTATTGCGATTGAAGCCCATTGACTGCTGCTCTTAAGATTCTTGGCGATTGATTCAACAGCCGTGTTGCTTGAAACGGCTGACCTTGGACCATTTTTCCAAAGCCGTATTGTAATACACCACTTTGTCCGTCGCGAGGAACGCCGACCACAATGTCACCCAAACGAATATCATTCCTTTCACTAGGCGCACCACCACCAACGCCAACCATTAGCCCGAGTTTGATATTGGCAAAAGAATGCATCATGTCCCTTGCAACAATCGCCGCAGATTCTACTCCGTATTCTCCATCTGGCAGAACAGCAATAACAACGTTATGGTTCCCAATTCGGCCGAACGTGTAATCATTTTGATCAGCTGGCGCCACATGGCTGGGTCTCTTATGCTTCTCATCAAGAGCAGCTTGCGCGGCAATGTATTCGGTGCATATGGCACAGATCCATCCTGCTGTATATTCGTCGCTCGTTTTTTGCAAGTAGATGTCGGTCAGCCTGTGCGTTTGGGAGGGACCCCCCTCCATATTCTCTCGACTGCTTCCAGGGCCGTGGACTATTGACTGCACTGGTTTCTTTTCGCATTTAGGAAAGCGATGATGACCGTTTTGACGCGTATATTGTAGATATTGACCACAGACAGCGAAAAGATTGATATATGTAAATTCTGAGCGCGTCACTGCATTAGCGAAATCCGGTCACCGGGTCGCGTTGTTGGGCGGGGGGAAGGGCCTATTATTCTAGGCATACATGCATATTGAATTAATGTGATAGGTACAGCTTGAATAGCCACCTGATTACAAATGGCAAATGCTACATCGTATCATTTGCGCCTCCATCTCTGTCTCTCTTTTTACACTCATGCACATCTAGGCCTAGCAGTACCTAAAGTAAGCGATAATCCCATACAAGTAATGCTCCGTCTTTTGCCATTAAATCCATAAACTCCTTCCCTTGAAAAAGGTATAAATGATAAATATATGCTTAACTCTAGGCCAATATATGTATAAATTTATTACGCAGAATCTTGAAAAAAAAAAAAGGGCAATCTCAGACCACTGTTAGCATGTCATACAACAGCCCTCGTCTATACCGTAGTTTGGATAGCCGTCAGATTATTCCTAGAAAAATGTGACAATTTACATTTGCATTTATTCTCCTTTTCTATTCGTACAAATATAAATATATATATATATATGTTAAATACACAGTAGTCAGCCATAATCCAACAAAAATAGAGATAATATAGGTAATATAGGTAATATAGGTAATATAGGTAATATAGGTAATANTAATATAGGTAATATAGGTAATATAGGTAATATAGGTAATATAGGTAATAGAGGTAATAGAGGTAGTAGAGGCAGTGAAAGATCAAAACACATGTAATTGTAATTATACAACGTTAGCTACAACTAAGATGCTGGATAATACAACTGGAGTGTTGAATAACAATTCCCTAAAAGTAGTGCTCCGTCTTTTCCTGTAAAGAGTATATCCTCCGCCCCCCCCCCAAAAAAAAAGAGCAAATAGTAGCCATACGCTTAACTCCAGGCCATTCCATATTTTCTTTTTCAGCAGAATCTTAAAAATACAATTGCAGTCCCGGACTACTGTTAATATGTCATACATCAGCTCTCGTCTGTTCTCCCGACAGATTTCTATCACACTATATCGACCTGGTGGAAATATTCGTTTTTGGACTAGAGCTTTTCTAAGGCTTAGCTCGTGTCATTTTGCTCTTGGAGCCATTGGCTGTCGCCTTGGTATTTGAAAGCCATTGTCTCGGAATATGGTATCGGCGTGTCCAGAGGTATGACATCAAATTCCGAGGGAAATGATGATGGCGCGTTAGGCCCTTTGGGGGCCTTGCGATTGGTGTACGGAAGTACGCCCTTCAATGATACTGCCCGCGGTTTTGGTGGTGCTCGTGGTTTTGATGGTTCTCGCGGCTTCGATGGTTCTCGCGGCTTCGATGGTTCTCGTGGTTTCGATGGTTCTCGTGGTTTCGATGGTGTGAGGCCGCGAATCTCTTTAACAATATCCTGCAACTCCATTTCATCGCTCACAATCTGAGCCTTGATAAAATGAGTGCTGCTTCCCGACGATTCTTGAAGTTTCTGCATAATAGGGGTGCGCGGCGTGTAGGAAATATCATCTAGCTTGGGAGCGAATCTAGGATCCGGAACGACTGACGGATCAAGCTGCGCTTCGGGCCCCATATCCAAGAGAGTCTGGATATCCAGACTTTCGCCAGGAGGGATTGCATCTGGATGGCTTGGCGTGATGCAGTCCATATCAACTTCTTTGCGGAGGACGTGATCGATATCGACAGCAGAGAAGAACGCACAAGATTGGGGGAGGTCGTCAATCCCTACTTGCTGCGCAAACATAGCTCGGGTCCAAATGTTTGCTACTTGGAGTGCAAGCGCTGCCCTGTATTTATCTTGATTCTTCACCAGGTATCGAATTTCGTCATGAACCGAGATGGCCAGTCGAGCATCGAGATTGAACCGACGAATCAAGTAATCCATGGAGACAATAAGCAAATGGAGATAGTCGACGCCCGAGGATTGGATGGCCCAGTTGATTCGAGAGGGCAAGTAGCTGCCTTTGCTCACAAAGCGGCTCATAAGCGCTTGCGTGATGCCCGCCCCCAACACTGGCGTCCTAGCCCAGTCCTGTTCAGCAAACTCTTCCAGTTTGTTGAATACAAACGACTCCGTTCCTCCTCTCCAGAACAAGCGCTTGTTTATAGTCTTGCGGTTGGTCTTGATGCCTTTGGTATTCGCATACAGCCTCTGCGCAATTTCTGTAGTCTCCGCCTCGGAAAGCTTGGGGTTGAACTGTCGCAGAAGAGTGGCTGCAAACTTGAGCCCAGCTCCATAGATGCGACCGTAGTTGAAAATTTTGGCTTGGTTTCTAGAGATGCCCAAAATCGACGCTGTCCTCGAATGTAAATCCGTGCCTGCAGCTTTAGTACCCTCGAGGGTCATAAACCCAATGGCATTCCCACCGTGGATTTTGAAAGTCGCATCACCTACTAAACTTGCAATCCAAAGCTCTTCTGAGTCAACATCAGCACCAACAAAGCAGTAGCCTTCTGGAGCCTTGACCATTGATTTTAACTCGGACCCAACACGGTTCTTCTTCGCATTGCTTGCTGTCAGCCAAGTGTTTTCAACTGCTCGCCGAGTAATTGTACCCATGGGAACAATTTGAGGTAAAATAAAGCCTTGGGTGTTCTCTCCATCCTTTTTGGCCGCCATACCCTCTTCAGCCTCGGGTAAATCCTTCTCATAGACAACCATTTGCGACATAATTCTATCACGCGCACCCATCCAGTATGAGCACGATGCATTCATTTGCAGCGCTTCCTTAGCATATTCATACTCCGACGAGAGAGTGCCATTTTCGAAGTAAGTTAGATACCCTTTCGCCATTGGATTGGCGCAGCGAGCAGTGGGGCCATCTTTATGTGGAAGTTTGAAGTAGGAGTGTTTGTAATCATCGCGCAAGGCCGGATCAGAGTCATCAAAGAGGCACTCTGACATGAGCTTCGCAGTGTAAGTGGACACATCGTCCGGGTCAACTCGAAACACCCAGCCATGTTGGTTGGACCAGAACAACGGGTGCCCATCCCAGGCCAGCCTCAGCAGCAGAGGCGCAATACGAGTCCGTAGTGATAGGTTGATAGGGGCGTCATTTTTGGCAAAGAGATCTTTGTACCACTTGGGCATGCCTGGCTTCTTCTGCCTTGCAGCTGGCCTCGGTGGATCGCCCTTCCGTTTGCCCTTGACCATTCTGATCTCTTGGCCGGACCAATCTAGCTGCATCATCCAGGGGTCGTTTTGCCAGATCTCAGGCTTGTCTTTTAATTCCAACGCTTTCTCTGCCAGTGATTCTAACCTCTCGTGGACCGATGTAGAAAGTTTCTGATAAGTGGCTTCTGCATTAGCAATGTATGAATTCCAAGTTTGGTTGACCGGTAAAATGACAGAGGACAGGTGCCGCAGGGCCGCAAAGCTAACTGGGTGCGGGCAAACTTCTAAAAAGCCGGGAAGGACAGTTTGATACACTTTGTGAGTAACGGATACATCCGCAGCACAATATTCGAGAAGTTGGTCTAATTTCTCCAGCACACCATCGCGATCCAGCTCACCAAAATCATTCCGTATCGCCTTGTCAATTGTGACATTGAGATGGAACTTGGCAACGTCTCGGAGCGAGTTAATTGAGCTCTTCTCCACCCATAATTCCTCCTCTTCATGCATACTTCGATTGCTCAAAAGCTCAATTAAGCCATGTTCGATGTCGCCGCTCGCCACCTTTTCTCTTTCCTCTCGATTCTTCTTGTGTCGCATCCAGGTCGGGCGTTGTTGTGAGCACATGCCATTAACGGCAACATGCAAGGACATGGTGTCGAGGAATCCGGTCCTAGTCTGCTCCAGACTGTATTCTTCCAATATTCTTGCCCTGTCATAGCCAACGTTGTGTCCAACAACAATGCGATCCTTAGTCGAATCCCCCATTGGTATTAAGTGCTTGTCGTCGGGAGACTCACCCAATAACCAAGGAGATAACCAAGAATACCAGGCCGTAGGACTGACTGCACAAGCCATTACTGCATACGGACTTTCTTTCCACATGACCTCTGTGTCAAAACACAGCATATCTTCGTTTGGCGCCACGACCGACTCTGTCCGCCCATCAGGATAGTATTTCGTCCACCCACTTCGCGATATCCATCTTTTCGGCTTCAAAGGGACATTTGCGCAAGCAAACTCTTTAGCGTATTGCAAATGCGAACCAGCACAATCAATTCCAAGTCTGTAGAAATGTTCGTCGAGGGTGGTGCCTTGGAGTTTGGGCAGATCGAAGGCAATGGGGCCGGAAGTATCTGTGTTCTTGCCATAGAGCTCATGGCGCTTCAAATGATCGACAGACAACTTTACCAGGTCTTCAGGTGGAGGCTTGGAGCCGTTTGGGAATATTTGAGGGAAGATGTAATCGCTAAGTTGCTGTACACCAACTTCATTGTATCGCGACGACGAAGGCACTGGTATTGCGCCGTTAGCTGCTAATAACAATCGCAAACACTGTCGCAAAGAGGCTCACAAGACAGCGACTTGGAATCCTTCGACTCAAGCTCCTGGGTGAGAGTTGCGAGCCATCGCGACGGTGCGCCTCTACAAATACTCTGGCATCCTCTGTAGCGAGCAAGCCGGACGAAGCTTGCGATCGGAGCTCGCTGGAGCTGGCCAGCGGCAGAGTAAAGTGCTCTCATAAGCGTTGGTGAGACATCAAAACGCGGCGACTGCGCACCAACGAGTCTCTGTCGACTGAAATGGGATGAAAGGAGAGGGAGAAACGAGGCTGCAATAGAGCCGTGAATGTTGCGACCAAAGTAGCAATTCACGAGCAAAAGTTTCATGCTTCCCAGGGCGATGGAAGGGAATTTTAGCGGGGTGGGTCGCAAGCTCTACAAGGGTGAGCCTATCAATTAGTGGTTGCGGAGATGGCAAAAGTGACGTTTTGGACGGGCGTGTGTGAAGGCTCACGCCTTGCAAAGGGAAAGAAGGGTTTGTTCTCAATCATGTATCGCATTTGATTGTCAATTAAGGACAGAATCACGAATACCGATGGTTTGCCAAACGTCAGGTCAGATCTGAAAAATTCCAGCCATTGAGATGCAGCCGACAAGCATTAGAGCTGCCCCTCACTCAACCAACATTGCTGCAGCTTTCTGGAAAGCCCCGCCATTGGTCCAACGTCCCAATTTGGAAATGGAGGATTGAAGCCATCTTCGAGACATTCAGGCAGCCAGGCACCGCAGGGCTGATCATATACGGGGTGCAATGCCGCCTAATAAAGATAACGGGGTAATAGTAAGGCAAGTACTAGATGTATTATTTTCAGCCTTGGTGAGAATCCAAGAGTATATGAGAGTCAGTTTTGTGAAATAAAAACCATTTCCAGTCGTTAAAAACTATACATACCTTACCTCCCTACTAATAAGCAGTATGTAGTAATGATAAAAAGCAGCATGAAAATTTCTTCTATCCAGCCATCCATATTACCAAACCAAGCTACAGTTACAGCCAGTTTGCAGCGGATAATAACACTGGCATTAACCTTACTAGATTTTCCCGTAGATAGTAGCTGCAGTTTGGAGCAATATCAACCCTAGAGTTACTCCATAAGCTAAGGCGCATCCACTCTATCATGCTCCTTCTTTCATTCTTTTCTCTTATTCTTCTTTCTTTTTCTTCTATTCTTCTTTCTTTTTCTTCTATTCTTCTTTCTTTTTCTTCTATTCTTCTTTCTTTTTCTTCTATTCTTCTTTCTTTTTCTTTTTTTTTTTTTTTTCTCTACTTTTTGTGGAAAATAAAGGAAGCATAAGGCATTATATTATCATACTATTTTGATAACAGCAGACGGAAGTTCTGAAGTTTATTCTTTCAAGGGTAGCATAGATGCCTCTTATCTTGGCTCCCATACAATCTTGTCAATAATCGCGGCTGGCTTTTCATGTCTATAAAGTTCCTCTGTCTTCTCCCTCTGCTTTTCCCTACTAGGCCTTAAGTTCTCTTCTATATAGCTGAACTCATATCCAACCATATCCAAATTACAGACATCACAATGTCAAGCCATATCCAGGGAAAAGCCTATCTACCACGTCTAATACCGTGTATCGGATGCATTCATCGCCTTACTTCGGATCCACTTTCAAAGTATCAACCTTGCCAAAGCCAATCCAGTAGTTCTCTTGTGGCCATATCTATAATCATGCTTTAGTTGAATTTCGGCATTGACAAGTTGTTACAGGTCCTACGGCTGCCGGCTGCGTCATGTGTAACCGCAAGAAGCAGAGATGCTACCTGGTATATTGAGTTCCCCCTCCCCCCTCAAATTCCAACTGAGCCCCGTCTAATTAATTATCCAGCTGCCCATTCGTGCAATTGAACTAGGCAGAGAGTTTCAAAACGCTTGCATAAGACGCTTTGAGGGAGAAGAGGTAGATCGTCCCATAACTTCAAGTTCAAGAGCTCGGGGAGTTGACTTTATACTGACCAACAACTGGATTAGGTCGAGAATTTAGAGGTTCTTGGCGAGAGGACGTTACAGGCCATAAACCAATTTCAGGGACAAGCAGGCAAACATAGGCGCAGTTCATCTGCATCAATGGCACGTATGCCAGTCGATCTAGACAGCATCCTAGAAGATGGTGGCTTGGCGGCTTTGGCGGATGATCAACTCTCAGTGAGTGTTCTAAAAGTATTACTCAGTAAGCACGATAATTCTAAGTATACGTACAATAGGTGTCTGGTCAACCGCAAGCGGACCCTCGGGAACAGCAATCTCCACAACTGCAGCGGAAAGAAGTCGCCCAGCAGCTCAACGATGAACGTCAGCCGGCTTGCTGTGACGCTCGGAAAGAACTGGAAGATATGAGAGCCCAGATGGAAACCATAAAAGCCCAAGTGGAAAACATGGAAGCCCAAATACAGGACCTTATACAGGTAATCATTGGATGCCGGCAAGATGGAACTGAGACTCGCTCCATCGACCTGCACTTTCCTTGAAGTCGGGTTCGCCGGGAATGGAATATGACTCATTTCATTTTTGCCGCAGTGATGTGATGAGAATCCCCTTTGCCCCTTCAGTAGGAGCCCGGCTTGAGAAACCTAGATTTAGTAAAAGATACTACATGATGATACTTCGCATGCAGAGCAAGTGGGACACTTCCCCCTTATGAGCTAAATGACTCACGGGTCATCCTTGAAGGAGCCGGGTTTTATTTGCAGCTGTGGTTGTTGGTTCAACATGGTCCGAAGCAGGATTCACAAATTGGATGCTTGATACGGCTACCCCCTTTCTGCTTTCCATTGGCACAATTATGTTCAGAAGGTTCAATAACTATCGAATCACTACTTTTACTGATTTTACGAGTAAGTTGATGTGAAATAGCAAGAGGCGTTTGGCTTTAGGCAGCTGAATTAGACAATGTTTTGAAAAAGGGGGGGTAGGCAGCAACATTACAGACGCACCGACGATGGAATAGATTTTGAGAATTCGGCAAGAAAAGGACAAAATCAAATTAATGGTTAAGATCTGCCGTCCTTGCGTATTAGGCAGGCGTATTCAGCCCCTGAGCGAGCCTACATTTTCAGTTATGAGTTTGGAGACTGGCGGTGGCGGAGTTCTACTCCAGCCAGACGCATTACGAAGGAATGATGGGCAAGGACGGGATACAAAGCTTCATTATGATACTTCTTCCACTATTGTGACTCCATTCATGTCTCATTGACCCCGTTTCTAAATTAAACACTCGTATTTATTCGCGTTCTCCTTGGGAGTTGAAGGGGTGATGCTTGGGCATCTACTCATGGGCAGTCTCCATGACTCTACTATTGAACACACGCCCTTCATTCTACTCTCGCCTCTTGACAAATTACAGTGGATAAAAAGAAACGAAGAAGAAAAGTGGAATCAGACGTTAATGATACGAAAAAAAAAATGAATGATCTCGCCCGGGCTCGAACCGGGGACCTTTTCGGTGGTGTCAACAGATGTTGTTAACGAAATGTCATGACCAACTAGACCACGAAACCATATCTTGATTTTCCTGATTGGATGTCTCTCCACGTCGTTGTCAGCATTCAAGAAGCAACCGCCAACATAGAGAGTCTCACCAACGAGACTCTATACATGTAGTATTTCTGGCCATCGGAATGGTTACTAAAGCTGTGTTATCAACGTCACCCCATCAATACGGATTTACGGCAGCGAATGTCGAGGGTAGCGGGGTATTAACAGCCCGGATGGGGCCGTACAGACGACCACCGGCAATAACTAGGGCGCGGAAGCAGATGCTACTGTCGGGATTGCGTTGTATGTAACAGCGCTAATGCAGACGTGGCTGAAGCATCGAGCAAATCGTTTGTGATAGACAAAGCCTTTGAAACGCCCTGGACTTACATTCGCGGATTGATGCCTGATCTGGGTGCTTGGCAAGTATGCTCATAATACAAGAAAACAGAAAAAATAGAAAAGAAAAAAATAGACATAATAAAATGAAATAGCTGAAACGTTAACCTGGAGCCTGATGTTCATCTGTTTTCTGTGCGACCCTTGGTGTTCTGTTGAGTCACATAAAGCCGACATAGCGATATGTGGATGACGAGCTCTTGCCATTTACAAACAAGCTGTAATGCCTGCATGACACATCAGCCTGATCGCAAATCCTCGACTGTCGGACTGTAGGAGGACTCCGACCGAAGGAATGATCCATGGTGCTGATACACGGGAGATTCAATCTAGGCTCCATCCTTGATAGCGCATGGCTATCGCCAGATTGCCTTTCCGCAGCGGCCTGTACGCGCCCAAGTAGCTCTACTTGCAGCGCTTTCATGCTCCAATACTCGGACATAATACAATCTTGCTAGCACTGCGCTAGTAGCAAGCAGTTTGTCCTCTTCATATCGGGATTCCAGAGCTAGGCTGCCTGCTAGAGGCGCTAAGCCAGCGGGCTTCGGTAACCGGGATTGCGAGGCTTGATAACAACAGCATTTTGAACTTGAACCCCTGCGCTGCAAACGAATGAGCTGCATGGCAGCAATAGTTGGAATCTCGGACTTTTATTAAGCAAGGATTGATTGGTTGAACTCGAGCCAATGCAGATAAATGGCAGTTTCTGTTGACAATGCGGATGACTGAACCAAGAAATGACTAAAATTAGATCGAAAGTATGTGTATCTTCTGGACAGTTACAGGTTAGCAGCACAACACGGAGTAGCTTTCCGATGTCATTCACTACGTCAACTTTGCTCAGCCTTATAGATGACGTGAATTGATTGGGAAACGGCTCTGCTCTGAGTTATCTGCGTATCAATACGCTTTATGCTAGCCAACAGCTCTCCCCTATACACGTACTCTACCGCTAAGCGGTAAGTAAAGGGATGATAACCCCTACAAACGGTCACCAATCGCCTCTTTGCTTTGGGCGGTCTGGAGTTCGGGTATCTTCTTGAACGCGAGGGTTATACAAGTAAACTTTAACCCTTCTCCAGGGTCCCGAGTCAACTGGCGTTGCCCTGTAAAAGGCAGATAATTCAACAAAAATAGCAGGCAATCTGCCGGTTGTAAAAGTCATGGAATGCTTACATGTAAATAGTTTCTATACGCTTTGCTTGCGACTTGTTGGAAATTGTTTACGGCGGCATCAATTAATACATAAGTTGCCTAGTCAGTAGAGCATTCAAGCGCAATACGCTAAAACGCAGCACGAACCCTCCATAAAAGGAGAGGGTCTTTTGTGAAAATGGGACGCGGGGGTGCCAGTAACTCTCAGCTGGGGTCCCCTGCGTATAAGCCGTCGAATGGAAGGCCGGATTTTGGACCAAACATCGTTCGAGAAGTGACCCTTGCTTGCTCGTGGCTGAGGCTCTAATCAAGATGCCTCCGGGATTCGGGCTCGGGTTGCGACCCGAAAAGCCCGAAAATCAGGAGTCATGGCGCTCCATAACTTGGAGACACGGGTGCTAAAGGGCGTGAGCAAGTGTTGTTGCCACCGGCAGATGAGTCAATGATGAGAGACAAAGACGTAAGTGTAGCAGCATTATGCGCATTTTTCTCTTGTTTATTTTGTTTTATACGTTGGTACTCCGTACCTGTTTTCAAGTTACATGCCCAGCGGCAGTACGTACCTTTGCCGTTTTTGGCAACCAGATTGCTAAAAGCGAGATTGCTTAGATCATCGCGGGGGGGGGGCTTGAATGTACCTTTACATCCATACTACATGCATGGGCAATACGATAATCATCAGATCCTCACTACATACCCTCGCACTGAACAAAAATACTACTCACCATCGTGGTTACCATGTCATCAATATTCACTCATAAAATAACAGGAAAGAGAGACATGCTTCGCAAACGCCCGTCGTACTGGTGCTACCTGTGTGCTGGGCGTATCAACGTACGTGTGAACTGGTCAGATGCCACGAATCTCGCAAGTGTGAGCATCGAGATACGCGTACTCGCACTCGTACACCCAGAACTTGATGCGGGCCACAACAGACGCCGAGTCATATGCTGGTAGCCTTTGAGAGCAGTGAAAGTGTAGAATCTTAGACAATAGCTTGTAGCACTCAAGAGCAGCTGTGAAGATGCGTAATATCATGAGACATCAGTACGACGTACCATTGTTGCGAGTTGACGGTTTTCGATGTTTGATGCCCAGGGTCTCATGAGCTGCTGGCAGATTTACAGGGCACCTCGTCCACCATTGCCCGGCTGGCTTAGCGCCAAGCGTATTTGCAGCTGAGCAGGCACTAGGAGTTGGTAGCACTCCGAGTGGCGCTGTGCCGGCCATGGTACCTGTACTTTTGATATTTGCAGATTGTAAAACTGGTACTCTGTACTTAATGCAGTGTCATCCTGCTGAGCCAAGGCAACTCCGAACATGAGCGAAGCCCTGCATAAATCCCTACAGCAGCATTCAAGACAAACACAGGGAGAAAACAGAGTCATTGCACAAAGGAGAAACAAGTTTTAGCAACGAGATCCTCACTCGCTCTCCTCGTGACGCGACGCTATCTAGAAGAAAGGCCCCTGGCTGGTCTAAGCGAGAAACACCCGTCTCCTTGGGTGGGCCATATTCAAGATAGCCTTCAATTGATCCTCCCAAACTCCTATTCAAATCTTCAGTGCTAAAACAAAGTGCTTCATCTCGCCAAAACTAAGCCCCCCTTGCTCTTCGGCCAGCGCCTGCCCTAGTCCGCCGGGCCCTACTGGAACCCGTAACTTGATGCGAAAATGGATGCCTTCAATAGTTCTTTGTCTTCTCTCTGGCTCGACGGGGGTGAAGTCAAGCTTCTTGTGCCGTGGCTGGAATGCGTCGCGTCGTTCTTGTAGGCGTGTCTTTCGAAAATACGGAGTCGCAGTGGTACAGGCGCGTACTGGGTACAGACATCATATACGAAATACGGTGCTGCGCAAGCTTTGCATCCCGCACCTGCTGCCGAGCTAAGCCTCTTAGGGCGATGCGAACGCTGAGCGAGGCAGCAACAAGAAAGACGGCTCCACTCTCGCATGTAACGGGTACATACCCTGGTATAGTGCAGCAGCCATCGGCTTTCACTGTTTCCGGTGCGCTCCATTATTCCCACTAACTGCAGTGGGGCCGGGCCGCGAGAGCATGGCGCGAAGTACTACTTCTTCTGCCTGCCGCCTCGATTTTCTGGAGTCGAAGCATCACATCTTCAGCTCGCCACGTTTGGCTTGTGTTTGTTCTTCTTTAGAGAGCTATATATCCAGCTGTAGCCTCTTCTTCCACCGGCCCGTCGCAGCATTGCAGGGACCTTTTAATTTTTGTGATTTTTTTTTTTTTTTCGTATCTGGCACCTTTGCATCTCCCACACACTCGTTTCTTTCGGCGAGCAACAGCGTCGATCTCATCTTGCTTTCTTCCCCCGGTCGGCGCAGCGACATATTGCTGTTTTTCATTGCATCGAACTGCATATCTCGCATTGGCGTAATCACGACCACTAAGCTTGGGGGATCCCTTCGAACCGCCGCTGCTTCCTCCATCCAGCCGCCCGCAGCAGGCGAGGCAACTGAGAGACGATGTCCGCCGACGAGAAAACGCCTATTGGCGTGGAGTCGGCACCAACCTCAAGCCACAGCAACTCGTCAGATATCGATGCCACGCTTTCATCCAGAGCTGGTCGCGATGCTGAACTGAAAAAGGTGGACTCCAAAGTACCCACCCCTCCGGCTCCAAGGGCCGACAACATCGATGAGCTTTACGCGCATCTGCCTCCACACCAGGCCGAGATCTTGAAGCGCCAGGTCTATACCCCAGAGATCAAGGCTGGTGTCAAGGCCATCTACCGATATTCCTCTCGAGCCGACCTGACTATCATCTTCGTTTCCTCTATCTGTGCTATCGCCTCTGGAGCCGCCATTCCTCTGATGACCGTCATCTTTGGTAACCTTCAACACGTGTTTCAGGAGTACTTCTACGCCCAGGGCCTCATGACTTATGACCAATTTGCTAGCAAGCTGAGCCACTTTGTTCTCTACTTTGTGTACTTGGCCATTGGAGAATTCATTGTCACCTACATCTGCACCGTCGGTTTCATTTACACTGGTGAGCATATCGCCGCCAAGATTCGTGAGCACTATCTTGAGAGCTGCATGCGCCAGAACATTGGTTTCTTCGATAAGATCGGTGCTGGTGAAGTCACCACGCGTATCACCTCAGATACCAATCTCATCCAGGATGGCATCTCGGAAAAGGTTTCTCTCACCCTCGCTGCTCTTGCTACCTTCGTCACCGCATTCGTCATCGGCTTTGTCAACTACTGGAAGTTGACTCTTATTCTCTCTTCCACCGTGTTCGCCTTGCTTATCAACGTCGGCACTGGTGGTAGTATTATGCTCAAGCACAACAAGGCTTCTCTCGAGGCTTATGCTCAGGGCGGTAGCGTGGCAGATGAAGTTCTGAGCTCGATCCGAAACGCTGTTGCTTTTGGCACTCAAGATCGCCTGGCCAAGCAGTACGATAAGCATCTTCAAAAGGCCGAGTATTTTGGATCTCGCGTCAAGGCCTCCATGGCTGTCATGGTCGCCGGCATGATGCTGATTCTGTATTTGAACTACGGCCTTGCGTTCTGGCAAGGCAGCAAATTCCTCGTGGAGGGTATCATCCCGCTGTCCAAGGTCCTGATCATCATGATGTCTGTCATGATTGGTGCCTTCAACCTGGGCAACGTTACTCCCAACATTCAGGCCTTCACTACTGCTCTTGCAGCCGCCGCTAAAATCTTCAACACTATCGACCGAATCTCTCCTTTGGATCCCAACGACAATAAGGGCGAGAAGATCGAGAACTTCCAAGGAAACATTCGCCTGGAAAATGTCGAGCACATTTACCCATCCCGACCTGAGGTTAAGGTTATGAACGGCGTCTCTCTTGATATCCCTGCTGGTAAAACGACCGCTCTGGTTGGTGCTTCTGGTTCTGGCAAGAGTACCATTGTTGGTTTAGTTGAACGGTTTTACGACCCTGTCGGAGGCACAGTGTACCTTGATGGCCATGACATTAGCAAGCTTAATCTTAGATGGCTACGTCAACAAATGGCCCTTGTCAGCCAGGAACCTACTCTTTTCGGAACGTCCATCTACAACAATATTCGCCACGGTTTGATCGGCACACCACATGAAAATGATAGCGAGGAGAAGCAACGCGAGCTTGTTATCGCAGCAGCTGTCAAGGCCAATGCCCACGATTTTATTTCTGCCCTTCCTGAAGGATATGAGACAAACGTTGGTGAGCGTGGTTTCCTCTTATCTGGTGGTCAGAAACAACGTATCGCTATCGCTCGTGCCGTCGTATCGAACCCCAAGATTTTGCTGCTAGATGAAGCCACTTCTGCTCTTGATACCAAATCCGAAGGTGTCGTTCAAGCCGCTTTGGAAGCTGCCTCGCAGGGTCGAACCACCATCACCATTGCCCACAGATTATCCACCATCAAAGACGCTCATAACATTGTCGTCATGTCTCAAGGTAGCATCGTAGAACAAGGTACCCACGACGAGCTTCTTGAAAAACAGGGTGCCTACTATAATCTTGTTTCAGCCCAAAAGATTGCCGTTGCTACTCAAGATACGCCAGCGGATGAACAAGAAATTGATGAGAAGGCCGAACTCCTGATTCGCAAGCATACTACTAACAAGGACGAGTACGAAGCCGACCCTGATGACGATATTGCCGCCAAACTTGACCGATCAGCTACGCAAAAGTCTGCCTCGAGCATTGCCCTTCAGAAGCGAAAGGAGGAAGAGGATAAGGAGTATAGCTTGTGGACTCTTATTAAACTGATTGCCTCATTCAACGGTCCCGAGTTGAAGCTGATGATTTTGGGTCTCTTTTTCTCTGCCATTTGTGGTGGCGGTAACCCTACTTCTGCAGTCTTCTTCGCCAAACAAATCGTCACTCTTTCGCAGCCCATCACCCCCGAGAATGCGCACCACATCAAGAAGACCTCTGATTTCTGGAGTGCCATGTTCTTGATGCTTGCCTTCGTTCAGTTTATCGCCTTCTCATCTCAGGGCATCTTGTTCGCTAAATGTTCTGAGCGTCTTGTTCACCGTGTTCGAGACCGTGCTTTTCGCTCAATGTTGCGCCAAGACGTTGCTTTCTTTGACAAGGACGAGAATACTTCGGGTGCTTTGACTTCCTTCCTTTCGACTGAGACAACTCACGTCGCTGGTCTCAGTGGCGCCACCCTCGGCACTTTGCTCATGATGTGGACAACTTTGATCACTGCCATCGTCGTGTCGGTTTCCATTGGATGGAAGCTCGCGCTCGTTGCTACCGCTACTATTCCCATCTTGCTGGCATGTGGTTTCTTCCGTTTCTGGCTGCTTGCCCACTTCCAAAGGCGTTCCAAGGCAGCGTACGCCGCCTCCGCTACCTTTGCTTCCGAGGCTATCTCTGCCATCCGAACTGTAGCGGCTCTTACCCGCGAGAACGATGTCTTGAGAATGTACCACGACTCCCTTGTTGAACAGCAGCGACGTAGTCTTAGGTCTGTGTTGAAGTCTAGCTCTTTGTACGCCGCTTCGCAGTCTCTCATCTTCTTGGTCTTCGCTCTGGGCTTCTGGTATGGTGGTACCCTGATTGGAAAGGGTGAATATGACCTGTTCCAGTTCTTCCTTTGCTTCATGGCCATTATTTTTGGTGCCCAGTCAGCTGGTACTATCTTCTCTTTTGCCCCGGATATGGGCAAGGCGCACCACGCCGCCAAGGAGTTGAAGACCCTGTTTGACCGCAAGCCCACCATCGATACGTGGTCAGAGGAAGGCCAGCCCGTGACCGAAGTTGACGGAAGATTGGAATTCCGCGACGTCCATTTCCGCTACCCGACTCGCCCTGACCAGCCAGTTCTGCGAGGCTTGAACTTGACCATCCAGCCTGGACAGTACGTTGCTCTTGTCGGTGCCTCTGGCTGTGGTAAGAGTACTACTATTGCTCTCTTGGAACGATTCTACGATCCCCTGAGTGGTGGCGTTTTCATCGATGGTAAGGAGATTAGCAGCCTCAACTTGAACGATTATCGATCCTTTATCGCGCTTGTCAGCCAAGAGCCTACGCTGTACCAGGGAACCATCAAGGAAAACATCTTGCTCGGATCTGCTGAGGAGAATGTTTCTGACGAGGCCGTTGAGTTTGCTTGCCGCGAAGCCAACATCTATGACTTCATTGTCTCTTTGCCTGAGGGTTTTAACACTGTTGTGGGCAGCAAGGGAACATTGCTGTCTGGTGGTCAGAAGCAGCGAATTGCTATTGCCCGAGCACTTATCCGCAACCCCAAAATCCTGCTCCTCGATGAGGCCACATCCGCTTTGGATTCCGAGTCCGAACACGTTGTCCAAGCTGCTTTGGACAAGGCCGCCAAGGGTCGCACGACCATTGCTGTAGCCCACCGTCTCAGCACAATCCAGAAGGCAGACGTCATTTACGTCTTCAACCAGGGCCGCATTGTCGAAGCCGGCACTCACCCTGAGCTGATGAAGAAGAACGGCCGCTATGCCGAGCTTGTCAACCTCCAGAGCTTGGCCAAGAACAACTAAATCTGATTTTGATTTCGATTTCGATTTTTTTTAACCTTGTTGATTGACGGGAGATTCTCCCCACTCATTTTCGAATTTTAATTTGCGCATGAGATATCCAGGCAGCAAATACAAAGCTGACCTTATCCATCTATTGGCGTTTGTTTGGTGATATTATAGACAAAGAAAGAGGAATGACGGCCCCTTTAGAACAAGTCCTCGGAATATCAAGGAGTGGAAGAAAAGGGAACTATTTTCATCCTTTTTCCGAATTTTTTTTTCTTCATGTTTTATGGGTAAAAAAGTGTATTTAATCGCGTTTTATCAACAGGTCGAGGTGGTATTATCCCACGACTTGACGCATACCTACTCTTCTCTTTTCTACGTGTACTTCTTGTTCCTTCTCCTTCTTTCATGATGACGAATGGGGTGTAGCGGCATATTTGTTTGCTGGCTCTCTCCCTTTCACACTTTACTTATGTAGCGCTACGGCGACGAAGTGCATGAGATAGGATGAGGGCCGAAACTTAGCGGTCAAACAAGCAGACTTTTGCATGGCATGACTGAGGGCCTGTGGTTTATGAATGAATAAAGAATATTTTGATATACATTTTCGTATCTTCCTGTTTGAACAATTGTGATTTGTGCGCGTATCGGTGGCTTTTATCTTCACTTGCCTCCGTGTCAAACGAAATATGTTGACTTATTCCTTGTTATATATAGCGAACGTGTTAAAAGTGGCTAGGCAGCAAATGCCCAGTCACTGGTTCCAATTCAGTGCGAGTTCAAGTGCTGTTCGGCGGACGTGTGAGTCTGAGTAAAAATAGAAAAAATATAAGATGATAGATAATTCACTCTTTATTGAAGTATTACGGTTTAATTGGCGCGATGAACGAAAAGGTAGTACTACCGAATCCAGATTTACGTAGAAAGGCAGCATGGTTCCTTTTCATTGAGCTTTACTTTGTTGATGTCGTTCAGAGGCGAACCAAATGTGGTTTACTTCTTGGCTGATATTGACCTTTGTAGGAAAAAAACAAAAGAATGAGCAATGGAATCAACGTCGTATGAACTGAGCAACTTGTAAGTTGATATTGTGGTCTAAAGGGTTCTGATGTCTGCATATAAGAAAGGCCAAAGACGACATCATATGTCTGTTTCTCTTGTGCATTGCTCTTGATCAAGATAAACCCACTCAAAGTCTCCCAATCCGAAAAACCACACAAGAATTTGATTCCATCATTTGCTTAGCAAATCCTATCGGATTCGTCTTTAACTGTCGCAGATTTTCACGATCATACTATTCCTCCCCCAAAAAGAAAAGACCACAAGGTGATAGTATCAATAGACAGGAGAACAATGATATCCACAGACGATACAGAGACGAAAAGGAAGCAGGTGATTGATGACGAAAATGTTTACCCGCATAAAAAAGTGTTTATGGAGGAAAATGCTGTGGAGGGTGATTTGGAGGTGGAGGTAGATGGCGACCCGACGACGGACTCGGACGATGACTACGACTTGCTGCGCACTGATACTCCTCATTTAGCCCCTACCCCATGCGAGTTTTCAGCTCAGAATTTAGCTCTGGCCAAGGAGAGCGTTGACAAGATTGTGGCAAAAGCCTGCAGTGCTCTCGAGAAATCCGCCATCACCAACCTTGATGCCGATACTTTGTCTTCCGATACCTGCTCGAGCACAACGCTTACCGAGGCTGGCGATGATGATCATGTACCGGATGAAGGAATCAGAAACCGTAGACAGGGGCATCGCTCTTTGAACTTGGAGGAGATGCCTCCCCACGCCAATGCTTTTACGGGTGCGCTGCCGGGGGATCGCGGCCACAGATCTTCGCCGCCGAATCTGGACGCAACGTGGACTATGACGAGTCATTTTGAATTCTTCCCGTCTGTTTCTGAATTGTCAGCTAAGGATTTGGATGGCTTGACTGAAGGATGGTTTGCATGGCACTGTCTGTCCTCGTATTCGGAAGGGAGATTTGAGTCTGAGTCTGAGTCTAGAAGCGATGGCCCGCAGTGATGCTCGTAACGCTTCAATGGGGGGTTCAATAAAAGGAGCTCGGTGGGATGTAGTTTTGAAGAGGGATGATTATGTACTGGATTAGAATACATTGAGGACGAAAATCTAGCATTATTGTTTTGGAGTTGAGGGGCGAGGAGGAAGGGTGGAGCAAGGGAAGTTTTAGAGGAGAATTTTAAAGATGGGTGATTTCGTAAAGATAAAAGCTGGAAGTATCATGACAATGAATGAATAATCTTATTCTAACCGCAAGTAAAACACGCCTCTGCGAGTATTCTAGATGGCTGTTGGATGATGGCAATTGGGCGTCTGCTCAGTTGTTCTCTCTCTTTGTTGTCAACAATCGAACGATTCATATCGTAGCGAAAGGAGTCTGCTTCAGGATTACGAACCGACTGAACTCTGATTTGCTTCTTACTTTTTGTTCTCATCATACGACCTATCCTTTGACGCTCAACCGGCTGTACATGGAATCTTCTTCGGTAGTATTTGTATTCGCAACTCTATACGCATCCATCGGATTCTCTACGTCACTACAATCTCTCAACGCTGCCACAATTTCAAATATGTCCCCTTGAGGAATTTTGCCCTTCCTTGATACAATCAGATGCTTCCAGCCTAGATACGCGTGCTCGTTATACTGCTTCATGCCCTCTAATATGGACGTCGCCGCAATGACATTCGCGCTGGTCGGCCAATAGTGTCTAACACGAGACCACAAATTCAGCGCCTCCTTACCGTAAGCATCCATGGACGGGAAATCGTTGCGATGGATGCGCATGAGCTTCGCCAAGTCATCATACGCCGTCTTGGTAGCCTCCTGGGAGCTCACAGTCGCACACAGCCAACTCATCAAGTCAACGGCTGGAGACTCATCATAGTCGCGCAGACCCAGCTCGCAAAGCCGAGACCGCAGCTCCGGCGAGATGGATCCCAAGATGAGGATCCGGGCACAAGATTCGGCCTGGGCGTGGGCTTCTCTTGCGCGAGGCAGAAGCGGGCTTTTGTGCTGCGCAGCGCCGTCGAGGTGGGCGGAGAGGCGGAGGGCAGAGGCGCTGGCTCGGACGAGGAGCTGCCAGGATGGCCAGTTCTCGCTGCCCTGGAGCTTGTCGATGGCTTGGAGGGCTTGAAAGGTGCTGATGCTGAGAGATGGGGACATGGGATGTGGGGTGTAAGTGGTGAAGATGGGCATGGCGGCGCTACAACAAGGGGGTTGCACAGTTGACCCGGCAAAGTGGCTACACCCGTTGCGGTGGTTATGTTATATAGATGCCATTTCGAGGCATGAGCTGGTGGTTTTCGTTTTGCTCAATCGCTGCTGGGTTGCTGTGTTGAGCTGTTAGTCACACAGAGACAGATTGCTGTCCATCACTTTGTATAGGGGGTTTAGAGGTATGGACAGTAGAGATGAAGCGTAGAGATGCACAGATGCCCCCGTCGGCGGTGGCTTCGATAAAGAGACCTGTGTTGTCGTCCAAACTGGCTTGTTGGGTGAATACATGTATAAGCGTATATGCATACGACTGCTCGCGTGCCTTGCGGTAAACGAGGTGCGAGCATGAGTCGTACAGTGTTGCTAGATTATGCGAGGGAGATGAAACGCCCTCTATCTATACCTATAGTGCATGTATAAGTATATACCTGATACTATTACATATACGGGCATTAGTGATCTCTTTCAGCTGCGGCTGAGAAAGCAAACAGCCAACTTCCAGAAGCGAGGCCCGCTCGGCGCCGGCTTTGCTCAGACCGTTTACTGGCTGCCAAGTAATAACACATCATATGCAGGTATAAGCCACCACGCTCGCGGCACCATTCGCCCGGCCCCTTTGCCGTGACTCCAATGCGAACGAACGGGTGCGAGAAATGAGTCGGTTGGCACCAACAGGGGATGCCCAAATTTGAAAATTACGATTTGGATTTGCCAAAAAAGAAAAACATGGAACAAAAGAGAAGGTGGAGCGTACGTGGCTTGTCCATGCGCGCAATGAACAGCTGCTGCTGCATGTGCATTGCATTGGCGTCTTGGTCCTTGAGGAATCGAGATTGATGGGATGCATCGCCCGTGAAAAAAGCAAATAAGAAGTAGTAAAAGGAAACAACAAACAAACAAATAAATATTTGAACAACAGATAGCTGGTCTCAGACATGCAGCATCAAGTATGGCCAACTATTTTTCCTTTTTTCTTCTTCTTCTTCTTCCTTACTCGTTTCTTTTTCGCCCTACCGTTTTCCCTCCTTTTGCTCATGTTTCGGCCAACCCATTATTAGCTGAAGCCAAAAAAAGGGCCCTTGCGGATTTTTTGTGGCTTTTGTTTTTTCCCCATGACTTGCTTGCCTCGGACAAGTCCGTTGTCAATAATTACCACTGTATTACCACACCCTTTCCCGAGTGTTTTCCTGCTTTTTTAACTTCTTCCCAGTTGAAGCTTGAGCCGTTTGGCTGATGAATCAGTTCGTCCGTTTGACCCCTCCGTACTGTTTGGACTCCTGATGGGCCGGTCCGTCCTTGTCCCATCATCCAGTGTTGCAGCATAGCGTGTGTGAGAGTGAGAGTGAGAGTGAGAGTGAGAGCGAGAGCGAGAGTGAGAGTCAGAGTGAGAGTGACATGTCGAGATGCGAGGCCCAAATCTGGTGATTGATCATTGCACTACTACTAAGAAATAGCCGGCATAATCCTCCCATTTGCTGCTGCTGCCTACGGGACGGGCATCGCCTTCAGCTGGTTTCTTGTCCTGTTGTTTCGTCTTTTCGTCTGAACGCCCCTCTTCTTCTTCGTCTTCTTCATCTTCGTCTGGCTTCTCCGCCTGTGATTGATCCAGAGAAGAGTCTCCCGTCCATCAATGCCTCCGCCGCAGGGCTTCGGTTCCAGCCCAGGCTCCAACCCGGGTTCTGGTTCCGGCTCTGGCTCTGGCTCTGGCTCTGCTTCCGGCTCTGGCTGCGGCCTTGAGCCCTCCCAGCCGACGGCATTTGACATGCAGCAGTTTGCGAGACGGGAATCGATGCTGGCCATGGCCGTGAATCTCCCAGCGACGCTGTCTTCATCGCCGGCATCTTCAGCGCCTTCAGCTCCCTCAGCAGCAGGCCCGGCAGCCACTGTCACTACGCCGCTGCAACACCGCCTGCCGCCGCCGCGCCGACGTCCAGCTCCATCGTCGTCTTCGCTTCAGCTTCAACTCCCTGCTTCCTCCTCTGCTTCCTCTACCCTGGCTTTCTTTTCTGATACTGGTTCTGCTGCTGCTTCCACGTCCACTGCCGCCTTTGCTTCAACTGCTTCTCAGGCCTCGGCTTCAGCCTCAGCCGCCTCTAATACTACTGCTGCTGCTGCTGCTGCTGCTGCTGCTACCACTACCACCACTACTTATACTAGCATTCCACCTACCACGCCAGCTCGAGGACAACCTCGTCTGCCGTCGTTTGCTGTTGTTACTGCCGCGGCCGCTGCTGCTGCGGCTGCTGCTGCCGCCGCTGATTCATCTTCTGCTTCTTCACCTCCTCGGCCGCCTCTTTCGCCGCTTGATTCATCGCCATCGTCTGTCTCAACCTCGTCTTCCTCCTACACAGCCTCCCACCCAGTTCTGCCGCCGCTGCCCATCAACCTGCCGCAGGAGAGCTCTCCAACATACTTGCCCTGGACCTCGATACACCACCATTTCCCCGGACTTGACCCTCTTGTGTCGCTTTCAGCTCCTCTCAACAACAACATCAATAGCATCAATAGCAGCAGCGAGAACAGCAACAGCGGCAACATCGGCGCCGACGCCGACGTCAGCGACATCCCCGCCCACTTCAGCACGCCCTCCTTCAACCACTTCCCTGCGGCCTTGGTTGGATCGCAGCCCTTGTCCTTCTGGCCCGCCTATGAAAACCCCATCAACCTGCCAACGGCCTGGAACGAGTCTGCTCACGCCCTCGGCCACCTCGACGTTTCCACAGCCCTTGGCCAGGCTGTGATGGTCCTTCCACTATCACCTGCTCTCCAGTCATCGCGGCCGCCTGTTCCCCAGACCCAGTCAGATGAGGCCTACTTGCTGCAGGACTTTGACATCCACTCTGACATCGACGCCGATTTTGCGGACCGTCTGCGCGCTGAAAACCTGCGCGCTCGGGCTCGAGCTCTGTCGTCGACTTTGGCTACATTTTCGGCCACGTCGGCTTCTGCTACTGCTGCCACTGCTGCTGCTGCTGCTGCTGCTGCTGCTGCCACTTCCACTGCCCAGCGGCCTACGGCGCCCCGCCAGCGCCACCACCGCGCTACTCACAACCTGGCGTCGCCACCGGCCCTGCTCGACGGCTTCGCTCTCCCTCGAACCATCCCCGGAGCCTTCAACGGCATCTTCGACGAACCTGAGGATATTCCCAATTTTCCTTTTCCACCCCCCCTCGCCAGCACGACGCATCCGACCCTCTCTTCGCCATCCGCCACCATGCCTCCAGCATCCACGGCGCGGCGACGATCGCGGAGACAGACCATCACGTCCGAAACTCACCATGACCCGACCTCGACTTCGCCTTCAATAGGCGCCGCGCGCGCCAGCAAGCGCCAGAGGGTCGTGCCGTCTGGTGCCGACGCGAACGAGCAAGTCATAGATGACGATGACGACTCCTTGTTTGGCGACTCCAAATCTCTGCAGGGCGAGGATTATACGACGATTGACCTCACTGAGGCCACCGACGTTCCCGAAGAGCTTAAAAAGCCCAAAGTGGATAATAGAGTCAAGCTCTCCGGTTTCCAATGCGTCATATGCATGGACGATGTAACGGGATTGACGCTCACGCATTGTGGTAAGTCCCAGCCTCTTTTTACTTCCATCTCCATTACCTGGTTCTTGTGTTTTGCCCTTTCCGCTCTCTTCTCGCAAGTCAAACGCCACGCAGTCTGCTCACATTTTTTTTTTCTTGTGATTAGGCCACCTATTCTGCGCGCAGTGCCTCCATTCCTCGCTCAACATTGAATCAACAAGAGGCAAATGCCCCATGTGTCGAGCTAAGATCGACATGAAGGCCCGCGATACTTACACCACGAAGACGAAAGGGTATTGGCCGCTCGAGTTGAAACTGATGACGAGAACGCGCCAGGGCAAGCGAAAAGCTCAGGCCATGACTTAAACAAAAAAAACTTTACGAACTTTACGACCGGAGTTGATGCGTCTTTTATGTTTTTTTTTTTTTTTTTTTTTTTACTGCTTTTAACGGATATACCACCACGAACGACACTTTCACAGGCGCCATAACCACCAACCAGTTCATCTATATGCCCACTAGCATAAAAAACCACTTCAGAAGGCATGGTTCCAGCGGTACATTAAGGGACGGGGCGCAGGCGTATATACATACCATAAGTCTTTTTTTTTCTCTCTTTCCTCTCTTTCTCCATTGCTTCCTTCTTTCGTGTATATATTCTAGCCCTTCTTCACCGGCATTACCATTAGATATGTATTTAAAGCCGCCACGAATGGGACGTATAGTATTATTGTTATATTCCATTTGAGCTTACATATTGCATCTCTGTATATACATACCGCTTACTACAAGAATGGGAAGCAAAAATGAAAATACTGAAAAGAAGGAGTGGTTCATTACGCAACTGGTGACTTATCCATATTCAAATCCGCCGCAAAGTGATTCCGCTGACTTGTTTATCACATGAGTTATATCGTGAACAGCTGCCAAATTTGAGAATCAATATCACGCCATCACATGAACTCATCTGCAGCTACCATTTGTCTGTGGCCATGTCCCTACAACTCTACTTTGAAAAAATATCTATTTTGTCTTTCGGGTAAAGGCAGTTTGCTTTCTCTACCACCACCATCCTCCGCGATCCCCGTGAATCTTGTATGCTTCTTATATGTGTCTGTACAATTCCTTCCCATGCAAACGCCCATTATTTTCTCTCTTTCTCTCTCTCTTTCTCAATCAAGACAGAAAAAAAAATTTAAACCAAAAAAAAAAAGACTAAAATAGAAAACCAAAAGCACGTTTGCCATTATTGTGCTCTACATGTTCTAAATCGTATTAGAAAACTTGCCTCTCTTCTCCTCATCTCTCGTCTTAGTGGAAAAACCCATGTTCATGCGGCTTCGGCTCTGGTAGGATATCATTTTCAAACTATGAGAGAGGACAAATTAGCTTGCCAAATTCAAATTGGGGCTTTAATAAATAGCGGCCAGGATGTATCGTGACTTACCTCCAAGAAGTTTGTTGCGGCAATAACAACCACCAGTGCATCAGCAAGCTCTTCAATCTTCTCCTCCAAGCGCTGGCCTTCATTCCCAGTGCCGATGCCGGCGCTGCGCTTCAAGGCATGGCTCACGAGCATGCGGTGGTCTGTAAGGAACTTGCGTCCCTGGGTCACATTGTTGTTGCCGCGGCTTAGGATGGCTGCGCCGATGATACGGACAACCTTGGCTAGCAAGTCGTAGTGCTGCTCCAGCGCACGAGGGTTTGCTGCATCGATTTGCAGCTCAGGGTCAGCGGCAAAGAGCCCAGAGTTTTCGAGGGAGCGGAAAAGGTTGGCGTGAAGAATGTACTTGGCACCGATGCGAGATTGAGCTAGTTGGAGGATGATGGCGAGACGCGCATTTTGGAAGTTTTGTTGGTCTGTATTGTCTAGAGATGACCAAGGTTAGCACAAAGTCTCAAAGTCACAAAACTGGAGGAGAAAACGTACTGGATGCAAAGACGTCATGCCATTCTTGCATAATGTTCCGCAATGAGTCAATCAGGATACCGATGAAATTGAGCTTGTTCAGCGCCTCGACAACATAGCTCTTTCTCTCTCGGCTATCCATGTGGACCAAGGCGCCCAGGAAGATCAGGGCAGAGGTCTGGCATGCTGGCTCTCCGCAATATGCATCATCACAGACAACGTTGATAAGACGCTCGCCATATACCTGCACAGTCTTAAAGGTCTTCGGGCGGCTAGCAGCCAGAGGTCCATGATCCTCGGACATTCCAGTCAGATAGCGGTAGCAGATTTCGTAGTAAACTGATCTTAGTGCAGGTGAGCCTGCCCACTTGCCAATGGCCTGGAGACAGGTTTGGAAGAGCTGGTATAGCTTATCGCTGACCAAATTACCAATGGCTCTGCTGCTCTTGTCTTCAGTCGGGAGAGGTGAAAGGTCCAACTTAAACAGCAATACCCTCGCAAGCTTAGCTAGTTCCAGAGCCTCATCCGGACGGTCTGCGGCAAAGATCTCCAAGCTTGGCAAAATGGCTTGCAGTGCTTGAAGGAAGAATGACGTCTGCGCAGCGCCTTTGTAGTCGCAAGATTCTACCATGACAAGCAGAACCTTGATCCAGGATCGCAAGACTCGGAGGCAATGTGACCCAATTTGCTTCTGTCTATCGCACGAGATGAGATACTCCATTATTAATACCTCTTCTCTTTCGATGAGTGCCATATCATTGACTGCGATGACGGCCCCCTGTTGCGCTTCGCCTCTCTTTAGTAAGAGAATCTCCCGAACACGATCTATATTGTAAATCTGGTTGGCATCGGCGTCGTTCTCCAAGCAGCTGGTAAGATCCAAGTCCTTGTAGAATTGAATCGGCGGTGGGGTAATCTCCCAGAACCCATCTGGCAGGAGGAAGTCGAACAAATCAAATACAGTCGGAGTTTGAATCGTCTCGTTGTTCTCTACAACAATTTGGCCGTTGAGAGCATTGAATATGCGTCTCTTAACACCGGGCATGCGTGATTGGGCTATCTTGCAGAGTTCCATGGCAATGTACTCCAAACTCATACTTCGTAGTGTCAGAAATTCAACCAGTGTTACGGCCCCATCACTCATCGGAAATTGCGCGTTTCCAACATTTTGGCCTTCCCATAGTAAGTCTGGCTGAATGACGGTCTCGCGGGTAAGAAGATGAAAGAGCAGTTCATTTTCACGAAGCTCCCGGATAGCAATTGCTGATGATAGCGGCGAGGTCCAGAGGATGTTAAGTATGCGCATCACACGAGATTTGATGGCAATCAGCCATTGTCTCATGCCAAGGGCATCGCTAGAAGGAGACTCTAACAAAAGTCCCAATATACTGTGGAACAGCGAGGTACGAGACGCAAAAGCACTGTTGACTTCTACCGAAACGGAATCCAGTCCGCATTTGAAACCAAGCAGCAAGTGTGCAATGGTCGGCTCCTTCGGTGTCGTTCGAAGGCATTGGTATAAGAAATCCAGAATATAGAGCTTTGTTATGTAGAGGGGTGATTCTGCCCCGCTGCCCGCCTCGAGAGGCGTCATTACTTCAGCGATGAATGCTCGTGATATGGCTTCATGCTCTCCATTCGCTTCCATAGCAACGATTGCCTTATTCCGATGGACATGGCGACTACTTCCAGACCAAGCAGCTGTTATTTTGGAGGATGATGACATCTTCTCCAGCAGTTTCAAGCAAGCCAAAGTCAAGTCAGGATGACCTATGCCGCAGTATTTTCCCAGGTCAACGACTAAATTCAATCTAGTCACCAGTCCATCCTGGAATGAAGCATACGCGGCATTTGCAACAGGCTGCCTGCGTGGTCCCGGCTGGTTCTTAATCAATGGTCGGACAAGGTCGAGATACGTTGTTTCGAGATCAATAACCTTAGATATGACCTCAACAGCGCGCAAAACACCTAGAATAAGTGGTGAGTCTGGAGTCGCATTTCCAATGTCGGTAGACTTTTGATGGATGGTATTGAACAGAGCCGTCATAACTTTATCATTGAACATCCACTCCATCACCCGTGCGAAAGGATGCATCCTGACATATGTCGCTAAATCGGTGGTTGAGACCAAAGCGTCGATGGCAATATTTGTCTCGTTTGCTAAAACCAGCAGATCTTCATTGAACGACGTTAGACATGCAAGAATAAACTCCAGGCAGCTAAGACGCAGCACTCTTGTTTGATGAATATCCTGGAGATCCTGAATCTTGGATGAAAATACGAGGCCGATAACGAAATCGATATAAACCTCAATGCCGGGCGCTCGAGAACTGGCGCCGAGATTTTCAGGGAATGGTAGACCATCGTTCAGCGGACTCGAGTCGCTTGCCGGAGTAACGAGTTCCAGTAAGAGTTTGATAAAAGATTCGGGATCTTCGAAGCCATTACTCATTTCATCAAAAATACGGTCCATCGATACCACTGGTGCTGGCTGCTGTGATCGTATCGAACCTGCAGTGGTTGCACCAACAACATATCCCCCTGAGATCCAATTCTCCAAACACCTCCACATTGCATGGTTTTCTTGAAGGCTCTTGCGGCTCACCAGAGCCTTCAAAGCCAAGAAGACGCAGCCACGCAGCTGAGAAGGTATGGGGCTGCTGGCCAACTCGAATAGCATATCGACAAGATTATAGCCCGAATTTAGCAGCAGAAACTGTCTGGTAGTCTCACTTTCGCTCGCCAATTTAGTAATAAGGCGTAGATAGCACTCAAGCATCATGGACGACTCAGGTTCGGTTTCTATGACATCAGCAGCGGGTTTTCCAGCCCGAAATCTTACTGACTGTGTTGGAGCAGGCTTCTGCTTTATTTTGTCTGAGAAAAAGTCAAGCTCTTTGAATATTTGAGTCCAGGTCAGGGATTGTGTCCTTCTCATCTTTCCGGATGAATGATGGCCTTCGTCTAAAAGGAACTCGTGTGCAGCGGTTGCACATTCGTCATTCACGGAGATAGCTTGAAGCATTTCGCAAAAGGCTGCAACTAGGGGTGTAGAGGCTCTTCTAGAAGCCCAATGCATAAATCCAGCGAGATTGCTGTCTGGATCTTGCCAAAAGTTTGAAGACGCCTCAGGCCGTCCTTCGTAGGCGTATGCAATAATCAGTAGGAATCTCTCCAAATCCAAGTCTTGCTCATGTGTCTGGCTGAGCTGGCGCTGCTCATCTTCCTCCACTCTAAGTTTTCGGAGGACGTCAGGTAAGTTAGTTATAAAAGCATCGACAAAAACCTCCAGCTGTGACATGAGACATAGCTGGAAGAAGCTCGAAAACTGAGTTCGTTCGGAGACCAAAGGTGATGATTTCCTTTGTAGCCATTTGCGCATGCCAGCCCGGACGGAATCATGCCAGTCTGGGGATCGGATGTCTCCAGCTACGGAGAGCATGAAATCGAACGCGCCATCTTTGAGGGAATCTAAGAACTGCTTTGACCTCTGACGATCCTCTGGAGTTGAGTTAGTTAAGTTCAAGTTAGGCAGCCATTCAAAGCTCATACCTTCATCTAAATCAATGCCTGGCGGTATAGCAGATTCGGGAGGATCATCTAGATACCATCCACTGTATTCTGCAAGCCACCATGCACGAACCGTTGCATGTAGAAAGGGAAGCGGCCAAGTCGAGTCGTCTGCAGGAGGGAAGATTTTTCTATTAATCTCTCTGCCCTGCCTTAAGTCGTAGCCTCCCTCAGATGATGCGAAAACAGACATGTAGGCACCGATTGCCGGGACAAGGTGAACTATTATTTGGGGTAGATTTGCATTAGCTAGGCCATCCGCATCGTTGATTTCCAAACTTGTCAACACTTACCTAATAGCGTATCATACTTGTCCCATTTCTTTAGTACAGAGATAAATTCTAGGAAATCTGGTGTTTCGGCTTGTCCTTTATCGATACATTCGCACAGGATGACTCCCAGAGCCTCATGCTGCTGCACCAGGCTCACGCGAGAGAATTCCACGGTTTCCAGCTCTTCGGGCAGATCATCCGTAGGCACGTTTCCTAGGGTCTGAGCAGCTGTTATTTTTTCTCCCAGCTTTTGTAACCACATTTTGATTTCCGCCATCGCGTGTAAACATCTCGGCGCAAGACGTTTCGAGGCGTCGGAACTTTTTCGTAGGACACGGGTATCGACATAAACTTTGATGGTCTCCAACGCGTTCGGCTCTTCTCCATCATAATCCATATTGTTCAACTCTAAAAACAGCCTTAGAGAGTCCAACACGTATTTCCGTTGTTGGTGGAATCGAATCACGGCACATTCGAGGAGCGACCGTCCTAGCACGGAGACGTCATCCTGAGAATCGAGGAGGTATCTGACAGCGTCCAACTCGTCGAGGTCGATCTCGTCTGATATGGCAAAAACGTCTTGTTGAAATCTGTCGTTCAACGAGTACTCGTTGCCGTCAATTGAAACCTTGCCTAGATGTTGTAAGCTGCTGTCGTTCCTTTCCTGGTCCGTGGATGATGATGCATCATACCGCTCCTCACCGCACTGCGGCTCTTTTCATTCTTCTTCTGGCGCTCCCATAGCCTCTCCAGCTCTTTCTCAAAGATTTCAAAAAGAAGTTCATTGTTCAAGTTGTCAGAGCTGCTGCCACCACCGCTGCTCAGCGTTAGCAGTTCGCGGTGGAGGGCCTGGAGGGCATCTAATGTCGTAATCTCGGCCATATTGGCAATCGGAAGCTATCGCATATTGGAATTAGAAGACGTTGCTATAAGGGGAGCCGCCCAGAAGCTCCCAACGCGTAAATCGGTGCGCGGCCGTAAGAAAACGGCAGTGTTGGTGGATTGCAGCTTCAGGATTGTTACGATTTTGGGAGATTTGCAGCCTTGTCTTGGGCAGTTTGGGCAGGCGGTGAAGATTTTGCCGCGATGCAGCTCTCAGCCGCTCAAGTAAATAAAGCTAGTCAAGGCGCCTCAGAACTGCAGGCCACTCTAGGCAGTAGTGGGCCATTTGCAACATGGGGAGCCAAAGAGTTGCCAGAGTGAATTATTCCTGTTAATTGGACGTGTACAAGAGTTTTTCTTTTTTTCTTTTTTCTTTTTTTGTCTCGGTTTATTATACAGAAGAAAGGCCTCTTTTTTTGTGATGACTCCTGTCGTGACCACTCATTCTTCTTCCGCAATACTATTCTATTTATGAGCTCTCGTCGCGACGCGAACTGACGTCCATCTCATATGTCTATGCATCTCATACGCATCAACTGGAGTCCAAAATAGCAACATTCATTGCATCATAGATTTAGCGACTTGAATTTTCGCCATGTCCTCTCATGGGCAGAGTGTCATGGACTTGGCGAGTGCGTTTATCCTACCTACCCTTATGTGAAGCTCGCTAATCATCACTGTAGGGAAAGTGAAGTCAGGCGGCGTCAAAGAGCAGGAGAAATCCGTAGATAGTATGTGAATATTTCTACCTAATCCATTTAGCAGCTGATATTAATACCCATCTCAAGGCCTGGCCCAGCTTCTAAATCCTCGGAATGCATCTACGAATCTGTACGGCTGCTTTCCCCGTGTAAATGATGTTTGATAGCGCTAACATTATGCTCAGCTCTGACCTGGGAGATAAAAGTTATCACGAGATATTTGAAGCCATATTCGCCTTCGTACTCAAGGAAAAGCCTGCTTACTATGACAAGAAAAAATCACAGGGGCTTGTCGTAGCCCGATTGTCAAAATGTGCCGTCGCAGTTAGGATGGCAGCAAGTCGCGGCGCCTCCAAGATAGGGCGGAAGACACTGCTCGCCGCCATAGATCACATCACTCAAACCTTGCCTGGTCCTGATGATGACTTCGTACGGCCGCTGCTCCACGATTATGTCAAGGCCCTTACGGAACTTATATCTCGACAAGTCAACGCCGAGCTCTTAGCCAGAAAGGGTGCAGAAACTTGGCAAGACTGCGTTGATTTGTTTCTCGATATTGCTCTTAACATTCTCCCAAATGAAGCGAACACAGCTTCATTACCCCACGCAGCAAGGTCTTCCCCCGCACCAACAACCTCTTCGTCTCGATCTGTGCCTCGATCAAATTCATCTCTGCAAGCCCAGCGCCACACTGCTCCGGGTGAAGGAGGCCCATTGAAGGATACTCTTGAAGGTCTCTTCTACTTGGTATCGGCAGCCAATGCTCCTATCCTTCAACGAATGCAAGATATTACCGACCTTGCCCTGAGGATACTGAGTATTAAGCATCTCAGCTTGGGTTCTACGCAGACGCTCTGCTTCTCAATTATCAACACTGTCTTTCGTGCCATTGAAGCAGATAACCTGGACGACGCAGTTACGTTGGCGAAGAATGTTTTGCCCCATATGGGCTACTGGTGGCGCCCAGAAAAAGCCTCTCAGGACGAGCTCATCAAAGGCTTACGGAATGAGATATTACGGGGTATAATCCTCATGCATCTACATTTTGAGCACCTCGCCGTCAATCTTGGGGATAAAATCGTACGCAGTGAGCTGGAGAATCTGGTGGACCCGTTATGGCTAGAGTATTCTAGGAGAGGTGAAGCGTTTCGGCTACAGCTTAGTGATTTGACCTTCGGTCCCTCGGCTTCAGGAGGGCCAGCCATGCAACTTGGTCTATTAAGACTCAAACCTCACAACGTTGAAGGAGAGAGCCACTGGGCCATTGTACAGAATCTCGCTTACTTGGAGGCGATTTTACTGCGATCTAGAAAGGCTGTCGCCGAGCAGGATGTGGATAATAGAGAGCAGCCTCGCAAGAGGAGACGAATCAATCAAGATCCAAATCCCATCAGAGTCAAACTCAAGTCAGAAGAAGCTGGCGTCGTTCGAACTGCCTTGCAGCTAGTACCATTTATGCTGGCGACCAACACTCTAAGCCATAGCGAAATTGATGAGCTTCTCGGAGACCTCTCTCACTTTGCCGGAGGCAAAAACACCATCACAGCGTCTTGGGCTCTAATCGCTTGCGCTAGGTAATACTCACTACGGCTCACTTTTGCTCTGTGCTAATATTCTATAGCTGTGCACTTTGGTCCAAAGAGTGTCGACTCCAGTATGACACATGGAAGCAAATATGGCATTCGGCTGCCCGATCAATCAGCCTACCAGCAACGAGTCGCGCTGCGTGCCTTCTGATACATTGCGTCATAGAAACTGACATACTGCCATATCATAATCTAGCAGACGACATTAACAACATTATTACAACAGCTGACATCAATGGACCAGGCGTCATATGTGACACGTCTCTTGCTTTAATGTCGCATTTATATCACGTTCGTAACTCCAGGCTGCCTAGCGCAAGCCAGAGTACATCAAGTTACATTATCAGATGGATTTTCTTGCGATGGAATCCGAGTATGTTATAATCCCAAACCGGTATGTGGTATCTACTTACTAAATAATCCTAGGCGAGTTGGCATATTCATCGTTCCAATCTGCCCATGTACGACCCATTGACCTCGTTAACCTCCTACATTTGTGCTGCGGAGCCCAGCCCCTTAGTACAAGTCGCCAAGATATTGCATCTGGTGGTTTGTTGGGCGAGGCATGGATATCCCAACGAGAGATCGGAGAGTTCAATGAATACCTCCTCTTATTAGGGCATGAGACAGCTGATGTCATCTCTCACGAATGTTGCTATTTATCAGCCAAGGAAGCTCTGCCTCTCACAGCAGATACTAGCATCTTCTTTACTTTGAAGAAGCTCGTCTTAGAGCTTCTTTATCCCAAACTCGAAGAACTGAAAGAGTTGTGCATCTCCTGGACCAAAAGAGCTAGTGACGGTGGGAGCCAAATTTCAGCTAACCGATTTCAAAGCCTTATATCTGCATGCATAGTAGGAACGCTATTGATGCCCCATCTTAAGGATCTCAATTCTACTCAGTCATCTTCTATAGAGGCTCTCTTATTAGATTTAGCTGAGAGAGCTCTTTCAGCCGCACTGAGTTCAGTAGAGCCTACAGCATTTATCGGCCTGACTCTAAAAGAGCTGAGATCATGCATACCCGAAATCAGCACCGCAAATCTGACCCAGTTATTTGGAGAAAGCTCCGGAATTCTCAATCTTCTCTCCAAGATTTCTGAAGTTATAGAGCAGCGACAATCAAGTCAGCGCTCTGGAATCCACGCAGATATCATGGACATAGACGACGATTTCGATTCTTCTACCAGCCAAGCTATTTCTTCATCGAACACTTATTCGGTCCCAAGGCACAATGCCCAGCTCGGCCTAAATGCTCAAGCATTTTACATTGATACACGACTCCGATTGGTCCTCTTGAGACTCATTAATCAGGATAGCAGTCAGCTGGGGTTATTGCCTAACTCATTTGTTGACGATCTCTTAGCACGGTCTGACGATGAGTTCCTCTCATGCCAGCGTCTCTTGATAGAGATCGTCAGATCTGACCTTGTTGTTACTACGGAAGCATCATTGGCAATTGTCGAGAGGCTTGGGAAAATAGTAGGGAACCCAGAGTTTCAATCCTGCGAAGTCGCGCAAACCACCTGCATTGAGGTAATCGACGGTCTCAGCAACGTCTGGATCCAAGATAACCAAAACCTGGCAGATATGGTTGGCGACCTATATGTTCATTTCGTCAAAGTCTGCTTTCCTTCTAATATTCTCTCTCCAAAAACTCAAATGTCACTTGCTCGTTTATTATTCACTCTGCTACGAATTAACCCAGAGTATGGAAAAAAACTGAAGCTTGATTCGTGCCGAACCTCGCTGCTCTTGATAATGAAGAAGGGTTCAATGAAAGTCAAATGTTTTATTGCAGAAAGAATAGCAGACATATTCGAGCTATACATCTTGATGCTGCACGAGGATGTTTTTCTAGATATTCTGGACAACCTCCCGACAGATGCTGAGAATAAAGCAGGCATCGCTTTCCGCCTGCTCGTACTATCAAAGATAGCTTGCAGCTGGCCTACTCTCCTGAGAAGGTGTGCCTATCATATTTTTGAAACCCCAGGCAATATATCTCAGTCAACAGACTATGCAAAGCGATGTTTAGCGGATATCTCAGTTGTTCTGAACCTCAAGACGCCGGCAGAGCTCTTTCAGCTATTTTCTCGCCAACTTCTATATACTTGGCTAGAAGTTAATACAGTGGAAAACATTCCTTATTCAATCTTTGGATATACTAGCCTCGGAGAGCTGTTGAAATCTGCACAGGCGGAAGCAATTGGACTGGCAACAATGCGAGGACAGGATGCTGCAAGCGCAGAAATAGCCCGCCTAGTCGGCATACCAGAAACCCAACTTATCCAACAAAACTTTGCAACCTCGTTAGCATACGGCTTATTGCATACATTGACAGAGAATGCAAGCCAAGACAAGACAAAGGGGGGAGAAAAGACAAAGGTGGAAGAAAAAGTAAGAGGGGAAGATCGCATTAAGGGAAAGCTAGGTTCCAAGATCTTTATTGACTCAGCCTATACTCATTTCATCGACATCGTCGCGCTCTTCTTTGACCTAATTGATCAAGAAGACTCTATCGAAAAGGTCTTCTTAAGACAAGCTCACCTCAAATATGCAGGCGAAAACATGGCAGCGATCAAGGCAATTGCCCATTCGCCAGCTATCCTTCCGCCAAATCAGCAGCCCATGTTCAGAGCGAAATTTGTGTTCAACGAACTTGTTCGCCTTTGTCAAAGCACTGAGTTTCAGTTTCACGACCTTTGGACACCGGCCGTTGTAGCTGCGATTGCTCGAAAGCTATTCAATACGGTACACCCAGCACTTGGCTCTCTTCACGCATGCTCTGTTCTTCGCAAAGTAAGGATATTAGTGTGCTTAGCCGGACCAGTTGCTTGGGAATCATACTGTTTAGAAATGTTATTGACCTCCATTCGAAGCTTCATTGTGGATTCCGAATGCGCAGATGATGCTCTCGGGATTAGCCAGTATTTACTCTCCCGGGGGAAGACATACTTAGCCCAAGTTCCCTCGTTCCTTGCTGGCTATTCTCTGTCAGCTTTGGCATCGCTTAGAGTCTTCCTCGAATCCAGTCAGTCGAGTACTACGCAAGAGAGCCAATTCAAGGCTACCATGAGTAAGGCGCAAAAGTTTCACGAGTGGTTTAGTCAGTATCTAGCGGATTATACCTCTCCGAGATTCGAAAGCCAGCCACAAAACGACTTATTCAAATCTATCACCATGTCGGCAGCTCATATACGGTCTTCTGGCAATGCAGAGAAAAACACTTCAGAAAGCAAGCTTCTTTTGGATATCCTGAACGATGAAATAGCGGGAAGCCAACTTCTCAATGAGTCTTCACGACAGCTTGCACTTGGTCTCCTCTGTGGCGATTTTATGATCCCGACGCATATTAAAGATGATGTTTTGGAAAGTGACCAACATGCGATTAACCATGCTTCAGCGGTGTGGAAAAGCTGTGGAGCTCAAAATCTCAGCGAAAATTACTTGGCTTGGGCAGGACGAGTTGTTGGTCGTTCATTCCTAGCATCTGGAAGCATTCCTGGCGACATATTACGGGAGTCACGACTCGACCAATATGAGAAGATAGCGCCGGGGCCCCATGGATCCGAAATGGGACTCTTACATCTCCTGCAAGACCTTACAACGAATCCAGACTCAATCACTGCAGGGTTGGCTGAAGCTACATTGCGAACTGCAATATCACGAGCAGTTGTGGAAGATGATGCTCCACTCGTCACAGCAGGCCAGCGAAGTCTGTCCGAGTCGCTTTTCCTTGCATCACAATGGGGATCGTACAGGACCCCCCCTTCAGAAACTACTCCGGTCGACAGTGACCAGTTTACGTGGACTGAAGATATCACATCGAAAAGCTGGCTACCTCGTTTGAGTGCATATCTTGCACATGCAGTATCAAGTTCAATTCTTCTCTCGGTGCTGTCATCGGGGCTCCTGAATGTCAAGGGATTTGCTGAGAAATCTTTTCCTTTCATTGTGCATCTGGTGCTCTACTTTCAATTAGAGCAACAACAGGCGACTAAGAAGTTGCTGTCAAACGCGATGAAACAATGGCTAGGATCAACTGACCAAACAGCTAAAGAGAATATCAAGTTATTGATTAACACGATTCTTTATCTCAGGACCCAAGAATACCCTAAGGAGTCATCTATAGTAGATCGACTGCATTGGTTGGATATAGACTACGCTTTAGCAGCATCGTCCGCAACTCGATGTGGAATGCACAAGACAGCTCTCCTCTTTGCCGAAATAGCCGCATCAGAAACTTCACGCACATCTCGAAGGGCTTCTGTTGCCAAAGAAGCCGATATGAATGAAACTCTATTGGCAATTTTTGAGAATATTGATGATCCAGATGCGTACTATGGCTTAACGGAGGAAGCAAGCTTATCGAGCGTCCTGTCCCGTTTGGAGTACGAGCAAGCTGGCACAAAGAATTTAGCTTTTAGAGGCGCTCAGTACGATAGTCATATTCGCTTACAACAGAATACTTCAGAAGCGGACGCGAATGTACTCGTTAAGACATTGGGCACGCTAGGATTGGCCGGTTTGTCTCATTCTCTAATGCAAACACAACAGAATCTCGGTTCGACTGCAGCCTCCATAGAAAGCACGTTTCAAACTGCCCGAAGACTTGAAATATGGAATCTCCCTGTGCCGGCTGCAAGCGATCATCATGCTGTTGTCACTTATAAGGCATACCAGATTATGCAACAGGCAACGAGTCTGGCAGCGGTCCGAACGGCTATTTATGACGGTTTTGCTCGTACAATGAAGAGCCTAGTTGGCGGCAGTCGCAACGCAACGGCACTGAGAAGCCGCCTTGGGGCTTTGGCAGCGCTTTCTGAATTGGATGAGACTTTGAATATTTCAGATGTGGCTGAACTGGAAGGCTACATGAATCAATTTCAGGGGCGCAGCCAATGGATGAAGAGCGGCTTGTAAGACTTTTTTTCCCCTTTCTCCAGAAGTGAAGTCATCGTTACTAATTCACGTACAGATACGACGATGTCAGCCAAATCCTCTCTTGCCGAGGAACAACAATGAGCCTATTTAGCCAACGAGCATTGTGTCTGGGATATACCACGTTTCCTATAGCAGCCATTAGGCAAACGGAAATTAAATCAATGCTTCTCGCATCAAGCATTTACCGATATCACCAAGCCACACAAGAATCCTTAAATATTTCAACAGCTCTAAACGACCTTATCAAGCCATGCGAAGCTTTGGGTGTTCATATTGACGTGGCTGTTACGATCGAAGTGGCAAACTCATTGTGGGACTACGGAGAAATGAGTTCATCGATCAAAATGCTTCAAGGCATTGACAATGTTACAGCACTTAAGAAGCAAGCAATACCCGTGAGCCGATCTGACCTCCTTTCGAAAATTGGTCATAGGATGTCTGTCGCACGCCTGGAGAAGCCCCGAGATATACAAAAGAAATACCTAGAGCCAGCGCTCAAAGATCTTAGAGGTAGCGTTGAAGCAAAAGGAGCAGGTCTGGTGTTTCATCAATTTGCTGTGTTTTGCGACGAGCAGCTTCAAGATCAGGATAGCTTGGAGGACCTCAAACGACTACAAAGCTTAAAGAAGGGCAAGAATAATGAAGTCGAAGACCTGAAATTACTGATCTCATCTACTAAAGACTCACAGCTCAGAGCCAAATATACGCACGTTCTTTCCAAGGAAAAGCAGTGGCTCGATCTCGATGAGCAAGAGCTGCGCCGTGTTGAAACGACGCGGAGTGAGTTCGTTCGTCTGAGTCTAGAAAACTATCTACTCTCGCTGGCCTCTTCAGATGAGCATAATAACGATGCCCTGCGATTCACAGCACTGTGGTTCGAGAGGTCAGATGACGAGACGACAAATAAAGCGGTGGGATGGCACCTCGCTAAAGTACCGACAGCCAAATTCGCAGGCCTTATGAGCCAACTCACATCACGGCTACAGAACCAAGATTTGACGTTCCAACAGCTCCTCGCAGATTTGGTTTACAATATTTGCGTAGACCACCCATACCATGGCATGTATCATATCTGGTCTGGTACCAAAGCTAGAGTACAGCAAAAGGATGAAGTGGCGATTCTTCGCGTTAGGGCCAACGAAAAAATTGCGCAAAGGCTTGCAAGTACAAAAGCTGTCGCTGATGCGTGGGTCTCGATTGAGAAAACAAGCAAATACTATCATGTGCTTGCTCTAGATAGAGATCCTGCAAAGTACAAATCCGGAGCAAAGGTTGCGTTGAAAGATTCCACGGCAGCCAAGAATTTGGTGACTTACCTGACCAAATTTCACATACCTCCACCGACAATGCATATCGAGGTCAACGCAAACAAGGATTATTCTAAAGTACCCATGATCTCGAGGCTTGAACCAACAATGACAATCGCGTCCGGAGTGAGTGCGCCGAAAATCATCACTGCTATTGGAACAGATGGTATGAAATATAAGCAGCTGGTAAAGGGCGGCCAAGACGATCTTCGCCAAGATGCTATCATGGAGCAGGTGTTCGCGGCCGTCTCATCTCTGCTGAAACTTCATAGAGCTACCCGACAGAGAAATCTAGGCATTCGAACATACAAAGTGCTTCCGCTTACAGCCTCCTCTGGGTTGATCGAGTTTGTCCGTGACACAATTCCCCTACACGAATTTCTCATGCCAGCACACGAACGGTATAATCCTCGTGATCTTAAGGGCACCCAGTGCCGGAAAGAGATATTCAACGTCCAGAACAGGACGGTGGAGCAGCGTATCAGCACTTACAGGAAAGTCACTGAAAGATTTCAACCTGTTATGCGATATTTCTTCATGGAGTACTTTGTGGATCCCGATGAGTGGTTCGCAAGAAGGCTAGCATACACGCGAAGTACAGCAGCTATATCGATGCTTGGTCATGTACTAGGTCTGGGAGACCGTCACGGCCATAATATCCTTCTGGATACCAAAACCGGAGAAGCCGTCCATATTGATCTGGGTATCGCGTTTGAGACAGGCAGGATCCTGCCCGTGCCGGAGCTTGTACCATTCCGCCTTACCAGAGATATTGTAGACGGCATGGGAATAGCCAAGACCGAGGGTGTGTTCCGTCGGTGTTGCGAATTTACTCTTGATGCTCTTCGAGAAGAGCAATATTCAATCATGACGATTCTGGATGTCTTGCGGTACGATCCTCTGTACAGCTGGTCGGTCTCGCCGGTGCGGCTGGCGAAGCTCCAGAAGGCTCGCCAGGATGGTGATGGAGCGATTGACGACGCGGTTCAAGCAGACGTAGATCCAAAGAAGGGGAAGAATCCCGCAGGTCGTCTGAATGAGCCGTCCGAAGGCGATCGAGCCTTGGAGGTTGTGAGGAAGAAGCTTTCAAAGACATTGAGCGTGACTGCCATGGTCAATGATCTTATAAATCAAGCAACAGATGAACGAAATCTTGCAGTATTGTATTCTGGTACGTATATCTGAAAAATTCGTTCTATTTCAAGCTTTGACTACATCGTACTGACTTTGAATCATAGGGTGGGCGGCATATGCGTAAAGGACGGAACATGTACATCTTAACGAGTGGACATGGGGACTTACTGTTGGCAAATGTGAATTACTAGTTGTAGCCAGGTTGTGGAATATGGAAAGGGGCTAAATTGTACATTTCTTGATGTGGATAATATGATATAGTGGTGATTTGCCAGTACAAATTATATGGCAGCGATGATATGGGAGTTATAGGAAGATAACCACACCGACTACATAATGTTAGAGGCTAAATCACTGTAGATATTATACCAACCACTACCAAAGCCAATAAATAGAGCGACACTAATGAATAAAACTATCTGATCCACGGCTATTTGGATTATACATTGATCGTGACCCGGAAGCGCCAGTATCAGAGCATGTACCGCTTATTAATAGAACTGCAGCGCTATAAGAGGCCCGCTATGGCGCGCGTCGCAGGCGCCAGGCGCGCTGGAGACGGCTGGTAATCAAGTGTCCTTATCGCGGGGCGTCTCCTCCATCCGCCCATCCATCATGACATAATAATAGCCACTTCCCAAACTTCGACCCAAAAACCGCAAGTCCAGTCCCACTCCCGATTATTTGATATCCCCCGGCCATTACGCATCCAGCTACTAGCAACCACCACGACCTCCTTCCTAGCACCGATAACGTGCCTTCGTGCCACCAACCTCGGCCCGTATCACGAGCCATCGACAGACAACAAAGCGGCAGCTCCAGCCGGGGTGCGATTGCTAATCGGCGTTCATGCAACCAGCGACAGTCGACCCGGCTTCTTCCTCTCGCCGCCGTCCACGCGTGTCCTCGTCCTCGTCACCCACGTCGTCTCCATCAGCAGCCAAGAGACCCCGGTTCTCCGATAGCCTGGCCATGGCCAGCGTCTCAGCGAGGGGCAGGATGCCCGACATCATCGACCCGACGAAACGTCAGTCGGCATATCAGCCTCACAGCGGAGCGCGGAAGCTTGTCATCAAGAACCTACGCAGTCCCGTCCACCACGAAGCACGAATCCGGGAGTACTATGCGCGGACGGAGAGGGAACTTGAGGGAGCGCTGGACGCGATCTTCAACAGCCGGACCCCGGCCATTCCGCTTGAGCGGCTCTACCGCGGCGTCGAAGATATGTGCCGAAAGGGAAACGCCGATACAGTGTACAAGACGCTCAAGGACAAGGTGGATAGCCATCTGAAGAATGTGGTCCTGCCCAAGATACAGAGCGCAGCTAGGATATCCAATCTCGACGTGCTGAGGAAAACGCTGGCGGAATGGAAGACATGGAATGCTCAGACGGTATGACTATTTTCTTTATGGAGACATGAACTTTGATATAACAGCATTGCTCACACATTCGATGTCAGATTCTTGTCAGATCGACCTTTAGCTATCTAGACCGCACATATCTGCTCCTCAAGTCCTTACCATCAATAAACGACATGGCTATTACACGGTTCTGCCGAATGGCCTTCTCATCGCAAAATTCAGAATCTAGCCCAAATATTGGTGCCGAGCTTATCTCCGCGATATGCGAGTTGATCAACTTCGATCGCCGGGGAGATAATCGGAAAGACTCCGAGCTGCTCAAAGACTCTATCATGATGCTTTATGTGCTGGGTGTGTACACAAAACATTTCGAACCCGTATACCTAAAGCAATCCGAGGCATACTTTAGAGAGTTTGGAGAAACCTGTAGCCCTCTGAGCCTCAAAGAGTACATCGAAGCTTGTGAGCGGCTCCTGGAGCGCGAAGATTACCGATGCATGGCGTACAACCTGGACAGTACAACAGAGAGGCAGTCGATGTCGTTGGCGCATAATATCCTGATTGATAAATATTCTGATAAGCTTCTGCATGGAGGAAGTTTGTCTAATCTGTTAACTGATCGAGATGTAAGGTCTCTGAAGGGATTATATGACCTTCTCCGGCTATCGGGAATACAAAAGAAGTTAAAGACACCGTGGAGTGATTACATCCGAGAAACGGGGGCTTCAATAGTATCTGACAAGAACAGAGGCGATGAAATGGTGATTCGCCTCTTGGACTTACGGCGAGCGCTAGACTTGACCATTCGCGATGCATTCAACAAGGACGAAGATTTCCTTTGGGGAATGCGCGAGGCATTTGGTAAATTCATGAATGACCGGAAGATAGCCGATTGCTGGTCTTCAGGCACATCGAAGATTGGCGAAATGACGGCGAAGCACATCGATATGTTACTTCGTGGTGGTATAAGAGCCCTTCCCAAGGAGCTTCTGTCCGATGTCAAGGATCGAGCTGCGGCAGAGAAGGCGGGGCATGCCAGCAGCGCAGATGAAGACGCTGAGCTGGACAGGCAGTTGGATCAGGCTCTCGAACTTTTTCGATTTATCGAGGGCAAGGACGCCTTTGAGGCCTTTTACAAGAAAGACTTGGCTCGTCGTCTTCTCATGGGTCGCAGTGCTAGTCAAGATGCTGAACGAAATATGCTTACCAAGTTGCGAGGAGAATGTGGTTCTAATTTCACCCATAACCTGGAGCAAATGTTCAAGGACCAAGAGCTTGCTAAAGATGAGATGGAGGCCTACAAGGAGTGGTGTGAAGGCAACCCTGACCGCACTGGCAAGGTGGATCTGCAAGTTATGATTCTGTCAGCTGCTGCATGGCCGACATATCCCGATGTCAGGCTGAATCTGCCGGGTGAGGTGGCTACACGCACCGAACAATTCGAGAGACATTACAAAAACAAGCACACAGGCCGAGTTTTGACATGGAAGCACTCACTCGCACATTGTTCTGTCAAGGCAACCTTCCCTAAGGGGGCAAAGGAGCTCTTGGTATCGGCATTCCAGGCTGCTGTGCTTTTGCTCTTCAACGATGTCTCTGCAGACGGATTCCTGGCGTATGAGCAAATCTCGGCGGCCACTGGCCTCCAGGGGGGTGACTTGGACCGAACACTTCAGTCGCTGGCCTGTGGAAAGGCGCGTGTATTGACAAAGCATCCAAAAGGCCGCGATGTGAATCCCACGGACACATTTACTTTTAATAAGGCCTTTACCGACCCCAAATATCGTGTTAAGATCAACCAGATCCAGTTAAAGGAGACCAAGGAAGAAAATAAGGCTACGCACGAGAAAATCGCCCAAGACAGGCGCTTTGAGACCCAAGCGGCGATTGTGCGTATCATGAAGAGCCGCAAGACAATGGGCCACGCAGAATTGGTGGCCGAAGTCATCAATTTGACCAAGAAGAGAGGCAGTGTCGAGCCGGCCGCTATTAAGAAGGAGATCGAGAGGTAAGAACGAGATAACATAATAAAGGAAAGGGAGTCAGATGAGCTAACTGCTGCAATAGTCTAATTGAGAAGGATTATCTTGAGAGAGAGGAGAACTCTTACACTTACTTGGCATAAGAAGACTTGCAATTGAGTTGTCTAGACGCAACTTTGGTTAGATGCATTGATTTGACACTGATAGAAAAGGGCGAATGGACCAGATGATTGTTACATCGATACAAACCTAGATTCAGCAAGAGCTCCTCTAGGCATATAATTTTTACGATTCTATGACGATCCCCATGACCTAGCTTCCCCTAGCTATTCGCTGGCGTGTGTTACCTTCGTATATAATCTGTAATATCTGTGTTGTACTTTTGTGGAACTTGAATTTTGGGGATGTTCAATGCGAGTCAGCCTGTCAATATCTGGAAGAAAGACAGCTGGATGAAGCGAGACATGGCTGTGTGACAAAATATTTCGCCCCTTTCATCTCAGCCCATCAGGTGCTAGGACCTTATGACGGTGAAGTATGAACAAAGTGGCGTTATGCCGGAACATAGTTGGTCAAACTCGGGAAGAAAGCCTTCGAGGCACTCCCCTGGGCTAAACCTAGATACGGATAAGATATATGTCGGCAACAAAGTCTAATGGATATATACAGGTATCCAAATACAAGGCACAAGGGGTTTTTACTTCAATGTTTTAGTCATACGTATGACCGCCCACGTCAAGGATGCAAGATTCCGCTTGAGCTCAGATTCCAAACGCTGGCGTAGGACAGGTATTACCTTCAAGTTATCAAGTCTATGCGTGGTTCACTTGACGAAAATATATTAAGCTCTATCTGCCGTAACACAGTAGCTGTGTGCTAGGCTCTTGTTTGAGGCTGCGCGACAAAAAAAAAATAATGATAAAATCTGATTGGCTCCCTCTTTTGCATTCTACCTTGAGTTACTACGCCTCTCATTGATAAGGAAGGCTTATGTTGGTATGAAATGGCAATTTTGAGAAAGCCTTGGCCTCTCTCGGTATGTAAGTGGCCTTTGCTGAACAATGATTCGGGCGCAAATTAATGACGTATTTTGATTACAGGGGTCACGAGGTGAGGCTTTTTGAATAATGAGGCATCGTGTACTCAACTTTGTAGGCAAATACCTAGTCGACATTCACATGTTTGGCTCGATACCGATAGCGTCAGAATGAGGCGACTAGCTGCATCTTGAGCTAGGGAACAGCGAGGCTTTCAAGGTCAGTGTATATGTTTCCCCCCTCACCGACAATCATTTCCCGCGTGTGATACCGGGCATCTTCATCGTGCTCAACAACATACGTGGCAGTCGAAAACCTAGTGGATGGCAAGCCTTGCAAAACTAAAGCGAAATGCAAACATCCCGCTCAAAGAGGCGTACTGGGAACAACCGTAGAAACGTCCTTTGCTTTGGATTTTAGGTCTCAGAACCAGGTATCAATAAAGTAAAAATAACATGTACCATCTGCGTAACTGCTAGTGCGGATGCACGAGGTTCTCCCTGCCAGGGCGAGGAGGATTTCAAACCAGATCCGTCTTGCTCACCGAAATCTCACGGTTACCTAATTGAGCACCAGCGGCATACATACTTCGACAACACCAAACAAAGCGTGTAAGTGACGGGTCTTAGCTTCGCCTCACTCGGGCACGGACATGCTGCAGGCCATACGTTTCATAGGTTTTCAAATACAGCAATGGGCGTGCTCGCCTCACTTTTTCTAGATAATTAATAGCATGTGCAACAAGAGTTGACACGATATTCGACCTGGATTTGAGTATAAATATGTGTCTACTTTCCTCCTATCCAACTCTGAATCTAGCTCTTCATCAAGTCACCACCACACCCAACCAATCATTTGAATCTACCATTGAGCCCCTTTGAAACATGGCTGCTCGTTCGCGTCCTAGGACTATTCAGCCGCGCCGACTTGAAACACGTCTGTCCTACTCTTCTCAGTCACCAGCCGTTCAATTTCACGAGGACAATATTACTGAAGTAGAGGCTCGCAAGCGCCTGTCATCGTATGTTGTCGTTCGCGTTGAAAAGTCGCCGTCTACTATCGACGACGAAGGCAATCTTGCACCTCCAACCTGGGAAAAAGCATCGCACATGATCCAGAGAGACATCTCTCAGCAGGAGGCAAAGTACAAAGTACATGAGCTCAACCAAGAGACTGGCTCCGTGCTGGACAAGAAACATGAGCTTTCATCGGCCCTTCAACGACGATTGGAGCGTGCACATGTTTGGCTGGAGAAGATGGAATCGGATCGTCGCTATGTCTATACACTTGTCCAGCTAGATTGGACGTTTAAGAGGGTCGAAACACCAAGAGAATACTATGCAAGGCATGGCAAGCCCAGCAAGGATAAGAAGACGACCAAAGAGCGCCATAGGTCCAGGCCCAAGAAAGAGCGGTTGTCGGTGACGGCGTACTTTAAGAGGGAGCCTTCCAACAATGAAAATTGGCTCAAGATGTATAACCACCAGCAGAGCGACAAGAAAGGAGATGGAAGCCAACTTAAGTCATCTGGAATGGCACGCCAGGATACCTCTGGATCACAGAATTCTAGGAGTTCAGCCACTTCCTTCAGCTCTTTCTCCAGCGAAGACTCCAATGGCGTTCCAACGCCAAACTCTTCTGTTGACGACATATCTCCCCATCGTCAGTACGAAGAGGGAAGAGGGCGAAGTAGATACCGCCAAAGCAGGAACAGGGAGCACTTTGAGATAGTAGTAGCCCGCCCGCAGCGAGAATGTGATTCTGTGCGCAGACACGACTACATTCCTCCTCCAGTTCCTGATCCTACCAGGCCAGAGCCTAAACCTGTAACAGACTCCTTGAGAAGCATGGAGCAGAGGGCTTGCGGCGAGGGAAGATCCAGATCTGTGAGGGACTCGCCACGCCAGCCTCGCCTTACTCAAAGCCCTCTTGAGAAACAAAGCATCTCTCTCCATCGTGTTCCATACTACGCCCTAAGTGGTGAGGATGTAGACCAGCTGGGAGATGGACTCAGTCGTGCATCACTTGCAGATGCGCCCAAGAGCAGTCGCCAAGAGCCGGCCTCGGGCGCTGCAACAGCTCACTACACATACAGGCCTTTGAGACAATGTCGTGGCGATGGCGACGAGGAGTTGCTAGTCTCGGAGCCGAATGATATTGTCTGGCGGAAGCAAGATGCTCAGCGGTATATGGATAACAAACGGCGTTTCGATCAAGATGCGTGGGATCTGGGTCGTAGGAGTCCTTTGTTATATGCAGATGGCGGTGGAGAGTATAGGTAATAGATGGCTAGACTTGATTTTTTTTTTTTTTTTTTTTTGCTTGTTGTTTGGATTTCTTATGATGATTGTTTTTGTTTTGTCCTCTTCAAGACTGGATATAGATGTCCTTTGCGAATCACTTTTAGCTATCTCTCTTCTCGTTAGTAATGTTGTGAACTATGCTTTGAAACATCAATGCGATTGAACTCGGTTTGAGAAAGTTGTTTCACTTGCTTAAAGCACAGCTAGATTACTACTACTAGAAAGGTGTAGGTAGTTTTAAGAAATCGGATGGTATGTAACTTTGCAAGTTGGTATGCCTGCGTAAGTAGGTAGCTACTGTTGAAATATCAATATTTGCTCAGATACTTGCATGTGCTATGTACATGTAACGGCGGACCATTTCTCGTATCGTGGTTGTGTACTTTGCATTCAATCCCAAGGTTCAAATTTCACTCACTCGAAGTGCTTTAGATTAGTTCTAGCCCACTTCATATACACAGTTTCCCTCTATTCTCACTTTAATCTACTTGCCTAGAGGTTAGATGCCGAGACGCCGCTTTGGATACATGGACGCTTGTGCACTATTATTATAAAGGGGTCAAGGTAGGTTTCTAATACTATCCCTACATCAGCTACAAAATATAGCTTAAAATATATAATATTATAACGTTTTATATAATATTTTAAATATAAAATATAATAAGATTTTTATTCCTTTTTTTTTTCTTAGCCACACGCTCCATAGGTTAGCTTCTTGCCAGCATTTACATGCATGAAGCCATAAGCTTCACAGCATTTTTAACCGCCCCCAATGCTTCGCACTGCATGGAGCTGAGCTTGTGATACTACTACTAATAATACGTAGCCAGTTACGAATGTGCATCAGCGTGCTTAGCGTGCATTTCACAGCAAATTCAACCCTCTCAAAGGCCTTAATTCATTGTTATAACCCTCTGTAGGTGCATTGGGTTGATTGGCTAGCTCCTTCATCGGCGGTGTTCACAACATCAACAGGACTAGTATAAGCGAGCAATTGATAGGCACCATCAAATCAGCATATGTATTATTAAATTGTCTTGTAATATAGGTACCTAGGTATATGCCTATGTATTTCTATTACAGGCAGGCAATTTCCAAAGCATACCTATAAAGTGGCCATTGATCAAAGCGTATACCTATTCCCAAAAAGTATCTGTAAATCAAAGGCAATTACGATGATGACTCAGCATGTTTTTTTCCCAAATTTTAGCGCCCTTCAGCGCAAGCTTGCATGGATACGCGATTTACTTAGCGGCCGGCTCCTCACGCGTTGATTGATGCACGTCCCACAGCCTGGGGGACGCGCCTCCATTCAAAGTTAGCAGCATCTCGATCGGTACCGCAGAGCCTGGGCTGGGATGTGATGGTGCACGAATGGGCAGTTATCGGCTATAGCTGAGCGGCACTGCTATTCTTCCAGGCCTCCCCTCTTCCGTGGCGTCTGTTTATGAAGACCAGTCTCTTGAGCCGCCCAGTTCGATCCTCGCCGACCTCGCAGCGCATCCTTGGCCAGCTTGCCTATGCCCACTGGACGCCTCGCAACTCGTCTCTCGCCGTGGCCGACTCGATGTTTGCGAAGGCCAACAAGGCTTTCAAGGCCAACGACCCCCCTGGTCGCAATGCCCTGTCAAAGCAGCTGTTCCCGTCCAGCAGCCCGAGTGCGTCTCCCGTGACCGACATTCGAGACCAGCTTAAGAAGGCCGGGACGACGGGCATCGCTTCTGCACTGTCGGCGAGGATGGCACCCCCTTCGAAACCTCTGGATCAGAAGCCGCCGCCAATGAGCAACTCCGTTGGTAGTGCCACGAGTTCGCTGGCATCTCTGTACAACAAGTCAGACCCGTTCAAGGGTGATGCCGAAACTATTGACCTCACTGGACCTGATGAAAATGAAAAGGTTGGACAGCATGTATATTTCGTGGAAGACGATTTCAGCGATGATGAAGATCTCGATCTCGACTATAAGGCGCCTTCGGCGCTTCCCACTCTCCCTGACCCAAAGCCTCCGATAGTAGAAGAGGACGACCTCCGCCCTCCGCCGACTCAGCAGATTGATTGGTCTTCTTCTCCTAGATCACATTACTTTCCTTCTAAGCCAATGTCGACAGTTTCATTGAAACGTGATTCGTCTGGCGAGAGCGAGCTGACAGGACTACCCATTCCAAAAAAGAAGCGGGTGTTGCCAGCGAGCTTCCGCTCAGAACCAGAACAGAGCCAAGACCAGGGCCTGTACAATATCCCTACATATGTCCAACCCACAAAGCCAACGCGCATGTGGGAGGCTTCCGTCGATGCTATCAAAGAACAAAAGAAACAGCTCAAGATTCAGCAAGCCGCTCGGGCGGATTCTCAAGGCTTAGATGAGCGGCCGCTAGAGTTCGGGAAAACCCACGATGCCTCCAAAGGCGAAGCCATCCATCTGAGTAAGGAACAGGAACATGTGCTCGACTTGGTGGTAAACCAGGGCAAGAGCGTCTTCTTCACTGGCCCTGCTGGAACAGGAAAATCAGTTTTGATGAGAGCCATCATCACCCAACTGCGATCCAAACACGCCAAAGATCGCGAACGGGTGGCTGTGACGGCCTCCACGGGCCTTGCCGCGTGTAACATTGGAGGAATTACGCTCCACAGCTTTTCAGGTAGGCCCGATGCTGACCTATGCCACAGGCTTGTTGCTGTCGGCTATCGTCGTTGATATTCTTGGCTGACCCGGTTCAACAGGTATTGGACTTGGAAAGGAAGATGCGCCTACTCTTGTGAAAAAAATTAGAAGGAATCCCAAAGCCAAAAACAGGTGGCTTCGTACGAAATGCCTCATCATTGATGAGGTTTCCATGGTGGATGGCGACTTGTTTGACAAGCTGTCGCAGATTGGAAGAACAATTCGAAATAACGGCCGGCCGTGGGGCGGCATTCAGCTGATCATTACAGGCGATTTTTTCCAGCTTCCGCCTGTCCCTGATGGGGATAAGAAGCGTGAAGCCAAGTTCGCTTTTGATGCTGCTACCTGGAGTACGTCAATCGACCACACAATTGGTCTTACGCAGGTGTTCCGTCAGCGAGATCCTGTTTTTGCCAACATGTTAAACGAGATGCGGCTGGGGCAGATTAGCCAACAGACAGTGGACACCTTCAAAAAGCTATCGAGGCCGCTTGAGTTCAACGATGGTGTCGAATCAGCCGAGCTCTTCCCTACACGAGCACAAGTTGATGGGTCCAATGAGAGGCGGCTGAGGGAGCTACCTGGAACTCCGAACCGGTATGATGCCATAGATACGGGAGACGTCAATATTAGAGAAAAGTTGTTGGCAAATATGATGGCTCCAAAATCTATTGAGCTCAAAGTCAATTCTCAGGTCATGCTTATCAAGAATCTTGACGGATCTCTGGTAAATGGATCACTCGGCACGGTCATTGCCTTTTCTGACGAGAGAGCATTTGACATGTCGAACATGGACGACTATGATGACGGAATGGACGCAATGGCAAAGGCACGAAGGAAATTAAAAGCCTTTAGCCGTGAGCCTGAACCGGACGGGTCTGGCATGAAATACCCCGTCGTCCGGTTCATTTCAACAGATGGCGTGGCACGAGTAATTCTCTGCCAGCCAGAAGAGTGGAAGGTAGAGCTTCCGAATGGCGAGGTCCAAGCCAAACGAGTCCAGATTCCCTTGATCCTTGCATGGGCGCTCTCTATTCACAAAGCCCAAGGACAGACGCTCGAGCGAGTCACTGTCAATCTGGGTAAAGTGTTTGAGAAGGGACAAGCATATGTTGCGCTGAGCCGTGCTACGAGCCAAGAGGGGCTACGAGTTTTGGGCTTTGACAAGAACAAAGTTATGGCCCACCCCCGGGTCATTGTGTTTTACAGACAGCTCTACAGTGCTGAGGAGGCAGCGACGAGAAGGCCTCAATCCATAGCGGATTTTGTCGCCAATAGAAAAGGTGTCACAAGTGCTTCGGCTTAAGAGATTTTTGATCTAGACGAGGAAGGGAGAAGAGGGCGCAGTGGCATTTTAGGGTCCTTCTCATGGCGAATTATAGACCAATAGCATATGTGAGAGAATTTGTACTACTAACGGTGCTGCTGGTGTTGTTATTATACGATGATATGGATTCCCCTTATGAAATATTTAGATCCGGGAGGACAGCTGCAATAGAAAGCGTCGTTACGGGATTAGGCCTCTAAAAGGGAGAGCAGCAATTTTATAGCTCATCTCCAAATATATTAAAGAGCCATAGAGGTAGTTCCACCATGAACTGAATATGCATATTCGAGACTTTTTTTTTTGCTTTGATTTCTAAGATATGTGTAGCTAGACTTGCCAAGTTGGGCCTTGCAGAACTTTTATTGGCTTGGCGAAAGGATGTACATGAGATCGCTGGCAGGATGGTGGAGAGATTCACGGTGACGAATTCCAGGATATCCTACGTGAGCTTCGGAGCTGGGCTGAATGGATTTTTCGTAAATATATATATATATATATATATATAGGCGCTTCTGCATAGAACGTTCCTAGGCAAACACATTTCCTGGCCATTGTCTGGTCTTATGCGCACGAGATCTAACTTAGTAAGAGAGTGGTGCCCAGCTTACCGCACGCGCACTAATACCTAGCACATCGAAAACGGTGACGCAGGATGCGCCTGCATGTGCGTTCGTTGCACCAGCCTCTAAAAGGGCGGGCTGGTGGCTGGCTGGCACCAGCGGCAGTAATATTTGCGCTGCAGGGGGCGACCCAACACCCCTAATCAGCGCTGACGGAGCCATTGCTTTGGGACCTTGAGGTTCCTTTTAGGGTGCTGCAAGGGTTGTTATCGATTATCGGCGACCCGGTTGAGGTTAGTCCCGACCTGCTAGCTTCAGCACATTCAAACCGCTTTGTGTCTGCGCCAAAGGTGCCAGCCAGCATCCATATCGTCCACCAAAATTTGTCGTCCGCTCTACTTACCGCTATCCTCCCCCGAACGTCCTGCTTGGCCTGGCGGAGACGAGGCAAAATACTGGAGTGCATGGACTGATAGTCTCGAGGTCTTGACACAATTCTAGCACGTTTCGACGACAATTCTGGGCGCCTGCGCCTGCCCTCACTTCCGGCTGCATCTCCAACTGCGCGCGTGTCCCAAATTCCTCCCGGCGTCGTTGGAGCTGCCTCGGGGGCTCTCTGCCTACACCCGGCTCTGCGATATAGCACTGCTGAGAAAACTCTCACAATCTCTTCACTGACCAGACTTTGTTCTTGACGACTATTACAACCTTTAATCGGGATCCATTGGGACGGCGACACTTGGCGATCACTTCCATATCACCTGTGGAGGCAGTCTTTATTATAAGGCTAAGCAGGGTGCTACCTCGTCTCTGGATGACGATTTGAAGGCCAAAAAGAACAGCGATTAATACTCTGTGATATATTCATCGGTTGAGAGGCGACACGGCTGCGTTGCGAAGATCAAGTCGCCGTTTGCGAATTTGACTTGACGTGTCACCATGGCGAGCCAGTTTGCCGGCCTGCACATGCGGGTGGTGCTGAGAGATCCTCCTGGGCACCAGCTCACAGGCACCGTCCGCGATGTACAGGCAGGGAGCAGCCTCACCTTGACGAATGGTAAGCGCGTCCATTATCTCGCCCTCCCCCCCCAGAATGTTGGACTGAACATGGACAAGACTAATTTGCCAATCAAGTATTCATTGCTGCAACGCGAGCTTGGGTCCCTCATATGCGAATCGATGCCTCCAACATTGCCGATCTCTCAGAAGTTAATGGTGACGACAGGCCAGACCAGAACCCTCTGCCTGCTGAGAAACCTACGGCTTCGACATACACCGTGCAGCAGCCGCCGACTCAGTTGGCCGCACAGACTCCGACCCAGCCGGCCCAGCCTGCCTTTGTCGATCCAGCTATTCTGAGTCTAGGAAGACGGCCCAAGTCAGCGGCGTCTGGCAAACAGAAGAAGGATGAAAAGGGCGCAGACCAAACCGACCTAGCAGGACAGCCGGGAGTCCTATATGGCATTCATGCGACGCGCTCGTCGGTCGACTCTGGCGATGAGAACAACCTTGTGGCGTCAGTGAAAGATTTAAAGATAGACCCAGTAGCCACTTTGAAAGGTTTGTCAGGTAATAAAGCTCGACAGGTCAAAGAAGCGTCAGGTTCTACACAGCAACAGCAAAAGAAGAAAGCGCGGCGGCATCCAAAGGCCCACAAGGAGCATTTAGGCGAAGCGCAACCAGCTGTTCAGACGCAAGGACATGGGAAAGGCTGGAGACAGACTCCAATCTTGCAAAGCACTGCCTCTTTTCAGCCATTCACCGCTCTTAGACGGAATGGGAAGAACTCGAAGAGTCTCCTGGACAATGGATGGGCATCTGAGGACGTTACAGAGGAAATGGGCGATTTCGATTTTGAGAATAATCTGGCCAAATTCGACAAGCACAAGATTTTTGATCAAATGAGAAAAGAAGATACCATTGACGATGCGAGCCGCCTTGTAGCACACAACCGCCGGCCCAAGCCCGGAACGGCGGGAGGCAAGAACCTGCACTACACCGAAAATGTCCTGGATATGCCCTCCACAACGGCTGCGTCAAACGCTGATTACTGGAATAGCGAAGCAGATGTTGGTGCCAACGGATCTGAGAAGCTAAGCGGCCGAGAACACAAAAATGCCAGCCAAACCGGTCGGAGGCCTGACAGCAAGACTGGTGCTAGGCGCTCGCAGTCCCGCAAGGCAAGCACTGCCGCTCCTGTTGGAAGTCAGCCACTTAGTAGGGTCAACTCCAGCCTACGGTATCAAGCGTCTCGCCGATCTAGCCCCACGACCGGGCACCGCAGCACTGACTACGAGCAGCAGCAGCATGAACGCCCGGGACTATATCTACTGCCTTCAAATCGACGCGTGGAGACGATTTCTACGCTTCAGATGCTGAATATTGAAAACATTGCTGCCAACGAGATTGGATTTAGCGAGACCTTGATGGCGGAAAACGCAGGAAGGGGTATCGCTGAAGTGGCTGTGGCCGTATTGTCAGACCCAGCCATGAAAGTCCGATTCGAGATGGTCGTGGCGGGAGCGTCCAGCGATGCTTCAGTGCGCTCATCAACGATTGTGATACTTGCCGGCAATCATAAGTCGGGTATTCGTGCGCTGGCTGCTGCTCGCCATCTTCGAAACAAAAACTTTGATGTGGTTGTATGTTTGGTTGGTGTTGAGCGCGAGCGAGACCTATTGGAAGATTTGAAGAGACAGATCCAGCTCTACAGAAACTTTGGAGGCCGAATTTTGAGCAAGAACGACTTCTTTGAATTTCTTCGAAGAGGGGCTGGAGCGGGTAGTGGCCTATCAATATCTCTTATTATTGACGCCTTGCTCGGCCTTACCATGTCGTTTGAGGAACTGCGAGTCGGTGACCAGGCGTCGGTATATGAGCTGATGGAATGGGCGAACCGGAATGAGGCGTTCGTACTAGCAATTGATATTCCTTCAGGCATTGACCCTTCAAACGGCAATGTTGCTATTATTGATGGAAGTCACCTGTTTGTCAAACCGCGCTACGTTGTTGCCATAGGCGCACCCAAAAAGGGGCTTCTAGAGGCTGTTACGCCGCCCCCTGACGATGATACAGCCCTACCAACAAATATTATTCACGAGGACGAGTGGCGGCTATTCATTGCCGATTTAGGGCTGGGAAGCGCAATCTGGAGGAAGGCTGGTACTAAGATACGGAAGGGCATCGAGTTTGACGGCAAATGGGTGCTGGAAATGAAGTACCGCGGACCTCAGGAGGAAGAAGATGAAGATTAAGGGAAAGGGAAAATAATGCATATACACATGGATAAAGGGTGATTACGATTTATTTTAGGGAGCGACACAAAAGGAAAACAAGAGAAATGATGCAAAAAGAATGGGATATACCTATGATTTAAGGACGTGATGTTGGTCACACCGAATGGCCCGTGGGAGGCTGGTACTTTGAGGTTTTCAAAACGAAGTGGAAGAAAAAAGAAAGCAGCAAAAGGAATACAATAGCGAAATGTAATTACAACGCAGCATCATGAGGCGTCAGAGGGGATCATTTATTCTCGATTTCTCGACAGAATGAATATATTCTAGTTTGACACCACGGGTTCTCTCGAAAAGTTATGCTGGAGGGACGAGATTTTTTTTTTTTTCTTTGTGAGGATTTAGAGCACGCGTGCCAAGACTGCGGGTTTGCGGAGACAAGCTTTTGCCAAGACCAGCCGCAGGCAGGCATGTGAAGAACTCAGAACGCTTCTTCTCTCATTTGCTATGTGAAATTTCTCCGATGCTTCTCTAGTGCTTCTTTTGCGATTCCATTTTAAGGGGGGGCACGGCCAAAGACGAATCGAAAACAGGCCCCTTTCTTGGCAGTATAAGTCGCATTAGTAGGCTTCATTTATACATATATAGGTATATATTTTTTTGACCATTATCCAATTGATGCAGCAGTAGTAGTAGTAGCACTAGTGTTGATCGTATTAGTAACTAGTATCCGGCAGATTGGGAAGCTAGCTGCGATTCCAAGTTTACTTCTTCATCAGTAGTTACTCCGCACCCCGAGGCGTTTGAGTGGGCAAATGGGCGACAAAAGTTCGCGGCGCGGCGCAGTACCGACTGCCTGTTTGGACTTTGTATCGGATTTGGAGTCTGGATGTGTGTTTTTTTGGCCGGACACGTGGGATGGGGAGCAAGTTAGCGGCCTGTCAGTTTTGGCTGTCAAGACGACTGCTATGGCTTGGTGAACTCTATTTGCGCTGCGCGTCCTGAATACGAGCGGTCTCTGGCTGCCCGCAGATACGGCCATGCCGTGGAGTCAATTCATGACTCCCAATCAATATTCCACAGATTCGTGGGTACTACTAGCTCCAAGAATGGGACCGTGTCCATGCTTTATTAGATGCACTGTGTGCCGCACCATGCGCTGCTCTCGGCGCCCATTGGCCCAGCCCTTCTGCAGCGCCCCAATCCCCCGCAGCCCCAAAAGGCACAGCACCACGTTGTACCGCCACCACCGCCAGAAGTGACACAGTGCACGCCACGCCATCCAGCAGGAAATCAGCTGCTTGTTCTTCAGCGAGTAAGTTGCAACACCAACCAACTTCTCTCTCCTCTTCTCCCCCCCGAAATAGATTCCCCATTGCTTCTCCGCGTCGAATTTTTGTCGAGATCGATCGCAGAGTTTAAACAGACGTACAGGCCTAAGCGAACAGGAGAGACGGACTTTGGACATTACCCACGAGGATATTGGTTTCAGGGCACGCGGAAGCCCGGAGGCTGGACGGATACGGCCATTTTTTCGCTGTATTGCTACAAAGCTGCGACCTACCTGGATTTTCTTTTCGTCTGGACGCAACTTCGGCCCCTGCGCCACCGATTGTTATGACGCTCGGCTTGCTCGCGCTCGCCTGAATTCGACATCGATTTCACGACTCGCTCCTTTTCGACTTGCACAGAGACAGCTCTGGTAACCGTGGCGCCTCTCGCTGTTTACTTTCGATTCAGTTCTGTCAGCGTGTCTTAGATTTGTGAGGTTGCCTGCACGAGGCACGCCGCCCGTCAAGCGAAACCAAGCGAAGCGAAGTACAGAGGACCAAAGGCAATTCAGCTCAGCTCAGCTCAGCTCGTTCCCTCCGTCGGCACCATTTTCCATGGCGATCCCGCGATAAGGTCCGACTGGCACCCTCTCCTTTCTCGTCGCCGTCTCGCCGGTTGACTCTTCACGAAATCGACGAGCCTCTTTCTCGAGATCCCGATCCTGGTTCCGCTCCAATCCGACCATGTCGGTGACGTCCATGGCCACCCATGTGGCCGCTCTTGCGGCTACGTCGTCCCTCGAGGCGTCGATGGCGCTGTGCACCAGCACGTGGCTGCCGGCGAACGGAATCCTCTCCTTGGATGGAGAGTCGGACAATGCTATACTGACACTAGACAACGACGCCCTCTTCCAGGCACCATGCCCGACTGCGACAATACCGACAGTCTCCGTTGCAGTCCCGGAGACCACCAGCACCAGCGACGGAGACTCGAGCCTGACCCTCCAGGACCTCGGAGACGACGGTGATGACGATGACAGCCCGCATTTTTCCGATTTTCGAGACCCCTTTTACGCCTCGAGTTTTCCCATCTGTTACGCACTCGCGGCGACTACCGTTACCGCTTGGATGCTCGTTATTATGCTCTTCATCACGCCAAGGTCTTTCTTCGATAGTGGCGTTGTCTACCTTGGCCGGCCCGGTGGCTTTACCAATTCTTCTTCTGGGGGCGTCAATATCGGTGGGCGGCCGTGGCTGCAGAAGCTGGCCGCCCTGTCGGTTGCGATATCTCTGACGATAGCCACGGCTGACACTTTCAGGATCGCCAAAATACAGTACATATGGGGCGTGCAGAATGCCAAAGTGCTTCAGAACGAGGTCATGGGGAGTACGGAGCTCAAGGCGATCCGGGTGGTATCCGACACCTTTCTTTGGCTCGCACAGGCGCAGACGCTGATCCGGCTGTTCCCGCGCCACCGCGAGAAAATCATCATCAAATGGGCTGCTTTTTTCCTCATCAGTCTCGATGTCATTTTCAGTGCCCTAAACAGCTTTTTATACTCCGACCCGGACAGCATCGGCAATTCTATGCCCAAGAGTTTTGCTCATCCCATCCCGGCGCTGAGCTACTTATTTCAACTGGCCCTTGGGGTGCTCTATGCTGCGTGGGTTGTGTACTATGCAATTATGAAGAAGCGATATTCGTTCTACCACCCCTTGATGAAGAACATAAGTCTGGTGGCCATTATATCTTTGGGCGCCATATTAATACCAGTTGTCTTTTTTATACTTGATATATCGAAGCCTGAGTTTACAGCCTGGGGAGATTACGTGCGATGGGTTGGTGCAGCAGCAGCTAGTGTGGTGGTTTGGGAATGGGTGGAACGAATTGAAGCGTTGGAGCGTGAAGAGAAAAAGGATGGAATACTTGGAAGAGAAGTATTTGACGGAGATGACACGCTAGAAGTTGACGCGGCTGAGGTCCCCTGGTCACGGAAGAGAAGAGGCTACAAAACTGGTGGTGGTGGTGATGGCAGAGGCGTCATCATCACGGCAAGAGAGCAAAGACCAGGCGAAGGCAACGGATGGCCAGGCGTGTCGGTTATCGGCAGTCGCCACCGCGAGCGGGAGCGAAGTACTGGACGCGGCCGTGATACAGGCCAGACTGGCGGTGCAGAGGTGGAGAGAACATCGGGACATATTCTAAGGCCGCCAGTTTGGCTCTCACGACCTGCTCCAGCCGTAACGCCAGCCAGCAGGACCGATACAACAAGTGCTGCCAGTACTGTCTACGCGGTAAGATACCAGAGAGAGCATCCACAGCCTAGACTAGATCTTTCAAGGTCCGAGAGCCACAACCAAGGTCGTGGTCCTACCGTGGAAGACGCAGTCTCGACAAGCCAAGCGCTTTCGTCTATTTCTCCTGGAGATTCTCCAGCCAGTCATATTGTGATACAAGAACCAAGAATACCAGATTTGGAAGCGAATTCTTCTTCTGGCGGTGGCCGTTGGCAGGCACTGCTTCGTCGCGGAAACCATGGCACCACGTCAACACCGCAATCTCCTGGAGCTTATCCGGATGCCCGGTCCGCTGCTACTTCAAGAACCCATATGGATACCAACCGGTGGGATATACGAAGCAGATTAGAAGAGTTTGCAGCCAGCCAAGCAGAGAGGATCCGAGAAAGATTCCGGCCCACGACAGACACGGACAATCTCCCCGTAATGGTGATACCAGCACCAGCACGGCGAGGCGCGGCGCTACAACAGGTTCTTGAGGAAGAGGGAGAAGATTTGAGCGGTTCAGTGGCGTCGGCGTTGCGGCGAGCACGAGGATCTAGCAGCAGCTCATCTTCTGAGGAGATTTACGAAGCCAGGGGACGAAATCAGATGGGCCCCAACGTGTATCCGACGGCGAATGCGGCGGCTTCAGCGTATGAGAGACCTATACCGCCCAGCAATCCGCCTTTATGGCCGGGAGTACGAAACCGGTACCTCTACGACGACGATTACTCGTATGATGATTCTATAACGGAGACTTCTTCTGTGATATCTCGCGATCATGATCCTGACGAGCCAGACACCGGGCAAGAAGACAGGAACACAACACCACCGAGAGAGCCAGGCCCCTCTTGAACGCTTTCATTGTAAAAAAAGAGGAAAAGAAGAAAGAACCTGGCTTCTTCTTTCTCGCTCTCTCTAAATTCCTAGGTGCTTTTGTCTTTGAGCGTGGCGTTTCTGGCTAGGGCATTTTTACAATGCCCCTCCTTTTTTTTTCTTCTCTCTCTTGGTTTTCGACATTATAATAGCGGTAGTTATGTTTAGGATGTGTATGTACGAGTATATAACGATATATGGAGAATAGCTATACCCCGGAGCCTCTTGGAGAGATTTACAGAGGGCGAATGATTGATGCTATGGAGCGGAAGATGACAGAAATACGTTGATTGATATGAATTGAATTTAATGAATAAGTACACTACATGTTCTATGAGAAATCTGATGAAATCTGGGTAGCGAGAGGTTTGTGATACTGCGTCCATTGCGATTGATGAAAGTTTGGCAGCATGAATCTGACAAGCGGAGAGCTAAACAGTAGAAGAATGAATGTATAACCTGAAGCACCCAACTCCATTATTATAGGTACACACACACTTTTATAACATTATGAGAGTTGTTGTAATTGGAATGCGTCGATTTTTACATCTGCTGCCTCTGCTGCCTCTATAAATGGATCACAGCTTTACTCTCCCTGGGCATCATTCGAGCCGTTCAACACTTGAATCTCATTTCTACTCGAGGTAATCAGGAAATTCCAACTTGGTGTCTCAATGCTTTGCAGACAATTTTACAGCTTACAGCTTCAGCGATTTATTCCGTGCTCATAAAAGTTCCCCATTTCATTTCATGCAGCTGCAGCTAACTAGCGCTCTTGAATTGCATGCCCCAAATGTCTGCAACGCCGATTATGTCACCACACCTCCTCGTCGAGTGGACTTGGTGATAATTCATGTCCCGTATTCCGCGCTCGGAGCACGGATCACTATGAGCTGATTGTGCTTTGGTGTGTGGCGCGCGGGATGTCGCATCACTCCGTCTGTTAGACTACCACGCAGCCGATTGATGCTCACGAAAAGCAAGAGAGAGAGAGAGAGAAAGAAAAAAGGATTCTCACTCCTGCGAGTTACGATTTTCCATGTTAGATACGCGTAATGGTGCTAATAGAGTTCACGGAGTGCGGAACAGACAAAAGTGACAGGCGGCCGGCTTAGAGAAAAAAAAGAAGTTCGTTAGAGGTGGAAAAGGAAAATGCCACAGGGATGCAAGGGTGACCCCCTCGCTTCCCGAATGGGACTAACAGGGCCCTGACGACAGGGATTTTTTTTTTTTTTTTCGGTCAAGTTTAAACCTTTGGGTGCATGTGGACGCTAGAGAAGAGGGAACAAAGAGGGCTGGCTGTCAGGGGTCATGGCGCTGGTTTTTTGTGGGCTTCGGCTGGCGTTGGGCCAGTGACGAGGCGCGAGAGGCATGTCGAACGAGATTAAAACAGGGTCCCCCAGCGTTTAGCGGCTGTCGTTGGTGCTGGTGGCTGTTTGGCGGCTTACTGTATCTCATTTTTTGGCATGTTTCTGGCCGGGACAGAGAGAAGTTTGGCAGTTTACATGGAGCATGGGCAGAAAGAGATCTGGAGGATTGCGGTGAGTTGTGATGGTGATGCCGTGAGCAGTCCCGCTTGGGTGATATGTTTGCCATTTATAGATTGTGTGTTAGTCGCTGGCTAATGCTGCATTATGTACCTGGTTTGGTGGTTTATTGCGGGCACCTACCTAGTACGTCGTGCTGCCTTTGGCCTTGGAAATGCACCGCGGCCGCATACAGTACACGTATTCGTGTCTCAACATAAGACGAGAGCAGATGCATGATTATCACATTGTTGAAATGCTTTCAACAATTTCAAGTAAGATTAGTACCTGCTAGAGGTACCTGATACTAAGGAACGAACGTTAGGAGTACAGTATATAAAGTGCGTCCGAGGTAACAGACAGTAATTTATGTGAGCTGGTACTGTAATACCTGCTACTGTAAAAGCAGGTGCTGTGTGTCTGCATTTTCAGCGCTCCTGCCATTTCGCCACAGAACCAGTTCGATTTTCCCCTCTCCTTGTTAGCGGCACCTGCCTCAGCTGGGATATTTGGTACCACCTACCTCTCAGCATCTCCCAGTTGCAGCGCGGTTTGCGTAGACGGTACTTGACAGTGTTAGACGCAGCATTGCAGCATTGTTTGTGCTTGTTTGTGCTTGTTTCCAACTCCACCAAACTCTTCTTTTCCTTCTCTCTCCCATCTTCTCCAGCCTCTTCTCCAATACCCAACGCGGCACAAACAGCCAAGTTTGATCATCCACTGTGCATGCATGACCGCTTATCCCCCTAATCTGGGTCCCGATCGGACACGACGCCAGACAACCACCTCACCGAGCGCCGTCCTATTTTTTTCCTAGGCCTTTCTCTCCTATCTCTCGTCTCACGCTTCCATTTCGGAATCTCGTGAAAGTCCGACCACCCACGGCCTCGCCGTCTCTGCGCGCTGTCCGTGTCTCTCTGCTCCTTTATCCTTAGGACTTCACCTGCTATATCTTATAAGAGCTCTACGACCAAGCCGTCCTAGACTTCCTCTGTCTCTGTTGACTCTCCAGAAAACAGACCGCCAATTTTTTTTTTCCCTTGGCGGTTGGCCCATGCGAGAATCGACCCAAACCGAGGCTCACTAGCACGAATTGTGAGACGAGACAAAGCGGATAATCCACGCGAGTCGCACATCGGGCTGATCCTCTCACCCCCCACACCACCAATCAATTGCGCGTGCGCCCCGCGACAACGACAAGGGGGGAAACAAGAGGCCAACGATCCTAATTGGAGTGGTAGTGGCAGCACTGTTTATTACCTACCTTTTGTCTCCTTTATCCTCCTACTTCTTCCAGCGTCCTGCAAGCTCTCCTCTTTCTTCCGGCGATCGAGGCTTTGCCGTTTGTTCTTGCGAGGCGGCAGGTCGCATTCCTAAGCGCAACTGTCTCAAGGGCGTCCAGGGGGAATTTTCCTCGAACTGCACCACAACTACACCACTTTTCACCGTCCAAGACATACAGACCACTCTCCGATCACAATGGCGGGGGTAGAGCCTTTCCCGCTGCTCAACACGTCGGCAGATCAACTGCACAGCGCTGACGTCAACCTGGCGAGGCGCAGGCGCAAGAGCAGTGGTCTTGGAGGAGAGATTCGTGCTGGTGACACTGGTGCGCCCGCGCTGGCGTCCAGCCGGGTCAGTCTCAATGCCCAAGACTCTGAGGTGAGATTGTCACCTCTGATTTTTCTGCTCAGGCCTTTCTGAAGCTGACCACCGCAAATCAATAGAACTACTCATCTGAGAGCTCAGAAGATCACTCTGGGATCCCTAGGCCTTCGAAGCGCCGTCGCGCTCGTGGATATTTCTCACAGCTTCGCCAGACCATGGTCAAGCACACCTTTGTCTTGCCTGCCGTCTTGCTACTCACTTTCCTAACCGGATACGCCATTAACCCTTCCGAGACCAATCCCCTACACCACTTTATCTTTCTGTCGTACCCGATTCCCCAGGATGACCCCCTCAAGCCTGTCCAATACGGCAAGGGCAAATGGGATATTGCATTTGTCGCCTTTTACACCATTGTCCTGTCGTTTACTCGCGAGTTTATCATGCAGGAGCTGCTGCGCCCACTAGCCCGCCGAACGGGTCTCAGCAAGGGAAAGCAGGCACGTTTCATGGAACAGGTGTACACGGCCCTCTACTTTGGCATCTTAGGACCTGCTGGCATGTATGTCATGAGCCGCACACCTGTTTGGTACTTCAACACGCGCGGAATGTACGAGGGCTTCCCGCATCGGTCGCATGAGGGCGTTGTCAAGTTCTACTACCTCTTCCAGGCTGCCTACTGGGCCCAGCAGGCCATCGTGCTTCTCTTGGGAATGGAGAAGCCGCGCAAGGATTTCAAAGAGCTCGTTGGCCACCACATCGTCAGTTTGGCCCTTATCGGCCTGAGCTACCGCTTCCACTTCACCTACATTGGTATTGCTGTCTACATCACCCACGACATCAGCGATTTTTTCCTCGCCTCCTCCAAAGCTCTCAATTACATCGACCATCCTATCGTTGCTCCTTATTTCGCCACTTTTGTTGCCGTTTGGATCTACATGCGTCATTACATTAACCTCAAGATCATCTGGTCTCTATTCACTGAGTTCCGTACCGTTGGTCCCTTTGAGCTCAACTGGGAGACTCAGCAATACAAGTGCTGGATCAGTCAGTATATCACCACTGCTCTGCTTGCTTCCCTTCAAGCATTGAACCTGTTCTGGCTCTTCTACATTCTGCGTATTGCCTTCCGATTTATCCGCGACAAGGAGGCCACTGATGATCGATCTGATGACGAAGATGACGAGGCAGAGGACGAAACTAAGAAATCAGGCAAGCACAGTGGAAATAAGGGCATTCCTAAGCTGGAAATTCACTACGAACATGACGAAGATAAGCAGAATGGTTCTGCTAAGCAATAGACGGCCAACATCCATGTTGGCAATGAGTTGAGCAAAACGCTGGGTGACATGCACGATTTATACAGCAAAAGCAAGCGGATTTGCACTGGTGCAATTTAATCGAATAATGACGAGAAACTCTGTTGAGCTGCCCCGTTTGTCTTTACGTCTTTGGGCTACATTACCTGCGTGTGATTTGTACCGCACGGGTCAAGCCGGGTAGGGAGCAATGTGAAGCATGAAAACTGGCGTTCTCCTTTTTTGAACACGAAAAAGGAAAAAGAAAAGAAGAAATGGCTTGGGCTAATACTAATTTTAATTTTATGATGACATTTTTTTTTCTCATACTTGATTCTCCGGACACTTGATACGTTGTCAGTCAGACGGAACGATTGATATGGTTGCAGGTATTTTGAAATGAGCAATCTAGGGTTTCTAGCAAAGGGAGGGTTGAATAATTGTACAGTGGTTGGGAATGCTTTAAATTCCTTCATAGTTCATTCTGTGTATCTGTGTTATCTCTTCTTCTGGATGAAGGGACTTTTTGAAAAAATACGGATTGGGTCGAGCCTGGTGGCTTTTGAGTCGGATGAAATGAGGTATCGGCGAAAGCCGTTGGACGATATCTTCTTGTTTTATACATATAGAAACGAAGCAATACATAATACTCCATTTTGATGGATCACACAATGGGTATGCTGCAAAGGCTCTAATACAATTGTCCACTCGGCGCCGTGATGTTCAAGAATACTTGCTATACTGTCAATACAAACCAACAATCGGGCCAATCAAGCTGCCGTTCTCCAACACAAGCCTTCCATGTCTTGGTGGATGGCCCGTTTAGCATTAAACATTCACGCCTACATTCGATGGCAAGTTTTTTTTTTTTTTTACCAAAATTGTTTTCTGTGATCTACCTAAGTTATCGAGGCTGCCCCGTACTTCTAGTAAAATGGTGAAATTTCCCGTTTTCTGGTAGGCCCGACGAGTTGTGTGTTCTTTTTTTCTGCTTTTGTTCAAATTTTCCATCCTGGAGATCATATCATATCTCTCAGCTTCCTTGAGGAAGAATCCCAAAAAATGTATGTTAAAACCATATCCGTATCGCACAAATACCAGAGAGCACAAACCCAAGGCGTGATTCCTCTTCACTAAATTCCGGATATCCATCCAGTCCATCGGGCGTAAATTGTTGAATAAAAAGGAAATAGAAAAAAGCAAAGTCGTATAGTCGTTGCCCGTAATCAAGGCGAAGTCCCGTAGGCCTCGCCATGGTGGCATCCATAATCACAAATCCCTTCAGATAGAGACAAAAAAGAACAAGTGTTGTCATCCACATGTTATCCTCTCAAATCCACCGAACTCATCGGTAAACCTTCGCCTTCAACATTCATTCACCTCGTTCATTCTCTCCATGATAAGGAGATGATTTCATAAGCCACCAGCGCCCATGAAAGGCACAAAGGCTTAGAAATGAGGCGAATACAAAATGATAAAATGCTATACCAGTCAATTGTCCTTCTCACATCTCCAGATATTGGATATCAATACATCATAGTCAAACAGCGACCAGCGAATGGAAAACATTCGGGCCACCTTCGACGGAAGACGTAACAAGTGAGATGTAGAGCCGATGCAAGAAACAGTGGTAAAACAACACACATTATATGTCTCCGCGTGTAACTGCGGCTATATCTCATCTCTCGTAACAATGCAAAGGTGTATTATTAAGTCCGGCTATGTGGCGGTAGATTGCAACAAGAACAAAGCAGATTGGCGGCTGCTAGATCTGAATGTCTGTGCCTGAAACGGTCGTAAAGTAGGAAATAAGTAGAAATAGATAGAAAAAAGGCGTCACCGTAGTTATGAAAATTCTAGTCTCGGTTATCCGATGAAATGCTTTGTGTAGTAAATTCGAGGATATCCAGAAGCCCGGCTGACTGTCCAGGCTCCAAAGGAACGGGAGAATCAAAATTGGCTTGCTGAGAATAGGCAAATGTTCCTTATGCTGTGTAGATGAATGAAAATGATGAATAGAAAATGATGAGTATCGATATCCTTTTCCTCCTTAACGCCGGTGTGATGCAGTCATCATGCTAGGCCTAGACGTTCAAGTTCAGCAACTGAATGCCAAACAAAATGTTGAATAAACCTGCAGTTTTGTTTTTGTTTCCTTTGGGCTTTTTTTGGGGGGGGTTTTTTTTTTTGTTCTTTTTTGAAATAAACGAGAAGTGTAACTGGCATAATCCCTGGGCCAGTATATTGATATCAAGTGGGTCGCAATGGAAAAAAGCCGTGATTCTAAGAAGAAACGCAGTTTTCCGTTTAAGGTCGTATCCGGTCAAGTCTCTTGGTGTTCGACACCCGAGACAGTAGATATGGCCATAATGGCCAGCCTTACTGAAGAAATCTAGGAATCTAGTCCTGATTTGCGACGCGGCTCCTGTTCATGGGTCGATTCATTATCGGAAGAAGATGTCGAAGGATGAGCCTCGCCATTGCCATGCGGCTGAGAGTTATCGCTAAGAAGCTCAGTCGTAGACCCGTGACTCTCATATCCGTCGATCTGAGCGCCCGACTTGTTCTTGCCATCCATATTGGCAGCTTTCAAGGCTCGCTTGGCCTGCAAAGACGCTTCTCTAGCAACGTCCAGGGCGCGCTCTGCCGTTACTTGCTTTTGCCACATCGAAAAGTACACACCTTTAGCAGCGAGAAGATCCTGGTGATTACCACGTTCAACGATTGTTCCAGCATGCAGCACAATGATTTGATCGGCATGGGTGATGGTCGACAATCGGTGCCTGTAGAAAAAGGAAAAACTGTGTGTTAGCTTCAAACCCTCCCATCCTAAGCTTTACAATAATCATAAGAGAGGGTATATGTCACTTACGCAATAATGAGCAACGTTCGCCCTTGACCGATGTTGCAAACATTTTGCTGGATTTCCTGTTCCGTGTGCGAGTCAAGTGCAGAAGTAGCCTCATCCAGCATGATAACTCTAGGATCCTTGAGGATAGTACGAGCGATAGCAACTCGCTGCTTCTCACCGCCACTGAGTCGCAGTCCGCGTTCTCCAACCTGCGTGTTATAACCATCGGGGAATGACATGATGCGGTCGTGGATACTGGCAGCTTTGCAAGCGGTATAAACCTCTTCGTCACTCGCTCTAGGGTTGGCATATTTGAGGTTGTACATGAGCGTCTCGTTGAAAAGGGTCGTATCTTGGGGCACAACGCCAATATGGCGACGGACCGAGCTGATTGTGAGATCTTTAACGTCTTTGCCATCAAATTCGATGCTACCCTCGTCACAGTCGTAGTAGCGGAACATATGTCGGAACAAGGTAGACTTGCCACCGCCAGACTCGCCAACAAAGGCTGTTGTAGTTCCCGGAGCACATTCGAAGCTGATGTTGCGTAGAGCAGGTCTTCGAGCATCATAGGCAAAGCTCACATTCTTCCATCGAACATGTCCACTAAAACTTTCCAGTTCGACGGCATTGGGAGAATCAACCACGGTTGGCTGGATCTTGAAGAGCTCCAGGAGGCGCTCGCCAGAAATCATGGCCTGCTGGACTGTGCGATAAAACGAGCCGAAGAAGTTGAGAGGGCCTTGAAGTTGGGTCAGGTAAGAGACGACTGTGAACCAGTCACCGGTAGTTCGCACGCCAACCATAACTTGCCAGCCACACACTATGGCAGCGACAATTCTGCCCAGGTTGAAAACGAAGGTCTGGCAGATATTCATGAGGACCATGCCTACCTGGACCTGGGCCTCGGCCTTTTGGAAAACCTCAACCTTGGCACGATATCGGTTGGATTCGTATTCTTCCGCGTTGAAATACTTGACCGTCTCATAACTAGAGATGGAGTCGTTCTTCACCGCTTCCTCTTCACGATCAGCATTGGTCATCTCTCGTCGTTGATCTGCTCTAGTGGCGGCCATCTTGATGGTCATATAGAGATACCAGCAAGTGTCCACCAGATTCAATTGAGCGTAGAGAGGGCCATAGTTGACGTAGAAGACGGAGATAGAGAGGAACAAGTCGAAGAGCATAGGGATGACCTGGAATGTCACCTGCTCGAGAAATGCATTGATTGCAGAGCCCTTGTTAAGCGCAGAGAGGACTTCGCCAGTGCGTTTCGACAAGTGAAAGTCGAGGCTGAGAGAGTGGACATGGTTAAAGGCCGCCGCTGTCAATCCTCGGTACGAGTACTGCGAAACAGGAATCCAAAGGAGAGATCTCAGGGAGCCAAGAAGACCGGACTGGCCTTGAAGTACCCAGAGAGTACCCAGGATGAGGAAGTCCTTGAGGGGGAAGTTTTCAGTGGTGATGGGATCGCCGCTTCTGATGACGGCTTCTAGCTTGTTGACGACTTTGCCGATCTGCCATGGAACGTAGACGTTGACCAATCGCTGGATGATGACTAAAACAAAGCACAACATTACCTGGAGCTGCAGCTTGGTAGAGTCTTTGGGCCAGAGATAGGGGAAGAAGAGAGAGTAGCCTCTGACATATTCCCACCAGGTCTTGTGGGGGATCTTCTTCTGTCGGTAGAAGGCGGCTTGTTCATCTTTGCGAGAATAGGATCCTCCTGTAGGTTTGGGTGCGTTCGAAATGGTTCTACCACGAGATCGTCGGCCGTTAGTCTCAGAACTGGTGCTCTGCCTGGCGTCATAAGATCGAGTCTGCCCATTAAGCAGTAGAGGCGTGGCTTCAGAGATGCCAAATCCTTCCTCAACTCTATCTGGGGCGTGAGATTTGAGAATCCATGCAACGCAGAAGAGGGAGATGGAAGCAGCTATGGTCAGCAAGCGGACCAAATAGAGAACGAGATCGAGCTTTGTCCATGAATCAATGCAGCTGTCATCCGTGGTCTGGTCGTCTTGCTTGGAAGCGCGCACGAAGTGACAACCAGCGGCAACAATAGCTGTGGTGGTGAAGAGAATGAGTTCTCCAGCGAGACTTAGAATCCAGATTGTGAGGTGGACGATATTGGGGCCCTTGCGCCAGTCGAATAACGAGAACAGGATGTAAAGGTAGAAGAAAGTAGCTCCCACGATATGAACCTAACAAGGAACAAGGTTAGTGGATTCTGGGGAAGGAGGGGCCCCGAAAGCCAGGTCATTTGACCAGTTCTCTCGAGAGCAAGATGAACTCGAGGTCGACCCAAGGCCGTGGAGATGGGAAGACGAAGAAAATCCGGGGAAGTATGGGGAAGTATGGGGGGGGGGGGGGCGAGAGACATACCACTGTCCATTCGCCAGCCCAGGGAAGCCCTTCCTTTGACCATTTATAAGGGTTCTCGTGCCAGAAGGCATGAACGAACATGGTAATACCAGTAACCACATAGCTCACGAAGACAACAGCAGCAAGGCAGCGAAAGACGTTCTTAGCGGTCGGGCCAAAGCGCGGACCAATCTTACGCTCCCCGTTGCTGCGCTTCTTGCGCTTGGTAATGGGCAAGGGCTTCCCTCCAGGACCTTTGACGGTGGGCTGGACAAGATCCTCTTCCTTCTTGGCGTTGAAGACGGAATACCATGCGGCAAGAGAGATGAAGGCCACGAGCAGAATCAGAGAGTAGAGGTATTGTGTGTCTCGCAGGACCTTTTCGGCCACGGTGAGGCCATCAGAGCCAGAATGGGCGGGAAAGGCGCCGCGAGCGTCGTCGGGCGGCGCGTCGTCGGCCAGCATGGCGGCAAACTGCAAGCAGAAACAAACGTCCAGTTAGCAAAAGCTGCGTGCCTTTTTGAGAATATAAAGAAAGTAAAAGAAACGAAAAGGTAAAGTACAGGCAAGCAAAGGGAGAACAACCGGCACGAGAGAAGACGTCAAGGACGGCTAGGCTAGTTGCGAGATGCTCTTACTCGCAGGCGTAAGATGATGAAGGTGATGGTGACGATGTGGGAGGGCGTAGAGAGAGAAGCTGCCTTTGCCTGCGACCAGGGAAGTTTGGTTTGGATTTCGAGCAGGGAATATGGTCTTTTTGCAGGGGCGTGGCGATGTCCAGGTCAAGTGGTGCGCTCGTCACGGGGAAGCGTGAAGGGGGAAAAAGAAAAGAAGGAAAAGGATACGAGGGCGAGGACGAAAGCTTACAATTAATGACTGGGGGGAGAGAGAGCCAGTTACCGCAGAGACGAACTCATTGCCCGGGCAGCTGGCAATTGGCAGCTGGCGATGAGGGGGAGGTGAGCAGCAAGTGAGGGGATGCTGAGAGGAAGCTGAGCAGCTGCCAGCGCGCGAAAAGGGACGATGAAGAGGGCACAGAAACCGGCGATGGACAAGCTCGCGGTCCAAGACGAGCAACGAGCAGCGATGCAGACTCAACGTCAAATCGGCACCGGACGCCTTTGGGCCCCTACTGGCGAAGTGGCCTCGAGTGGGCTGGGCGTCGTGTTAGCGGCCCAGGGTCCAGTGTTTCTCGGTGGTGGCCGGTCCGGCACTGCACGCTGCAGAGCTCCGTTTGCCGTACCTACAGCGCCCTACAAGCAGCAGCAGTAGCAGCAGCAGCAGCCGCCAGTGCCTGTCTGGCGCCTGGCATTGGCCACCGCGCCTGTCTGGCCATCGACCCAATAAGGTAGGGGAGTGTGCAGGCCCGGGGCTCCAGCAGGCCTAGTGCCGCGCTGGCTGCGCTGCACAGGCCCGCATGCAGTTGGGGCCCTTCTCCGGGGTCCAGCTGGTGGAGCGCACCAGCCAGCTGACTTGGGGGGGCGTGGTCATAAGGCCTGTGCCAGAGACGCTGCAGTGGCGAAAACAAGCCACCCGCACGAGGAGTCGCTGCGCCATATCGACCTCGACCGCAAAGGGACGGGACTAATAAGGCTTGGTTTGGCTGCGTACAAGGCACGAGCAGCGACTAGCAGCTTATTGGAAAGTTAAAGGTATTAATAGCCCTGTCTATAGTACGGCAGCTATCGATGGAGCAATAAACGGGGCACGGCTGCCGTCAGAATCAACGCGGCCGTCTCTTTGACGTGCCACACACGACATGAAATCCAAAGCAGGCGTGCAGAACAGACAGACAATGTACTAATATGCATTATCTACATGTACATATCTAGGAGTATCTACATACTAGTAGGTGCGTGCCTGCACAGACAGGTTTCGGTCGGCAGAAGGGAAAACAAACGCTCGCCCCCGAATTGATTGACCTTGATTCATGACCGTGGCTAAATTGGAAACATGTTAATTAATATGCGGGCTATTATTGCGCTGGTCAAATCACATCGGATTGACTGCAACCGGACGCTGCAAAAGGTAACCCTCCCCTGCGAGAAAAAAAAGCTCAAACGCCTTGCCTTGTATGCCTGCTCTCTGGTTCGCTGATTTCACGCCGAACCCAGAGAATCGGAGCCGGGGTTCCTGTTGGATGGTGTGCGAAGAGGGGCAAAGAGCTTGGAGCTGCATCTGGAGCTGGGGCTGGGGCTGGAGCTGCTCTTCAGCCCAACAGCTATCGTGCTCTCTGCCTCATTTGACTCTGCACGCCTCATAGGGCAGATACGCCTTACCGTTGTAGGTGGCACTATGGAGATATCTAGACCAGTGTTGGAAATTCGCTATGAGGGATAGGGCTGCTTTGGGAGGCGTTGCGATGCTTGCTCTCACCTATCCACAGGATTATCCACACGTCTTCCCAGAGGCCGCCTACTCGCATTCACGTTGCAGCTTGCTTTGTCACGAGTCGACCGACAGCCATGACAACGCAAAGTTGCAGCAGCAGATGCTGTGTTACCACCTCGCTTCGCCCGCGCAGGTATTGAATCCCTACGTTAATGCCCATCACACCAGCATCCGGCCGATGTTGGGCGACGTTTAGGTTCTAAGCGAGGACAAGGAGCTCTCGCCAAAGAGGCAAAAAGCATGGAATCAAGGAAAAATATCGTCCGCGCGGCCTACATTCGCCTACATGTAGATGTGGCTATGCTGCCGGACATGTCTGTTGCTCTGAGCTCTCCCACTGCCAACCGAGGCCATTTAATTGCTCATTCCTGCAGCTTTGCTGTAAATTGGCGCAGCCATACCTTGTAGCAATGATTGATGTGCTTGATTGAGCATTGGTGCCATACCATGCCATGCCATGCCATGCCTATTAGGTCGTCTGCTGCGAATGCCACCAACATCCAGCCAGCCAGCCAGCCGACAGAAGAGCAGAATTCCGGAGCTCAAGCTATCTTGCCTATTCTAGGTAGCCCTCGCCCAGAGGGTGGGAAATGCTCGGCAGCTGCAACAGCCGGCACCCGTAGCAGCCCCATGCGCGCATTCGTGGCATCGGCACTGCATTGCTTCGTCGTTGTAAACTGCCTGCCATTCCATGTGGTCTATCCAGAAACGAATGTGATAGATAACTCTGAGCGATGGATTGGCGCTTCGTGCGCGGTGCAGCACGGCCCCAGCGCTTTGAATCGGGGGATCTATCTAATCGGAACCAGCCCCGCGATCCGCATGCTTAGCATGCGAGCCTCAGCAAGGGAGGCGCCGCGGCTGGCGACGGGAGAACAAGCTGGTCGGTTGGTTCGCGCTGGCTGGTTGGCTGCGAGAAATGGCCGTTTTGTGTGTGTCCGTGTGCCTTTAAGGTCTGTGAATTGACGTCTGTGGTGAGGTGCGTGCCCTGTGAATCCGAGTCTCTCACGGTACCTGTGTCCACTGTATGAATATCTAGGTGCCGTACCAGTCTTATGTGCAGCAGTGCAAAGGTAGCATCTACTTCGAAGTGTCTCCAACAAGCTAGTCCGTGTAAAATGGCGGTTAGCAGAGAATGCTGGTGACAGCAGACAGGCATTTTGCTTGGACGCCCCCAGGCGCCCTGTTCTCATCTATCTGGAGCTGTGGGTGTGCGCCTGCATCGTTTACGAGGTAAGATAAGCTGCCTCCCGAGCCACTAACCAGATTGCATGGCGCCTACGACTACTGCCACCCCATCAGCTTGCTCGCAGTCATTGTGAGCAGTAACAAAGGCCAATTGATTGCTTAGCTTAATTGCCAAACACTGGAAATAAGAAATTGCTAGTCGTACGTCTACCTGCATTACCTGCCTTATGCTGGAAGCTACATGGATGTGGCAGAATGGCCTGGTTCTGCAAAATACGCCCGCCGCTGTCTGCATGGCCTGGGACAATGTGTGCATGTGTGTGTAAAAAGCTCTGTAAAGCTGTTCACACGTGCCGCTGCCACTGCAGCACGCACTCACTTACATGTATGTACTTGCATGTGAAACGCTGCTCGATAGCAGGTGCAGATGCATGGAGTTGTCCAGACCCGGGATAGTTCATGCCACCAGTCTGCCAAGGTCCATGCAATTGAATGCGAGGATGCGTCTGCGTGCTGCACGCCTACCTTAAACGGGTCTCCCACTATCCATCCTCCAGTCCAAAAGGTTCCGGGCCCAATACTATCGGCAAGGCTAGAGGAGCAGGAGGAGCAGGAGGAGGAGAGAGACACAAGAAGAGGAGCAGATGGTGTTCCCCTTTGTGTAGGAATGGCCCCTCCAAAGGAAAAGCGAGGCGGGCATTTCAGTCCCAGCCGATTGGACAGTCCCTGTTACAGGCCGTTGTCGATGCAACCTCCCTAGTTCCCAAGCCCGGCATTAGCAGAGAACCGGGTCTATGCGGCACGTCCGCCTTGAGTGACTGCAGTTGTTGGTGCGCGTAGCATGGAAAAGAAGCAGTGGCAGCAGCATGTACTCGTACAAGTACAGGCTGTGGGATATGGATATGGCAAGGGGAGAGTGGTGATCTGCCTTGGCGATTCGCGCTACTTCATCGCCAGATGCCCAGATACAGGCATACATGCATGGCACCTCTCGCATGCCCTCTCTGTGGCTCAAGAAGGGCTTCAAAATGCTTGTAAATTCTCCGTGCGTCAATGCCTGGCAGTCGTACAGAGAGTACTTGTCCTTTGTACATCCAGGTCTCAAGAGTCTGCATCTGCATGTGTGGGGAATCCAGCATGGGGTAGCCAGCGTGCAGGAGGCACTCTGCGGCCTGTCCTGGCGTCTGAGATCCAGTGGCACTACTCGTATATAAGCGTACCGTGCAGCCGAAGGTGTGTGCGCTGGGATATGCCCATCCATCCGGAGGCCAGAGCTTGCAGACGCCGTCATACACACAAGAGTGAGTGGTGATGCTACCTCGCTCTCGATTGTGACCGGTCCACGTACGACCTCGGACGGGCTCCAGCCAAGCTTTTAGAGCTACTACTAGCAGTAGCTTGTCCGGCCCCTACAGTAAACGGCTCCTCTCCCTACTGCAGGTCCCCAGCCTTCCGGATCGCGCAGTGTTTCGTACAAAGTAGAGAAAAGAGAAAACGGATTCGGCTAGTGGCCTGTTCTGGTTAGCCCGTGAAAGGCGGATGCTTGCTAGAGGCAGATGCCGCACAACGGAGCACGGAAAACTAGGCTGCGTTACCGTAAAAGCCAATTGGGAATACAACCTGGCCCTGCGATAGCTGTGGAGATTGGTCTTCCGCCGCTGTCTGTCTCGTTCTCAAAGTATTGCCATCATCTAAGCCGGCGCCGTCATGGCCGACGAGATGCATGATACCAGCGCCGCTAGCAGCGGTGTTGGCCCGTAGCACTTCTGATAATAGCAGCCCCTGGTGACGGTATGTGCCAGGGATACGTCCGTTGGCCGAGTCCAGCGGAAGCTCGAGCATCTAGAAGCATTCTGATGAGGACAAGACGTCAGTCCGCAAAGTGCGAGCTCCATACCGCGCAGCAGCTCATTCACCGCCGGCCGGCGACACACGACGGCTGCATCCAAGCCGTTGCAAGGAGCTGTGGTGGTGTCCCCGTCATGCACGCCAATGCACAATGCAAGCCCAATACGCATACCTCGTACAACTATGACAGCCACTTCGCGGTGTGGCCAGAGCCCAAAGCGCCATCCACACCGGCACTACCTGAAACCTCACAGAATCGCGGGACCGCACTGCTGTGGGCTTGCCATGGACCATTATATCGCTCAGAAGGCGAGCCTAACTCGCATAAAACCAGTGACTAGCCCGAGCTGTGCTCCTGGGGTACGTCGAACAAGCTGCAGAGAGCTCAATTTTGAGAGTGCCGCTGCGTATAGCTCGTAGACACCAAGGACATCCATCGTACGAAATACCTACAAGCATTGCGTCGCTGACCGGCGACTTTTGTCTGACATCAGAGCATCTGTAAATGGCAGCTATATCTCATATCCTCCTTTATACAAAGGTACCTACCTAACTTAGATACCGAGGCAGCGGGTGATGTTCTGTGAGGGGCAGATCCATCACCTCCAAGGCCGAGCCAAGGTACCGGTATGCACAGGAGAGCCAACAAAGATCGTCTTGTCGGTTCACGGAGCATTTTCGCACTTGTCCGATGGGAACCGAATAGGCGCTAGAAGGTTACTGGCTCCAAGCTCTGATTCTAGCGGCACCGCAGGTCCAACGCTCATGAACACAGCAAGGGCATTTGTGGTGTAGCCTCACTGAGGATCGTCATTGCTCGACGGCAACATCTCCGCCATTTGCCTTGATGGGGGAAGAGAGTCGTCTTTCCTTCATCAACATCCAGCACCCAGCCAGTGAGAAGGAGAGAAAGCCAAAGAACAACATACCAGTAGCTGCAGAGGCGGTCGGGGATGCGGGCTCTGGGGATGCTGCCAACTCATAGCTGCTACATGCCTAGCTGCGGGAGTAGTGGTGGTAGTGGTAGTGGTAGTGGTAGTACGATATGCGCTCAGATCATGATTCGACTTGCCTCCTCGGCCGTCCCGACTTCTTCCACAAAACAGCAGAGGCCACAGGGATGTGAGATCCTATGTGGATGGATTGGGGCGAGAGACGAAAAGGCGATGCCGAAAGCGTCCATGGCCTAGAAGCTGTGCAACGCGAGCGAACGCCCTTTAAAAACAAGTCGTAAGGAGCAGATAGAATGGGTGCCCAGGAGAATCCCGGCAATCTGCATGGTCATGGATAGGTTAGAGAAGGGGGAGGAAGAAAAAATTTTCCCTCAACACGCAAGGTAGTTAAAGAAGATGCATGATATATGGAGCGCTAGTAAACTTGCTCTCGTCTCCAAGAGAGGGAAACACAGACGTAACGCCAGGTCAAATCTGCCAGCTTCATCGACCGTTATTGGTCTTGGAAATATAGTGTATATGCGTGGTGCTTTTCTGCATTGAAATATATATATAAAAGATAGTAGTACCTTGAAGAAGTGCTAGTGTACAGAAAAAATCGTCCTCAATCTCCCAGCCAAATTCTGGAGCTTGTGGTTGGCAGCACCAGCCATACTAACCTACTATAGGTACTCGAGTATGGATGCGAACAAGCCTCTCAGCTTCTCCCATTGACAAGAGGGCGACACTCAATGTAGAACGGATTACGCCGAATGCACCGAGTACCCGTCACGTACCCCATACTCCGGCCGGGCTTCACCTCGAGGTGCAGGTGCTGATGCCACCTTTGGCTTCGAAAAGCGCCTGCCTGCGTGCCGTTTTTGGCACTTGGAGAGCTAGGAAGCTGCAAGTTCTACCGCTAGCACTGGTAAGCTACAAGGAAGGCATGCATCACGTCGTGCTAACCTGAGGTATCCGCAGCCACGAGGGCTTCATGGGCTTCATGCCGGTCTCGTCAAGGTACAAGGTACTGCTTTCGTGCGCCGTTCTCGCGTCGCGCCAAGTACTCCATACAAGCCTGAGGGCTTGCACCAAAGGCTTTCAGGCGCAGCCTCAAGGTTCAACTCGCACCTAATCCTCTCTTCTCCTCTCCTCTCCTCTCCTCTCTCGGGCATCTAAGAGGCCTCTTCCGCAATTGCTCGCGTGCGGCCTGCCGCTTCGGTCTTCCGCTCGTCGGAATGCAGCATACCGCCGGTAACCTCTTGTGCGAGAGCGTCGTACAACAACAGCTGCTTACCGCTCATCGTTCTCTCCAGGATCCGGAGCGCATCTCGGCCGCCGCATAGACAAAGGTGGAGAAGCCGCCATGCGGATGGCTTCAAGACCAACTGTCCGACGGTCTCTAAGCCCTCAACGGAAATCTGTCTCCGAGTTTGTCTATCTCACCTGTTGACATTCCGGCTTTCATTGACCGGGCTGCGACATGTTTCACTCGCTGCCCCAGCTGCATGAAGAAGCATCCAATTCCATACCCTGCAAACGACCCCGGTCAGCCGGTCAACTAACCTTGCAGGAGCCGGGGCCGTTTCTCCCCTCCCTACCGCAACACGCCGAGCAGCTCTAATACGTTGGCGTCACCACTGTTCAAAAGAGAGGGACAGAGGGAGAGAGAGAAGGGGACAAAAAAAATTCTGAGCGTTGTCCTGCTCGCCGGGCACAAGCACATACTACTATGAGCTGGATTGCATACTATCCTTTGGCCGCCTGTTGTCATCAGCGGAGCCAGCAGCTGCTCAGGAGCAGTGGGGCGCTCCACAGGCAGTATACAGAGCATTGATGACAATATCATCGCTGTACTATGAAGATTTCTGCGAAAAGTATCAACACAGTTAGGATTGTGCGTCTCGGTTTCAGCCTGATGAAGCAGCAGGTCGCCGAACCTTGATGCCGACTGTCACGCCATGGCTTGAGAAAGACGGAGAACGATGCAGAAAGAACAGGTCGGTGAGATAGCTTAGTGCCTGTCTTCACATGCGTCGGGCATAGCTGCAGCCGGCCAGCCCGACTTTGCAAAGGCCTTGCTTTTGCTCCATGCAATACAGCGTGTGTCACGGCTGGTGGCTTTTTGCGAAAATGTGAGAAAAGATACGCTCTCACATCTCTGGAAGTTGTCCCAGACACGTTTGCTTCTTACGCACTGAATCTCTGCCACGTCGGTTCGTCACTGCTGTGTTGTCTGTGACGTGTATAATCAAAGCACATGGCCTAGGCAAAAACGTGAGCTTTCCCTACAGTTTCATGCCCGCATATCGACTCTCCGTCTCTCGGAGATACCATCATCCAGCCACTCCCTCCCGTTCAAAAATCCATTACAGCAATGGCAGGGCCGCTATTGTTTGTACAAATATCCCACCGCTGCTACTCTGTGGCTGCCTACTCTATTGCATAGGTATTGTGGGTCAAAGCGACTGACTTTACCAGGCATCTGAGCCTTGGAACCCGATATTATCCATACTTCTAGAACTCACCCCAATCTAAGAATAAAAGATTCTGCATCACAAGTCGCCAAATTTGGCTTTCTTTTCCTCCTTGCATTAAGATGGCTTGTCCATATGATAGTTCACAAATCAATGTGTGGCTGGTAGCCCCTTTTACCACTGAATGGGTGAGGGAGCAGGGCCAGCCTTTGGGGACAGGAGAGCACGTCATGCATACCAAGGCAGCCTTCTACACCGAGTTCCTCTTTCATCAGATGTTTTCCCCAAATTCATCCCAAAGCAGTTACTTGTCTTGGCGTCGCTCCCCCACAACTTGATTTGTGGTACGGAATACCAGGTCCTCGGATCGTCGCCCCTCCTGGCCTGCCGATATCACCAGGCTTTCGTAATCCAGCAATTTGCTTGGCTAAGGCTTCTCAGCCGCAAAGAGCATTAAGACATGAGTGAAATGTAGTTTGATATATGTTGTTGCTGCAGGAGAGACTGTTGGCCTACTGGCTAATTTGGGTATTTGAATTACTACAAACCTCCACCCAACGCATCAATCCATCAAGGGGGCTGAACATTTCGCACCCTGTGGAACACGGCTTCTAACTCAATCATGAATGTCTTCTCACTCTGATTTAGCATGCTAACAGCAGGGTGTCTGCCATCATCGGATAGCTTTCTTCCTTCTTCTCTCCCCCGTGCATCCAAAGACACCCCGGGTTCACGCAGCGTTACTACCTAATTTATACAAAGACACCTCCACACCCCCAAATAGTAAACATGGTGTGAAAAAGCATGGCTCTCGCCCATACACGACGCGATGCCAATATCAAGGCAAGTCACGCGTTTCTTTTTTCTGGCAGTTTCGGGGCGCACAAACTCCTTGGCTCTCTAAAATGCCCAATTATAACCTTGCAAATGGGTGCCGGCTTTGATTGGCCTGCTCGGCCCAGTTACTGAGGCTGCTTCTCCTCTCTTTCCATCCTCGTAAAAACAAGAAACCTTTGCTGTGCAGGTCTAGAACAAGCTTTGGATGTTACGGCATTGAAACTCCGAGAACAGGCGAGTTATGCAACGCCAAAGGCAATGCTCCTGCAGCCAAGCCTACCGATGCTACGCACTGCGCAACCCAGATCGCAACATAAAGCTGAGACAGTGTGTAATAAAAAGTCCGATTTAATGGCCGCCCCAAGTGAGGGGTGAAAGTTGATATGTTTCCCGTCTCGGTAAGTATCAGTACAATGTTTGTCTCAGAGATTCTTCGACCTGGCGCAAGGGAAGGCAAGACAGATTTTGTTATTGGCTCACCGAAACGCACTCCGCCCGCTCTCGGAGTACGGCCATGGTACTGGTACCACCAGAGGGAACCGGCATTAGCACACAATACTCGGATCCGACATTTGCGGGCCTCTATGATATTATTTGCACGGTCAGGATTGTTGGTTTGGCCAGATAACAGCTCTAGCGGTACAACAGGAAGTGGCCATTATCTAAGGGCTGGTCTAGACTCTTACCGCCCAGTACATGGCAGCATAGAATAGGCATGTTATCTTTATGGCTGCTTCTCCCGCTGCTCGTATCACAATTGTGATGGGTTAAGAGAGTTGAAGACTTCAGGGCAGTGAGAAGTCTCTACGAAGCTGGCTCTTCGTGCCACTTGCAAAAAGGTAATTTAAGCTCCATGACAGTCTATCTCTATCTAAATATACCAGGATCGGAGCCAAAATTCCGTCTGAAATGCTGTATACCATCGTAGAAAGAAATGCAGCGGATTTATTGCCTTGACTACTCCAAATAAAAGCTACCCGCGTACTCTACTCCCGGGCGGCAGTGTCTGGGTACATAGATCGTAGATCTCATAGGAGTTCACGAAATGTTCTTGGCCAATAAGTTTCCCTTTTGCCATCAGTCATGTCGATCATTTTGGAAAAACGCCTTTCGTAGGCCAGGGGGGCGGCCTACGCCTCTTCCTATTGCTCCTGAAGCCGTTTGATCGACAACTCTATATCCTTAAAGGGGTACTGATAGCTGAAAAAGCGGTGATTCAACGTTGTATTTCTTCTCTCAAGCAAGTCATCATTTCAGATGGGATTTATAAGGTTTACGTTTGGTTATTCCGAGGATAAGAAGATGGACAATGCAGATTCTTCATACATGGTTGGATGAAAATGAGAGAAAATAGCTTTTCAAAATATTTTTGAAGGCGTCAAAATAGGTAACAAATGGTCTTCTATGACAGGTAGTTGAACCTATTAACAATTTTGTCTGAGGAATAATGAACTTTGACAAACGATGCAAAGGTTGATTATAATAAGGGACGTTCATTCAGATGGTCTAGGAATAAGAAGGGATCAACGGTGTACCTATAGAATAGAATTGCTTGCTTATACATCTCACTGTCCCTCTTATAATTCTTTAGTAGTTTTCTTTGCAGGTACTCAAATTGCTTGTTTATACATCTCACTGTCCCTCTTATAATTACCTATTTAGTAGTTTCTTTTGCAGGTACTCAAATTGCTGTTTCTGAAAATTTGCACAGACACCTTGCTTATTTCTGTAGCCTGAGCAGGAAGACTAGGTTAGACTTTCTGTCTATTATGCCTTATTCAAAACGATACTATTAAAAATGTTACTGATGAATGATCAAAGAAGCATATAAAGTGCGAGTTTAGAATAGTGTAGGTCTTTTTTGGAGGCGCTTGTTTCAGCACGCCAACATGCAAACGTTTCTTTTTTTTTTTTTTTTCCATCGCCTGTTCTATGCGATTGCTTTAATAGACTATTCCCTATTTATTGTTCTTGT